TGCCGGCGGGGCAACAGCAGTGGCATTGCGGGCAGCTCTCACTGTCGCTGCTCAGATGGATTTCTTGGGTTGTACCATTGATGTGCGAACAGCCTTTTTGAACGCCCCTATGGTGTTAGCAGGAGATCGAGGTGAACAACATGAACAGAAAAGGGCCTTTATCAGGCCACCTGCTTTGCTTGTCACAGCCGGTTTAGCTAAACCAGATGAGTTTTATGAAGCAGTGATGGCCTTGTACGGGTACAAAGAAAGCCCTCGTCTTTGGTCAGACTATCGCGACAACGAGCTGACCGCCATGAAAATCGACTGCGCCAATGGTGTTTTGACACTGCAGCAGATGGTCACTGAGCCTAACATGTGGAGATTGATGCTGAAGACATCAGGTCCTGGAAGGGATTCTTTGGCAGAGGAGTTCGTGGGCCTTCTATTGGTCTATGTGGATGACCTTCTCATTTTGGGAAGCTCAGAGGTAGTGGAGGCGGTTGTTGCTGCGATCCAGTCCAAGTGGGAAACTTCAACACCTGAAATGATTGGCATGTCAAAGGAGGTTCGTTTCCTGGGAGCTGAATTGTGGAGGAGGGAAGATGGAGTTTGGATGATAACGCAGGCCAACTACATCAAGGATCTTCTCAAACGCAACCTTGGAGATGATCCACAGAAATGGCAGACCAGAAAGATACCACTTCTCAAGGAGCCGGAAATCTTTGATGACCCAGAGCAGAAGACACCGGCGAATGTCAAAGAGGCACAACGAGTGGTGGGAGAATTGGTTTGGATCACTGCCAGAACACGTCCAGATTTGGCGTTTGTGATTTCCAAGATGGCGTCCATGATCACCAAAGCGCCGGTCCAAGTGGTCCAACTTGCGAAGACAGTGTGGCAGTACTTGGCCGCCACGGTGCATCAGGGGTTGATCTTCAAGAATGTGAGAGGAGAAAGACAGCTGAATATTTACACAGATGCTTCTTATAGCGATGTTTCATTTGGCTGCCATCTGGTCCTTTGGGGCACATCATTGCTGCTATGGAAGGCGGGCAAGCAGCCAATTCAAGCTGCATCCACCGCAGAATCTGAGTTGGTAGAAGTTTTGGAAGGGGCATTAGCTGGAGAGGCCGTGAAGGTGGTGCTCGAAGAAGCATTAGATGTGGTCTCCCGCTCTTTTTCCTTCACCGACAGTTCTGCAGCTCTTTCCATCATTGCGGGGGAGTCCGGTTCTTGGAGGACCAGGCATTTGCGGAAAAGAGCTCACATTTTGAGATCAAAGGTGTTCTCTGGTGAGTGGATGCTTAGGCATGTAGCCGGATCAGAGATGCCAGCTGATCTGGGAACAAAGGTCCTTTCTGTGCTGAAGTTTGATCAGCACAAAAGAGCCATGGGAATGTTTTTGGAGACCAAAGAAGTTTTTCCAGAGGAAATCAAGGAACTCAATAAAGAGAAAGGTGTTGGAATGTCAAGAGAAGCGAAGGAAAGAGCTCTTCAAGTCATCATTTTTGTCACTCAGATGGCCATGGCTCAAGGAGCAGCAGATCAATCCGACCGTTTTTCATCCAGAGCTGTGGCGATCTGGGAAAACAGTGTCGTGCCCATTGAAACGCAGAAAAGCCAGTTTTTTCTCATTGTGATTGTGGCCGTGATCTTTGCAATTGGTGTTGTCACTGGCATTTGCATCATGGGTTTGATCTTGTGGCATCGAGTAGACAAAGTTACAATGGTCAGGTACAAAGGCTCACTTGTGGATGTTCCTGCATTTCTCTACAAAGCTTTTGAAGGAAGAGACACGGAGGTTAGAAGACCTTCATTTCTTGATGCCAGGTCGACATCGGCCGGGGTATGTGGAAGTACGAGGAGGATCGACGCTGCTGATCCTTCAGGCGCTGCTGGCGCTGCAGCTGGCGGACCTTCAAGCGCTGCTGGCGCTGCAGCTGGCGGACCTCCAAGCGCTGCTGGCGCTGCAGCTGGCGGATCTTCGAGCGCTGCTGATCCTTCGAGCGCTGCTGGCGCTGCTGATTCTTCGCGCGCTGCTCATCTTGCGGCTGGCGGATCTTCAGGCGCTGCTGATTCTTTGCGCGCTGCTCATCTTGCGGCTGGCGGATCTTCAGGCGCTGCTGATTCTTCTCGCGCTGCTCATTTTGCGGCTGGCGGATCTACGTGCGCTGCTCATAGACCTATGCGCGCTGCTCATTTTGCGGCTGGCGGATCTTCGAGTGCTGCTGGCACTGCGGCCGACGGACAGCCTCATCAAGGATCCCTGCGCGCTGCTGATGGAGCGGCTGGCGGGTCTTCGAGCGCGGCTGGCGCTGCAGCTGGTGGATCCTCGGGCGCTGCAGATGCGCCGGAGCAAGTGAGAGCAGGGCTTAGGAATAGAATGCAAGACCCCCGGGAAGGCATGTCACCTTTGTATACTACCCCATATGGAGGAAAGTATCATAGTGACAGGCGATGCCATGGATTGCGGCATGCCAGTGAAATTCTTTTGACTCCAAGGTGTCATCGCTGCGGACCAGCAGCGGAGATCCCACATTATCAGTTGTGGGCGATTTCACATGGTTATGATCTTCACACGTCATATGAGCACTGTCGTGATGCTGGATCAAACAACCTTCTCAGACTTTTCAAACCATGTGCGATCTGCTGCCCCATGCCACAGTATCCAGATTAGAGTAGAAGGGCTTGAGTCGTAGATGTGTGACAGAAATATCTAGTCACACAGGGGGAGTGCGTGATGACACAAATTCCATGCAGTACCCATTACAATTTTTCGATCCATGTTTTGCACAATTCATCATGTATCCTGAAGTGGATGTCAATCAACCTGCATTTGGGCCGTGCGTAGCCCTTTTACATGTCAGCCTGGTCAAAAGCAGAGCAGCTGCCGAACGTGAGGTGGCAGTTGAACTCAGAAGTCTTTTGGACTGGTGGGACTTTGAAACAGGGTCTTCTTGGTCGGTGCCTATTTGGTGGTAGCTGGTCAGGACTTGTTGTGGTTGGTTTCAAGGTTTGGGGCATTTCGGAACACGTAGAAAGAATGAAAAAGATAGAATGAATAGATGAATATGAATAACTAGACAGAATGAAAAGATAGAAATATAGAAAGATAGATAGATAGATAGGTAGATAGGTAGATAGGTAGATAGGTAGATAGGTAGATAGGTAGATAGATAGATAGATAGATAGATTAGGTAGATAGATAGATAGATAGATAGGTAGGTAGGTAGATAGATAGATTAGGTAAATAGATAGATAGATAGTTAGATAGATAGAATGAACATATAGAATGAATAGCTAGATAGAATGAATAGATAGAATGAATAGCTAGATAGAATGGATAGATGGATAGATGGATAGATGGATAGATGGATAGATGGATAGATGGATAGATGGATAGATAGATAGATGGATAGATGGATAGATAGATAGATGGATAGATAGATAGATAGATAGGTAGATAGGTAGATAGGTAGATAGATAGATAGATGGAATGAAAAGATACAAAGAATGAATAGATAGAAAGAATGAATAGATAGAAAGAATGAATAGATAGAAAGAATGAATAGATAGAAAGAATGAATAGATCGATAGAATGAATAGATCGATAGAATGAATAGATCGATAGAATGAATAGATAGGAAGAATGAATAGATAGGCAGATTGAACAGATAGATAGAATGAATAGATAGAATGAATAGATAGATAGATGGATGGATAGATAGGATTAGATTAGATTAGATTAGAATAGAATAGACTAGAATAGATAGAATAGAATAGCATAGAACAGAATAGAACGGAGAGATAGATAGATCTATAGATCGATAGAAAAGATTTTTTCGATAGATCGATAGAATAGATAGAATGCATAGAATAGATCTATCGATCGATGGATATAGAATAGATAGATTTGATAGATTAGATAGATTAAATGGATTTGATAGATTAGATAGATTAAATAGATAGGAGGACAGACAAATGATAATGGAAAGAAAACAAAGAAAATGGAGATAGATCGACTTGTAGAGGGATAATAAGAACGGTAGAACAGTGCAGGTAGATAGTAGATAGGTGGGCCGATAGAAGTTTAAACATAGATAGACATATACCGGTAGGTAGTAAGAACGATAGACCAAGAGAAAGATAAGTAGATTTGCAAGAGTCCACTTTCAGATTAATTAACCGTCTTTTGTTAAGACCTGTTGAACTATTTTCATGTTGCAGCACGTGACCTAGAGACCCTTTGTTGGGATAAAAAAGGATTCCTCAGGTCACTTGTTCAAAGCTAGTTCAAAGTGGACAACTACCCAACATAGACATACCGATAGGTAGAAAAAACAGACTGAAGAAGAAAAGACATTAATTAGATCGAGAACAGATAGAAAGACAAACAACTAGGAACAACGGTAGATACAGTACATTTACATGCATGCATGCATGCATGCATGCATGCATACATGCATACATAGATAGATCGATAGATAGATAGATAGGTAGATAGGTAGATAGATAGACAGATAGATAGATAGATAGGTAGGTAGGTAGAGGGATAAAGGCTTAAACACCTGAAAGTCTACTCGGTGCACTCGGTGCGCTGCAAGTGCACTCGGTGCACTCGGTGCGGTACACTCGGTGCACTCGGTGCACTCGGTGCGCGCACTGTGCGCAGTCACTGATCGCGGCCGCAATGTAAATTACAGCGCCCTTAAAATCGAATTCAAAGTATCTCAAGTCTCCTGTATTCCTGCATTCCTGTATTCCTGCATTCCTGCATTCCTGTATTCCTGTATGTATGTATGTATTCCTGTATGTATGTATGTATGTATGTACGTACGTACGTACGTACGTAGGTATGGATGGATGGATGGATGGATGGGTGCCTGCATGCATGCATGCATGCATGTACTGTATATTATACATATATTATGTACAACAATATTATGAAATATATACATATAGTCTATATAGTTCATATAGTATCAGTAAATGTTTGGACTCACAACTTGGACCCAGGCCATCGGGCAGGAAGCAGTCGTTGTCCGTACAGGCCATTGGTGCCTCAGCGCCGTGCCGGTGCGCTTTGTCACTTGTTGATCTTTGTCAAGCCGAAACAATGATATGATATGATATGATATGATATGATATGTATCTGAACGGACAATATAACTATGACTATAACATACGTACTATAAACATATCATACTACAAGCATTCTTGAAAATGGAATCAGTTCTTTGACTTTCCGATTTTTTCGCGAATATGGAGACTGTACAAGAATGAGAGCTTGCAAAAGAAACAGAGAAGCCAAAGAAGCCAACCGGTGCAGCCATCTGCAGTCTGCAGGTAAGTTGCTTGGCAGTGTCCAGCTGACCAAATGCAGTAGCTCCCTGCACGCATGCTCACCTGACGAGACACGGAACTCTCTAAGTTTTATAATGGGAAAGCCGCTAAAGCCGCCTAAAGCCGCTACACAACCACAAAATACCACGAAGCTGTTTGGGGTGGCTGGTGTGAGGGTGAACTTGCATTTCTTGGGTCAGGCAACATTTTCCTTCGTCAACAGCGCAAGGATCCATTCTGTGCCTGCTTTGTGGTCCATGTACGGTTGAATGATCTCAATGATCTACAGTTTGAGATCTTTGCACTGGGTTGTTTCATGTGGTTCTTGGTATGGCATCAGCCTACCGTAATCCAAGGCTTTCACTTCCCAGAGCTTTGGTCTATCTTTCGCGCTGCCTCCTTTGAGTAGTAGCCAGATGCAATGCCCGGCCCGACACAAGCCTGACCACAGGCCACTCTGCCAGGTGAAAAGCTTGCTGTGTTGGAATTTCATACCTGCTTCCACTATATGTATCTATATGTTCCATATATGTTCCATTTGTTCCATTCGTTTTCCATGTTTTCCATGTTCCATTCTCATCATTTCTCATCATTTCTCATCATTTCTCATCATTTCTCCGGATTCCTCCTTGGTTTTGAAGCTTGGGCATGGCTGTCGTCGGCAGAACCTCGTCTCAACAAAAACATCTCATGCAGCGATGCAGCGAACGGCTGAGGAAAACGGACCTGAAGTCTTGTCGTTCCACTTCATGCGTTGGCCTTGTCTGACCTGAAGTTTGACAAACTTCGACAGAAACCCTGTTTTTGTATTTCAAATATTTCAAGCATCAAAAGATATCAAAAGATATCAAAAGATATCAAAAGTTTCAGCGCAGGACTATTTCGAAAGCATTTCTTCTGCGACGGACTCCATTCAAAAGAGCCGCCTCACAGCAATTCCAAACAAATCCGTCGCATTTTCAGCGCCAGGTCTGTCACCAGTCACTTTCAGAGCCGTACAGCCAGGCTGTCGCAGGCAGCGCCAGGCACAATCTTCAATGCTGTTTGCCGAGTGTGTCCAACCACCTAAGGAAAAAAAAACACACAAGATTCGATGTATTTCAATGTATTTCTACTATGTGCATCTATGTGCACTCAAAACCTATTTACAATTTTTGCCGCCTCCTATGGCCTCCTATGGCCTATGCATATTGAGTTTCCGCGCCAGAGAACTGATCTCCACCTTTGCCACAAAGCAGCTGATGCACTTCGTTTACTATGGCCAATTACGGGCAAACACCTGGCACATTGAGCTCAATATTTTTGGGGTTCCAAAAAATGTTCGGCGATTGCAATGCCGTCTAGAGATTCTAGAGATCCTGGCGCCCTTAATTTTCCCTTCTGATGGTTGCAGATTGCAGAATGAACGGAATCGTCTTGCAACTCTGTGGGTTCTCTACGCGACCCCAAGCTGCACCCTTTCCCAAAATTTACCTGTAGGACCTATCGTAGACAGGTTTCCGACATAGCGGATATATAGTAATCATGTATGGTAATCATGGTAATCCTCTATTTGTTTTTACAGCTGTGACAGGTCGACTTGGTTCATATATATGTCCACATTGCGTGAATGTGTTGGACGCAAGCTGCTTAATAAACGCAACAACATCCAGTGAGGTTGAACTATACAGGCATGTCAAAAACCTAGCACCCTCCCGTCCATCCAAACACTGAAAATAGATTAGATCATCCTGGGATGGTAATGGGGCGAATATCATGGGCATATAATGTCTGGCTTGGGCCAGCATGTGTGTGTGTGCCATGTTCGGAACATGGGATGAATGGTACATGGTCATCGATCCGACTAAGGGAATTCTTTGTGTGGGTATGTTAACTCCTATCATTGGTTTGATCACCATCCCCCTTGCAAAAATAAGCCATATGTTTTGACCACGGCACACAAGGTGCCGAAGCTCGAGATCTTGGACGTATTTTAAAACCAATCCGATCAATCAATTTCGCCTACTGGAAGAGGCTACAAAAGGAAACCGCTTTCATTTCGGTGTTACAAAAGTGGCGCTACTCTTTGCCCATTGTTTGCCACCCACAGCACACCACACATGGGCACAGCACGGGAAATCAAGGCAACAGAAGACTATAGCGGAGTATTCACGGATGTGGATCTGGGTGCCGTTGAACAAAAAAAAATAGCCTCCATAAATTTCAGTGTAAACGATGTAACACGAATAGCTGAGCTATTGATGCTATTGTGAAGGCTTTTGTAAAGTTATTAAAGTGATTTCAAGTTATATAAGTTCTATACAAATCATAGGCTTTTCATGGCATAAAGCCATCACAACTCTGGGATCCGGTGCCATACACATCTCCGATGACTCTCTCCCAGCCCTGGGCCAAACACAACAAGTGTGCTAGCAGCTGCTAGCAATCTGGCAATCTCCAAGGACATGTTTCTAACATTTCTTCCTATCCGGGACATATCCGTCATATCCTGTCTGATGTTTTTTTTGCATCTAATCTTGCATGGGCTCTGTTGCAACATGCTGGGTGTGCTTGTATGATCTTGTATGCTTGTGTGCGCGGGAGCACAATTTCATCACCTCATCACCATCCTGGTGATTGAATCATCATCACCATATATCCCCATATATCATCATCATCATCATCATCATCATCATCATCATCATCACCACCATCTGAGCTTGATGAAGCCCACCCGAGTTCGGCCTCTGGACAGTGCTTCTCTTCCTCTTCCAGATCCTCATGTTGCTCAATGCTCAGTGTTGCTCAGTGGACACTCCATTGTCAACTTAAGTGTCAACAAATTAAATGTCAGAGTTCAATAGAGTTCCACTGCAATGCCGCAATGCCGCAATGCCGCAATGCCGCAAGAACCATGAAGAATCAAGAATGATAAGAATGAACAAGACCATCATGGCATGAGCCGTAGCTCTGTGTGTTCAGAATGAGTTCAGAATGAGTTCAGAATGAGTTCTCTGTGTAGTTCTCATCCGAAACAATACCGGGTACTTCTCGGCCTGGGCAGTAGCTGGGCTGAGAAGATCCAGAATCTCTGCGACGAGACTTCTGTTTCCAATGCTGTGATTCGAAGTCTCGTTGGAGCTCTGATTGGCCTGCAAAGTAAGCAAAGTAAGCAAAGTAAGCAAAGTCAGTCCACGAAGCCACTCAAGATTCCAGCGGCTAAGAAACTGAAGACATAAAACATCATAAAACAATCACATAGTCATACATAGTCACAGTTCGTCTGTCAAGAAATTTCTAGACAACTTCATGTTTGAGTGCTTTGGCCTTGCATTCTGGAGGCTCACGGAGAAAACAGTTTCAAGTACAAGTGAGACAAGAACATACAAAAACATGAAGGAACCATTGTTCGAAGTCATCCTGCTCAGCTTTGAGATCAAGCGAGGGGAACACGGGCAAGTCTTGCAAGGCTGAAAAATGCAAGTCTTGCAACAATGTAAACTACAATGTAAACTTTATAAACTTTGTATTCTAAGTTGTTCTCAGTTGCTGCATGCTCGCCTGCAACAAACATGTCTTGACACGTAAACTCAAAAAAAGGCCACTGTTGACCCAACGTCCTGTTTCAACTATAGACTATAGCTGGGAGACCAAAGTTTCAGGGCGGATCCATGTTCGAAACCTTTTAGCTGCTTGAAAAGATTCAAACATCAAATTCTTGCAAAAAAGGCTATGAAATGCTGCTAAACGCGTCATCAAATTCAAACACTCATGACATTGTGAACTATCCGTTTTTTTTTTCATGGTTTGCTCCCACGTGACAGGTCGGTGCCTCCATTTTGAGAAAATTAAGGCCTCGAGGCATGTAGAAATGGATGATTTGCAAATCTTGTCATGTAGAAATATGTCCAAGTCTAGCTGTCTGACATCGCTTTGAAGATCTTAGAACTCCTGCAGATTTTGTAGGGACCCTGCTGAACGCATCTTTGCCCAGGAAGTCAAACCTGAGTTTCCGATGTTTTATCGACTTACAGATTGCCGATTGCTTAAAAGTATGCCCAATGCCAATACTCTTCTGCCAGTTTAAATTGTTGGAATGGTGTTGGAAGGATGTTGGAATGCCAATGTGTTTTTTGTGTTCTCATGTCCCTGTGTTCTCTAACACCCGGATCTAACATCCGGACTGAGAAGCAATCAAGGGAAGGCCTCAGAGTTGCAAGACTCAAATTGTCGTATACCACATGAAAACATATGCAAACATATGAGAACGGTTGAAAAACATAGGGGAAGAATATGGAAGAATGCATATTACGCTTGAGAAGAGCAGGAAACGTGACTTGCGTACAGGATAGTATATGATAGTGTATGTTGTCAAGTGATGTCGTCAAGTGATGTCAAGTGTAATTATCTTCAAGATAGGAAAACCTGAAAACCTAAACCCAAAGAGAGTCCAAGTCCACGAGTCTGCCATGTCCTTATGCTGTAGCCTTTCTTTCTGACATCGCATTGCACTTCTATCTACCTGAACTTCCCCCCTTGCTTGGACTTCAGCGAAAACACGAATTAGGTCCATCGATGTCCATGCATACAGGTTGAAACACTTCTATCAAGACACTCTTTGGCAGTTTAGCAAATTGAATCAATTGTACACAAAAAAAGGATTGCCCAAACACTGTTCCTAATGACCCCATGTCTACACCATCCCAACCAGAAACAAAACTGCAACAGGAGTAATTACAAGACCCCACCTTCAAAACAAGGTATTGGACCGGTATGCACGTTCACAACTGATCCAAGCAAACGCAATCGGCTCGCGGGAAATTGCGGAAATTCTAAGGTCGGCGCTTTCAACCTCAGAAGTTGGCGAACAAGAGTTTTTGATGATTTGAGACAGGCTGAGAGCAACAAGACTTCGTTTTTTCAAAAGGTTCTTGCCGTGCAAAATAGGAGGCAGGGGCTTGAGAGAGGCCATGACAGCCATGACAGCCATGAAAACATGAGGAGTTGCAGAGTTGTGGCACAGAGATCCAGAAGTGGGGATGACATGCGGCTGATGGAAAGGATGTTGAGGAGAATGATATCGAGGAAAGCTATGTGGAGGTGTTTTTGCTTCTCTTAACTTCTCCTGTGCCCTCGGAATCCGTTGGAAAACACGGAAAACTCAGGTAGCTGCTGCCTTTTGATGCTATCTTTCATGACGATATGTTACTGTAACTGTCATGTGTCCGGAAATTACCTGGATGTTTTGTGAAATGTTGTTCCTTACATTTCCTTACCATCCTTTGCCCAGTTTTTCCAACGTTTTCCAAGCGTTGTGCAGCGTACCTGTCTGGATTCCAACTCTTCCAGGAGGAGCATCGCCTTTCCGGTACTCATCGCTGTCACCGCTTTCTCGCGGGAGACATTGAGCATCCTCTCACTTTGAAGCAGCGAATAAACGAATAAACATGAATAAACTCTGTTTCCAGGGCGGACAATTGAGTGTCAGATTATGTCAGATTGTTAGATTTGTTAGATCAAATCCAGATGAAATCAAAATATTCAAATGACAATTTCTTCAGCAGAAAACCATTAGAAAACCTACAAAAGCGTAGCCAAAGCGTAGCCGCGTAGCCATGGCATGCCATGGCCATGGGTAGCTTCGGTCCTGCGAGAGGTGTTGCTGCGCTGTCTGGCGTCAGAGAAGTTTCGAAGGCCTCGGAATGTTCGACCACCAGAATCACAGGAGACCATTGGGCAACGAATCTGCCACGAATCGAAAGATCATCCAGGGCGTCCCACTTACGTCAGTGTTCTTCGCTTCGTTCAACCTTGGAGTCACTAAAAGTATCCACTGGTTCCACCACCGGAGCAGAAAAAACATCCCAATCTCAGCGATCGCTCAGCGATCGCTCGGAGCTCACGCCTCGAGACATTCTGGAAACTGAGGTCAGCGTCACCTCCGGACTCTGAAAACGCAGATTTCTGCCATATGAAAAATATGAAAAATATGAAAATCCCAAGAGTCCCAGCAACAAATCTGGCAACACCTGGTATACCTAATCATACCTAATCATACCTATACCAACCTAGACCAACCTATACCAAGCTATACACAAAACCTCAAAACTAACTCGACCCTGCCTAGCTGCGCAGGACAGGTGGCATTACCCTGGGATCCCAGGTGCATTGAATGCTGAAACCCAAAAGGCTGTAGCGATATGTTCGAAGCAAAGTTTCTGAAAGGTTTCTGTAGATGTTTCAAACAGACCTTCAACACACTGGGCTGACCTCTGCAGTCGAATTCGAGGAATTGCCAAAAAACTTGGAGGTGTTGTCCAAGGAGAAACCTTCAAGCGCCTGCAACGAATGAGCATTCCTCCGAAGCAAATCTCATTATATAAACATGTTCGAGCAAGTTTGCTTCTCATCGTTTCTCGTCTCAATGCATATTTCTAATCAAATGCTGGCTTTTACTGTCCTTTTGAGGTTCAGAGAACCATGCCTTGTCTTCGCTCCTAGGGGTGCACAAAAGTCGGAGGGAGAAAAAGGATCACCAACAAACCAGTGTCGGTTTGCATGGCACAAGTGTGTCTGTCTCTTGACCATGTGAGGTCACAACATGAAATCCAAACAACCAGGGTTTGGCCATGTTTGGCCTCGAAAATTCCTAGAGATTGTGTAAGAAGTCCTTGGCAAAGTGAGGTTTTCACCGGCCGCGATTTCCAAACCGGTTGCATCGGTTGCACCTTGCGTTTCGCAACCGTGGCACAAGTTGCACAGTCCATGTTGAGCCACTGAGCACAGTTGCACGGCCGTTGAGACAAGGTCCGTGGCCTTCGCTCCTTGGCTTCTCTGCCTATCACTGGACGTCGCTGGACGTCGGAACCACAACGGCGACTGGATCGGAATAGACTGGGTCCAAATGGATTTAAATGGATCCAAGTTCTCCAAATGTTGCGTGCCTATCCCATGCCTATCCCATGCCTATCCCATGCCCTCTCTACTTACTCTACTTGGACACCCCTTGGACACCCCTTGGACACCCCGTGGACACCCCTTGGACACCCCTTGGACACCCATCTCTGTCTTCGTTTTCCGAATCGTTTTCCCACCTGGCAACGGCCACAAGTCACTGGACACCAGGCCCTGACAACGACAGGCGGTCGACTGACATGGTCGACTTAAGGTCGATGTGCTACGCTGTGCTACGGCGACCCGCTAAGTTTGGGACTGAACCAACTCACCTGCGCAAATGACGCAGATCAAGGACTGCGATGTGATGCTGCAAGGATCCAATGTTCGAAAAGCAACAGAAAACAGAGCAGTTCTGTGACGAAAAGCAAAAGCTGAGGTTGAAGCCATAGCTGTCGTCATCCTGGGTCCCCAAAGTGCCCCAGAGAATGCCCGGGAATGAATGCCCCAATGGTAGGAAATGTGGTGAAAGTGGAACCCCCCCTACACGCATCCTACGCACATTAGAATCATTAGATACTAACATGTGCGACATTCTAGAAGACTAGAGGCAATTGCACAAATGGCTGACTCCTCGACTCACGCCAATTGACCCTGTTTGAACATTGAGTTTACATGCACCCTATGAAGTGTTTTCTTTCTTATTGTTTTGTGCAGTTGTTCCTGTAACATGTTGAAAGATTCACATACTAATGATTTAAGCTGTGCAACACAGTCAGGACTTGGAATCTTCGTGGTCTTGAAAGAGTCTTGAAAGCCGAGTATTGGTTTCACCTGGTTTCACCTGGTTTCACCTGGTTTCACCTGGTTTCACCTTTTCAACATCGTTCTAAAAACCAAAAATGTGCTCCCTTGGGCCTGCAGCACTCGTGATTGTGGTTTTCTCATCTTTGCATACACTTAATACACTTGCATACACCATGTACACAGCTGGGTGGTTGTTCTCTTTCATTACTTATTTATATAGTCTGTTTCAATGAGAATACATGCGACCAGTAAGCACCCGCCCCCTCCTTATTCTGTTTACATCTTTTTACACGACCCCTCTGGAAGGCAAGACTTATTTCTGCTTGCAACGAAAATGAAAAAACGGGTATCGCACCTGTACCAGCTCATGCCGTCCTTTGAACTTTGTTAAAATTTCTTAGATTCACATAAAACATCATAAAACGATAAATTTTATGCAAGTTGCGCACATGGAACTCATCTTCTTGCAGCTGCTGCCGTGCACTTGCCATCGGTCATCTCGGTCCTGGGCTGAAATCCGTCAGCGTGTCATCCGGTCAGCCAATCAGCTTTTCAGATCTTTTCAGTCCTCACAAAGACTTTCTGCACTGTCGAGCCGTTGCTGTTCTCCTGCACAAAATCATCACTTCGATGTCAAAATTGAAAACGGATGACGAGCTCCTCGAGTCGCTGCACACAGCAATAGCACTGTCCAAGCCGGTCCTGAAACACGGCGCAACACGGCGCTCCGAGGAAACGAAACGTCAGATTTGGTGACAGATTTATTTCATTCTGTTTCATGATGAGACAGCGATGTGACTTTTAAAAAATGACAGTGTTCACATGTGTTCACACAGGAACAGGCACTAAGGTCACTAAGGTCACTAAGGTCACTAAGGTCACTAGGTGAGAGATCTGCTGTGTTGAGACGCGTTGAGCTCAACACCGATGGCCAAGCAAACAGTGCGACCCATCTATAGAACTGCACAACGCTCCGCCGCTCCACTGCTGCACTCTTTGGCCGCGGCACTGCTGCTAAGCTGCTAAGACCAAGCTTAGCTTGAGAAATCAGAGATGGAACAGGATGGAACAGGATGGAACAGGATGAAACAGGATGGAACAGGATGGAACAGGCAAACGTGTTTGGCAAATTGGGCAATGTGAAGCCAATAAATCCCAACTGGTCAATCTTTGATCCCTGTAACTCTGTAACATTCTGTAACTGTACTTGGAATCTGATGCTGAAAAGTTGCACTTTCCATGAACTGCGGCCTTGTAGGGCTACATTGACATGTCAAGCAAAGGCTTGAAAAAAGTCGCAACATGTTACTGCCGTGTGTTGTCACGCTGTCAAAACTTCTGTCAAATGTCTGATAGATGCGGGATTGAAACCTTTTGGTCTTTGGTTGCAAGGGACGACAACTCTGCGAATAATTCCGTGCATAACATCTTGAGGCATGTAAGCCTCAAGTGGATGCTGAAAGTGCTGCATTTCGAAGGCTGAAGCCGTTTCTTCGACCATATAGATCATATATGGTTATTTAACATAGCCATGGAAAATGGCCCATTTATAGATGGTTTACCTATTAAAAATGGTGATTTTCCATGGCTATGTTAAATAACCAGAGGGTAGATTCATATATAGGGAGATTTTGATTCACTCGAGTCACATCGGATGTGTTGTGATTCCGGTGATTCTCATTGATTCTATCCAGGCAGCAAGAGCTTCAGCTTTCAAAACCTGTGGAGTGCTGCAGCATATTTCAAAGATGGCGGCCACATGTGTGCAGCGATCAGTGGTCTTCACCTGCCAAGTGCCGCTGTATGATTGGCCGCCGGTATGGTGCGATATCTTGTGACCGGGGAGAGTTCTCTATGGTGTCTATGCCATGTTGAACTCAATGACTATAGTGACTATGTCACCGTGTCTATGATGTCTATGTCAGTATGTTGAAGGTGTGAAAACCATGATGGGACGGTCTCAAGGGCGTGAAGTCTGCCGCTGTGACATTGTCACAACCTGCTTCAATCCACATCGCATGATTCCCGCAGTTTTTTTCTCGTTGCTTTCGATTCGCCACAGGAGTTGACGCCTGTTTTCCGGCAACGGAATTGACGGCCTGGGATCTTTGGGTCTCAGCCGTCTTGGCAAACAGAAACAGCCGAAACATTCCGAAACGACATGGATCTGATGCACCGTCAACACTGCCACTAGCTCCAAAAGATGCATCCCCACATGGGACCTATCCAGTGTTGCTGTACAACATCCAATAGCTCGTAGCTCTCTGCCTAGACTGAAAATCCGAAGTCTTCAAATGTCTCGTTGCATGGCTGGAAGGTCTTGTAGGAACTATAGAATTCAAAGATGTTCAGAGTGTAGTGTATGTACCTTTCAAACATTCGCAAAAGCGCAAAAAGGATCAAAAAGGCTTGCTGGATGAAAACCAGCAGAACCGCTGATGGAGATCCAGCAGGAAAACCAAGGACTCACCTGAAACCAATCCGGTCCAGAGCTGGTTGAGTCGGCAGCACGGCGGCATTGTACCGAGTTTCACAGTTACGGACTGCCGCACCAAGGTCGCACAAGATCGCTCGCGTCGTCCTGATCTCGATGGCGCAGAGAAGTCGCTGATGGGTTTCCCATGTCGAGTGAGTCGAGTGAGTCATCTGATAGTCATGGAAATCGGTGAAATATGGTGAAATCGCACGGGAAATCCTCTGATTGATCCTTGCGAATCTTTTTGATCTGAAATTGGAGAGGGTCCTCCTTCACAAACTGGAGTTAGTCATGGCCACATCTTTTTGGTGCCTGGCTTTGCTCATCGCTCTTTCACCATTTTCATCTCGTTGTCGTTGATCTCGTTTTGATCGTTCCGTGCCTTCGGAGCGCTGTCTGGAAGCCCATTGCCGGCCGCCCGTCGTCATCTGGCATCCTCGAGAGTGTCTATTTCGACGAAGGTTGAGCCCAGCTGGCCACGTGACACATTTCGACATTCGAATCTTACCTGAATCATCCTGACTCATCCTGAACCAAGGTTTGCTATGGTTTTGCTATGGTTTTGCTATGGTTTTGCTTGGACCCAGGATGATTGTTTACTCTGCAAGCGCAACAAAGTGAGATCCCGGATCCTTGCGGCCTCAAACGCGACCAACTTGTCGCAAGCGCAACAAATCCTGCGAAACAGCGTGTCAGTGTGAACTCTGAATGAATTACCACGTGTCGTGTCTGTGTAATTCATTACATGGTACCAGATGGTACCGTTGTGTAATTCATGTAATTCATGTAATGCATTCAGCATATTTCAGCATAAGGTCCGTCCCTGTTTCACTTGGAATCCACAAAGTCGAGCCTTTTTTCGCTCATCTCTGATATCTCTGATATCTCTGTTCTTGATGTTCTTGTAGCCTCCCTACATCTTCCTCCATCTTCATCTTCGGTGGACTATCTTCCATCCATATCTGTATCTTCTTTCGCACATCTCCGAACATCTCCGAATCTCAGCTCCTTTTGGGCGCTCCGATTTTGCGGATCCAAACGCACTGCATCTTCCAAGGACCTGGAGAGTCATGTCAAGCCACGTCAAGTCATGTCAGGATGTGATGGATGTGTGATGGTGTCTGTGATGATGTCTGTGATGGTGTGATGAATTTCTGAATGTCATCACAGTTGGCATATGACTCATATGACTGATGTCTAGACTCAAAAGCAGCAGCACTGTTCGATCTCGGATTTCCACCTCACAGCTCCTTCAAAGTCGCCCAAATCTGCTTGGCACCTTGGCTGTGCAGAGTTCATCAGTAAAGTTAAGACGTCAAATAAAAAAATCAAAGATCAAGATGCCTTAAATAATACCTTACTGAAATCAACATAATTACTGCATATTACTGCTATAGCCTGTAGCGATCTATAGTGTCCTGTTGTTCCATGTGTATTCCAAGAATGTCAAGGAACTCTGGTGGTGTCACCAACTCTCAAACAGGGACTGAATTCACAAATGAATTCAGCATTGCAGAAAAGACAAGCACTGACAGATTCTTGGAAAGGACATGAAAAAACAAAGCGTGGGAATCGGTCAAAAAGATCCATTTATGCTCCTCCCAGATTTACGTCATGACAGTACTAGTCTGGTCTGGTTCCTTACTGTACGTAGATGTCCTTATTAACCCGTATTTGTGTGCTGTTACTTTACCCTTGTCTCCTCGTTCCTTGAATGTTTTCTGACGTGAAACTCTCCCAGCAGGGCAAGAGCACAGGGGTCCTGGCAGAAAATCGAGCAGCAATTGTAAATGAACATGCAACACTGACGGTGAAAAGAAATCAAAGAAATCAAAGAAATCTTAGACTCTTAGACTCTTGGACAAGTCATGACAAGTCATGACTTAAGTCTTCAATAGTCTTCCTTTCATGCTCAGATTCCGGGGACGGGAGGCCCCGGGAGGCTCCTCTGCATTGATCTGCAAAAGCCTGGAGGCCGTGTCAAGTCTCAAGAAGCATCGTAGAAGGATTGAATGCCGGATTGATTTAGATGTGCTGAAGATGTGCTGAAGATCTTGCAGAACATAATTCGCAAAAGGCATTGTAGAGATTTACGGAAGTCGCTGCTGCACGCTGCACCAGCCTCTTGAACTGCTCAGCTGCTCTTGTGGTTTCGCCTCCGTCTTGGCTGCACTCATTATGCATCGTGTCAGGTGGCTGTGGTTTGTTCTGAAATGGGGCCTGACTCCTGAACACTCCTGAACACTCCTGAACACTTGAAATCCGCCAAGATGCAAATAGATGGAATGACTATGAATTACTAATGACATACAACATCATACAACCATGTATACAACTCACACTTACAACATCGTAAAATATACATGGCGTTCCCTTGGCCCCCGTGCCAAGCTCTCGGTGCACAATGCCCAAATTGAAAAGAGCACCGAGGAACCTCCCGCGAAACTTGCGACTTCGGCTTTGGCACCAGATCTCAACTTGCTGGAAGAACAGATACAGCTGGGGTTGGGGAAGATCGAAAGATCGAAAGCTTTGAAAGACCGAAATGATGAAATCATATGAAATCAATTGTCATGACAAAGCTTTCGGAGGGTGACTCCCTTCCAGGTTCCCACAGTTGCAGTGGCAAATCAAACCATGTACCCAAAGAGACATGGGCAAGTCGTTGACTGTTGGTGACTCAAATGCCAACGCGCGCATTGCACATCCGCTCTGTGGTCCGCATGTTTCCCTTCACCGAAATCAGAAAAACCATGGCCCTGACCATCTGGTTGGTGGTTTCAACCCCTCTGAAAAATATTAGTCAGTTGGGATGATTCTTCCCAACATATGGAAAAATAATCCAAATGTTCCAAACCACCAACCAGCCATTGATTTCTGACATGTTTTCAGCGGGAAGGCAAGGCTCCTGGGATTTTGCTGCAAAGCCGCAGTGAAGGACTGCGCAGCTTGTTTCAGCTGCCTCGAAATCGGCGCCACATGGCTATACTATGCAATTTACTATGCAATTTACTATGCTATACTTCCAACAAAATGCGAAACAACATATTTCTGTTCCTCTGTCCACCCCATTCTCTTAGCAGTCTTAGCACCCTGCTTCTGTTGCTGCAGAACCACACCCTGAGAAACGGAAAGAGATGTTCCAATTGACGCCCTGGACGGTACATCGAAATGAAGACCATGCCTGGCGGTAGCAGTACCTGCGAGTGCGAATCGATGCGAATCGCAGAGGCTCCAGTGAAACAGGTCGAACAGGTCGACTCTTCAGATTCGATGCAGGTCAACAAAGGTTGCCAGTGCTGATTTGCTCTGCGATATTATCGTGGTCAATGTTGTCATTATCATTGCCATTATCATGCAATATCATCGCATGCAATTCGTTTAATTTCGATTTCAGGAGTTACAAGTCCACATAAACGGACCCTAGAGCTGTTCCCACTGATGCATTGCTTTCTTTTCTAACTCGACTCGCCACGGAAATGGAAGAAGTTACTTGATTTTGATTTGAGGTGGAGGCTGAGCATTGAGGGGGTCGAGGGAAAGGGCCTTGGTCTTTGATTGAATTCTGTTGATTTCTGTGTACGTTTTGTATCGTTTTGTACCATTGTAATCCATTGTATACCGACAGCAAAGACCTGGTTTCATTGATCCACTCAAAACTGTTGTTCTCTCTCCGTCTGAGGCCACGAACTCTGGAGAACAAATACTCCGCACCCGCCAACTGCAGATACTTCACGAGATACGAAGCACGAGATCTTCGAGATACTCTACGGCATCAAGCTTGACATCAATCGGCATCCAAAAGACATCAAGCTTGACACCCCAAGGCGCAGAAATCTCACATGCAAAGGTGAAGAAAACCGCGCTTAAGAAGCATGTATCGAAGATCGTGTTGAGTTCATAGCACTTCTTGACACCCTTTTGACATCTCAACAATACATTCAACATACGTATAGATGCGTATCACTCCACACTCTGCAGCCTGGTTGTGGGCCAACAAGAACTGTCCAAACTCGTCGCACATGGATGCACTGTTCTGAGTCAGCGCCAGAGGACAAAAGACAGAAAGGCACAGGTTTTTGGACCGAAGTAAAAGATGTAAAAGCTACAGACTCTAAATCATTCAGTCACTATCCAAGGGCTTTGAACAGACGTCTTCCAAAAAAAGTCCCAAAGTCTACCAAAGTCTACGTTGTCCACATCTCTTCACTTGAGAGGGGGGGGACGAAAGGTAGGGGGGGGCAAAAGAGAGCAACAGGAAAAATATCGCCAAACTGAGATTGATACTTCTCTTCACTCAAACCTCCTGCAGAAGAAAATGTTAGCCCCCCAAAAAGCTTTGTGGGAATAGAATCAGAAACATAATGTCAAATGTAAAGGCGCGCGTGAACCATCCTGCATGCAGGTGCTTCTCCGCGCGCGCGCGCGCGCGAGCGCGCATGTGCGGGACGTAAACATTGCGAGTCTCTATTCTCCGGCACGGCCTCAATGGGACTAGAACATCCACGATAGATCGATAGATCAATACATCGATAGATAGATAGATAGATAGATAGATAGATAGATAGATAGATAAAACTATAAATAAATAAATAGATGAATAAATAGATAGAGAGATAGAAGCATCGATCGATAAATAGATAGATCGATGGCTACCTTGATCGATAAACAGATAGATAAATAGATAGATCAATAGGTAGATAGATAGATAGATAGATCCAAGGATAGATAGATAAATACATACATAGATGGACAACTAGATAGATAGATATATCGATAGATAGATGGATAAGGAGGTAGGTACAGAGTCAGAGAAAAAGAGAGAGAAAAAAATGCGGACCAGGGGGGAATCGAATGGGGCTAAGTCTCCGTTCGTGACTCTCGGCTTTCAATTTCCGGGAAAGGAGCAGCCACCTCCCCCAGTACTAAACTAGTACTAAAGTACATAGAACTCAGGTAGCCTAGGCTACCTTTCGTGAAAAATCTCTGACACGAACTCAGCAATCTCAGTGTTTCTAGTGTTTCTGGAGATATGGGACTCGCCTCATCCCATTCCAAAGCATGGGAGTAGGCGATCAGCGCCTGGAAAACTGGAACATATGACGCAATGACAATAGAATCAGATAATGAGACAACAATGAGACATATAAGACAAACACGAGTTTAAGACATATCAGACACATGGTCATTTAAAACATTTATATCATTTATGGTCATGCTTAGGTCCTAGGTCATGACCGGTGCCTGCTGCATGTCTCCATTGGCCGCGTGTTTCCTGCCGAGAGAAGCTGCGTAAGCTGGGAATCTTCGTTGTCGTTCGTTGCCGCGTTGCCGTTCGTCAAAAGATCAGTGAAATTTTGACAAAAATTGACAAAAATCACTCTGAATTCTGAATAAATTTGACAATAATTTGGTTCAAAAGGTCATGTAGAGTCATGTATCTGATCAAAATCTCCTCGCATTTGTCCAGATCTGATCATGTCAGATCTTCATGTCTGTAGCTGTGTCCCGTCACACTCTGCCTGGCAGCCTTGCAAGCCTCTTCGGCTGACGCATATCTCACCTTCAACGCTCCGAGCCGCTTGTAGATTCTTGTAGCACTTTTGATTATGAAGCCAAAAATCTAGAAGTGTTGCATGGCGGTCTGATCCAGAAAGGGTTTCAAGAGGGTCCCCTAAAAGTCCTGTGTATAAAGTGCATTTAAATTCATCTGACACCAACACTAAATCTGAGCGCGCCAAAAAGAAGCACAGCATCGGTTTTGCAGCAAGGGAAAAGGATTCGATGCACAAATATCATCAAGATTCATCAGATTTGCATCAAGTATGTGCGGATTCTTCTGCCACAATGAATTGCAATCGTTGCAATGGTGAGTTGGTGAGTTGCATCTTGTATCGCAGTATATCGCAGTACTCTGATCACCAAAAAACGATGAAAAACGTGTATTCAATGTGACATCCAGCCTCGAGGGTCACTCCGCGATCACCAGGGCTCCGTGAGAGGGACTGCCCACGAGCGCAGACATCACGGGATGACGACAGAAAACAACGAGAAAACAACGAGAAAACAACGAGAAAACAACGAGAAAACAACGGAACATAACCAAACATAACCAAACATCACATGTGATCACAGATCCTGTAGATAACAACAGTTCATCATCTGTTCATCGTCTTCACAGTCACATCACTCCGTCCTCCAGAACCTCGCATGGTACCCGACGAAGGACATGTGACCGCACCTGTCAAGCGTAGTGCAGATCAAAGTAACTATTGACACTTTACGTATCCATGCGTACCATTTGGCATTTCTATTCATTTCTATTCATTTCTATTCATGTCTATTCATTTCTATCCATTTCTATTCATTTCTATTCATTTCTTGTGATGTGTAACTCCTAAATGTCCCGCACTCACCAAAAAGTTTGATCTGCACCAGCATCCGTACTTCTTCAGTTGGGTTTCGAACAACTCTGTTCCATATTGCTTTTCAGAGGGGCACTTGGCCATCACCATTCTTGACATTTCGCGCATCTTGGCGTGCCATGCACACCTAACTCCACCAGAAACTAGCGACAATTTTCAAGTCCATGAGTCCATGGTTGACACGAAATCGTCAACTCTGTATGTCCACTTATATATACAATAGTTGATATATCCCAATCAGATACAATCCCAACTATATATATATGTACATATATCCACTACCATATATCATAATATATCCCAATCAGATGCTGATATCGTGACCGCTTTCTCGGCTTGTCTTTGATATCTTTGATCATCGCTGTGCACACCTAAGGACCTGGCATTGCCAGGTGTCATGCAGCTGTTCCCAGGAACAAAACATCCTGCCGAGCTTCGAATCCCAGCGGGTCCCAGCTATCACGGTATGTCCTCGCCTCAAGTTATTTGTCTCTAGGCCTTTAGTTATCTGTTATCTTAGCCTCCTTATGCCTCCAGTGCTCTCTCTCTCTCTCTCTCTAATTAGCTAGTCCCCTTTTCTTCGAAAGTCATGATATGTCATCATCGTGCTGTCATTTCTTTGGATCGTGCTTGATACATCTTGATACATCTTGATACACTCAGCAAATGGAGCAAATGGAGCAAAGCAGGGCTTCCTGTGGACGTGTATCCACCCTGTGGCCGTACGCCTGGAAGGCTGTGAAAAAAGCACACCAAAGACCCTTCCAGATCCTTCCAAATCCTTCCAGCACTACAAAAAATACCAGAAACCCTGTAGCAATACCACAAAATGATACAAAATGTGGGGGTAATCGCTGCAGTCGCTCTATGTATATCTCTATGTCACTGTGATATTGTCACTGTGGAGTTGCCCTCGCAACTTGGCCTGGCTGCACCAGGCCTTAGGAAATCTGAACAAGCTTCGCAAGCAACAGGAATATTTCTAGCACTCGGGTGCTGGTTATGTGTTGGATTGTGTTGGTCTAGAGTCTAGAGATGTCTAGAGTCTAGACTGGGACTACATCAAAAAGGTAAGGAAGCAGTCACCTGCCAACCTTGGCACAAACCACTTTTTTGAGTGTTCAGACCAAGTCCAATTTGTCCGGAAGATTTACTGCCACATGGGTGGCAATATCTTGCACAACACACATATGCGACATATGCTCAGGTCTCAGACAGCTCGTTTCCAAACCCATGGCCACAGACAAATTCAAAGAAATGCCAGTCTCAGAGTCTCAGAGTCTCAGAGTCTTATCAATTACTTATTTCATCTTATTCCATTTTCTGGAGCGTCACAGCTTGATCCAAGTGCTGTTTTGAAGTGCTTGAGAGGTGGTGACTTTGTCGTTACCTTTCGATTTTCTACGTCTTTCTCGTTTCTATCGTTTCTTGTGACACTTACGTGCTCTTCAAATCTTGAGCCTGTGGCAAAAGATCCAGCTGGAGCTTTCGGCCCAGATCGGTCCAATGTATTCGGTCAATGTTCATCGCTAGAATCCAGTTTTTGGTTATTTTTGGTTCATGTTCATCCCAAAATATGCATCCATAGTTCATGAAATTCATGAATAGTTCATGAAATTCATGAAATTTTCATCCCAAAATATGCCTCTGAAATTCATGAAATTCCATGAAATTCATACGTTCATCCCAGATGGTCATCCCAGATGGTCATCCCCTTCGAGTCCCCTCGCTTTTTCGGGTCGGCTCGGCTCATGCCCAGTGGAGTGGAGCTGGACGGATCTGCCAGGAGATCAGCTTTGGTCAGAAAAATATGCCTTTCTTTGAAGATTTTTTTTGGTACCGTTTGCAGAAATGGTTGATTAACATTTAATGTTTGATTATTTTTTTTGAAATGATTTGAAAAAATTGAGTAAAAGATATTAAAAGGATCTGATTTGAAGTCATTCGAAATGTTCCAACTACGTTATCGCACCTCCCATGGCGTTGACCTCTGCATTTGCAGGACCTCAGCTTCAAACTTGGATCAAGTCCCAGCAAGTCCTTCTCAAATCTTGCCCTTCCTTCATCTTTCCCATATTTTCCCATGGTTGTGATATCAGTGTTAAAAAGTTTTTTTTGAACTACCTCCACATGTCTGCTGTCAAAGGTGCTCGCAGGAGGCCCTGATATGGAGAGCAAGTCGGATCGTTGGAGTAATAGTCAAACCAGCAAGCCTCCGGCAATCTCCACGAAGTTTAACACACATGGAATGAGACTCTGGCACGGCCAATCACAAGCAAGGATGCAACAAGATGCAACAAGATGCAACAAGATGCAACGAGATGCAACAAGATGCAACAAGATGCAACAAGTATCTGTGGGAAACTAACACCAGCAACGTGCAACCGCAAGCGGCATGGCGGCATCATTGTAGCTGAGAAGCATTCGCATGCAAGCTTTCCTGAGCAGGTCATGGACATAGCTGGACATGATAAGGACACGACACCATAACATACCATACCCTCTGGTAAACTAACATAGCTGTTGAACATCACCATTTTTAGTAGGTAAACCATCTATAATTGGGCCATTTTCAATAGCTATGTTAAATTACCAGAGGGTAACGACAATCACAGGACCGGCCCAATTTTGACAGCCAGCCTGCATTCGCTTCAGCGTGGCAGAAGGCATAGATCGCAAGCGTGACACAGCGCCAGCCACGTCGCCTGAAGGCATACCGAGAGTATGTTCGCCCAAGTGGGAAAAAACATGTCGCGTTCCAAGATGTTCCAAGCAACATGTCGCCACACAGACGAAACTGCGTGTTTTGACGCCCGTCTCACATTTACTATGCTTCCCTCATTCTGTCTCTACTTTCATAGGACAGAATAGTCTATGTCGAAGTATGGAGAGAGGGTGGGTGCGGAATTGCGTAAAATCGTCAAAGAAGTCTCGTGCTGGAGCGTGATATCTGAGGTGTCAACCCATCGGAACTTTCAAGCTGAATTCTGGCCATGGAACGAACCTCAGCAGTACTCGCAACTCAACATTACCCACCTAAAAATCGACTGACCCATGTCAATCCATTTGATGAAAACATCTTAAAGTCTGGCGTTTGGTATTCTACTGGACATGGTTTCAGGGAAAGTTTCGAGACTTGAAAACCCACAGTCCTCTTTCACAGAGAATCAGATTGCGACGAAAAGAATGGGACAATCATAGCATCAGAGAGGATGACCGGAATGCACCCTGGCACAGCCGTGACAAGACATCAATGAATGGATTTGTTCCAAAATTCGGTGTACCCTCCAAAAGCTGGACATAGCTCGAGACATCTTTCGTTGGCTGCAATAGAACAAATATAGATGAACAGTTATCATGATAGTAGTAATATAATAATGGTAATACGAAATGATGCAAATATGACTATTTATATGATTGATAAGATGATAAATGTAGTTAAAATCTCAGTTTCGAAATCTAATTACCTTCCTTATTTCACACCCCAGTGTGACAGGTGGCCCCGGGGGGCACCTGAAAAGAAAGCTTCGAAAAGGCGACCGTTGGTGAAGCCCACGCCTCAGATGTTTCGGCGTTGAAGGAGCTCTTCAGGCCATAGCAAGCCATGACATGAGGACAGGTCCTGCTGTCTTTCTACGCATTTCTATTCTTCACACATCTTCACATATCTTCACATATCTTCGCATCCTACATTTTGCATGATTTTGCATGATGCTGCATGATTGTGCGATGCTGCTTTAACTCTGGAGGTCGAGCCTTTTGGCACAAGGCAAAACTGACAATCTCCCACGCGCTTGTAGTAGTCCTGGTCGCTTGAAGGATGAGCAAATCTTATAGCATCTTTTGTCAAGCCTGTCAACCCCAGTCCAGCACAGGCGTGATGTGCGGACCAATACTTGCGTCAGGCCTAGGCGCGCCAAGAAGGCGCCAAGAAGGCGCCAAGAAGGCGCCAAGAAGGCGCCGAGTCAAAAGTGACATCGGAAGACACTGAAACAGACTGAAATTCAGACTGAAACAGAAAAACACCGAGTTTCTGCGGAACAGCCTGTGTCAACATGGTCCAAGCTGAGTATCTCAACATGCTGAGTATCGAGTTCCAAGCTCTCCAGCCATGGCTCGGATCTGACGCCGAGTTTCTGCTGCACTGACATTGAAAGGACCTGGCGCACCAAGCGAAGAGAAAAGTCGTCAAAGTCGTCTTCGTCAAATTGCAAAGGATTTGAAAATGGATTCCACAAGATTCCACAAGATTCCACAAGATTCCACAAGATTCCACAAGCACATCTTGAAAATTCAAGAAATCAATAGAAATCATGGAAATTTTGAAGCAAAGGCATGGTTTTTAATGGTTTTTAGCATTGAAGCTGCATGGCTCTATGACGCTCAAAAGACGGAACCTCCTGCATGGGTCTTTTCGTACAGTTCGTGGCGCAAGGCACCATGGAAGCCTGAAGTGCAATTCACTGCAGCGCTTCACTGCATGTTTCTGCAGGCCACGTGAAGACTCACAACTTCTTAGCTGTTGCAGATTGCATAGCTTTCAAGTCACATAGCTTTCACATTTGCTGACATGCACTGAAGCATAGTTGGATATGTATGGATATGTCCCTTCTCTTTATGTGTTTCACAAATCTCCTTGTCGCCAGGCTGAACTCTTGAACAGAATCAAAAGTATGTCTGCCATTGAACAGAATCAATTCCCATCAATTCAACAAAATTCTACTGGGAGTGGGGTGGCACATGTGGCACATGTGGCACATGTGGCACATCACCATGGCCAGCAAGATCCAGTAAGATCCAGTAAGATCCGTTGTGCCAAGGGATGCCAAGGGGCAAAAACGGTAGCGCCGCTCTTCGATTGGACGGCTCTGCTCCCGTAAGCGCTGCATGGCCCAAAGATCCGTGTGGCCAGGCACCACAGCGTCCTTCCAGCTATCGAAGCAAGTAGTACCTTGGAAAATGGGAGATGGACATGATTTCACCAGCATATGGGCGATGAATGAATAATGATGAATACTGGGTTCCCGGTATGACATGAGTCAAACTGGAGGAACCGTCTTTGTAGCAATTCGAGACATGACATGATGGTTGTCATCCTATTGATGAGAGCAGATTTGTAGAAGCATGCAAAGCTCTACGAGTTGACTTGAATGGAGAACTGAAGCACGTCAGACACAAGTCACGTGTCAAGATGGTTTTCCATTACCATCTGGTTATTTAACATAGCCATGGAAAATCACCATTGTTAATAGGTAAACCATCTATAAATGGGCCATCTATAGTATACCATGGCTATGTCAAATAACCAGAGGGTATATCTTTGGCATTCCAAGGTGCAATGTCTATATGGTCTGTATCGACGCGCATCAACCAAGGGATTGGCTTCGATTGCAAAGATCTTGGACCTTCCAACATGTGCTTCCCAGGATGGGAAGTCCCAGAACTCGTGGGCAAAGTGGAAGATGTGCTGCCTGGCCCAATTTTCACATATTTTCACTCAAAGCACAGACTGAAAGCTATCTTGAAACTTGAAACATAATTCTATGTTTTGACAAGCGTTAAACGTTTTAAATCCGTGGACCTTAGGAAGCCTTTGCCTTCCTACCTGGACGCGAGATACCATGGCACTATCTGATCCTGGCAATGGGTAAAGTCTTAGTCTTTCAGACTTCCAGACTTCCAGACTTCCTGTTCTGTTCTAAACCAGGAAGTTGGTTTTTGATCTGTTCCATTCTGTTCCCAAATTTGAAACAGCCGGGGTGGAAATGTTCTGCACCTCCTCCGATAGACGTCGAAATGCTCCAGGGACTTCACCTAGAACACCGTCAACGAATCCAAGTCGAATTTCACTGGATGATTTGGATGTGGCAGTGGCGGCAGTGCCCATGCCTTCATATCTTTCATACTTTGACGCAAAGGCAAGACTCAGTCAGCCTCTGCTATCCTTTAGTGAGAATTGACAAAGACTATGTAACAAAACATCACTGACAACTCACATACTGGATGTCTTGCTGGATATGGCTTTGTCAGGGTTGGTCCAAGGGTTGGGTACCCAAAATACCCATATTTTCTACTCACATTTTAAATTTGTTTAACTAGCCGTAACTAGCCCATGTTGATCCCTATGTTTCTACCATGTGTGGAGGCTATTTGAATCTATTTGATCCATGTTTTCCAGTCACATCCCATTGTAGCCCCATCGGCCGTCATCGCCATGGCACCAGTTCGATGTTGTGCTTGTCCAACTCCTCCGCCTCGCTGCCAGCCTTCATGTGAAGATTCCTCACGGTTAGACCAGGCCACCAGGCCTTCAGGCCACCAGGCTACCAGGCCATGCCATTTGAACATTTTGAAATGCATATCTTGATATATCTTGAAATATCTTGATATATTTTGATAAAAGAAAGGAAGACTATGGCAGATATGGACAAAATATGGAAAACTATGAGAAAAATCTGGAAGGATACTTTTCAAGTCACTGAACTAAAAGGAACTGTTTGCAGTGGCAAGTCCCGAAATCTTCTGGATGGAAACTCAACGGCGAGATCGGGAAAGGTGGCCCCTGTGTTGCACTCCAATCAGATGTTTAGGATGAGGTGCTTCTGATAAGACACTGTGTGCTTTCTGAAATTGTCAGTTCTCAATCGAAGCAGGAGACAAAACTGGGACCTTTTCTTTCTTCCTCTTTCTTCCTCTTTCTTCCTCTTTCTTCCTCTTTCGTCCCCCCGAAAAGTCATGGCGTTTTGAACTCTAGCTGTCGGCAAGGCTATGGCTGTTGGGCCAAATTCCCACAGCCATGAGCCTTCAACTGAGGCTTTGAGGCTTTGTTTTTCCAAGGAATCAAGAGAATCAGGGAATAGATGGGAAGAGGAAAAGAATGTAAAACAATCTTAAAAATTAAACATGAATGAAACTTATTTTGTAAGTCATATTCATATATATATATATTAATATATTATATATTCATATACATGAATCATTGAAAATGAATTACGGAAAGGGGCTGGAAGCAGAAGGAGTAGAAGGGCACGTAGAAAAAGTCGGCGTCGTCCGGCGACTCGGTGCGACAGCGACTCCGCAGCAACCAGCGATGGAGCAACGTCTCGGAGCCCTCCATGCCCGCGGCGCAGGTCAGCAGAGGACTGGCATACTCCGGCTTCGTCGTATAAACAAAGAACCAAGGATGGCCTAGCGGCGCCACAAAACATGGATCCAAAAAACCAAGCACAAAACAACACAGAAAAGTTGCATCACTTCACAAAGCAGGCCACACATTTTGCAAAACCTCTATTACCTCAGACATCCACCATGTGTTAGACTGGTTGGACTGGCAGATGTTTTTCGTTCCTGGACCGCCTTTGGATGTGGAGAACTCAATGCAGGCATGCCAGTCACCCATGCCATGTTACCGTTGCGGGTTTCTGTCACTCTGCACAATGCCTGGCTGAGTGCAAATCTCTGCGTCCACAGATGGATCCAAACCCAGCAGCTTGGGAGCAGCGTTGTGCAGGGTGAAATTCACCGACCAACCTCAAAGATGCGCACCACATGCATCTGTTCCATGTGAATCGGCAGATCCTATCGTTTCCCGTTCGGATTCTGCTCGAATTCTCACAGTCTGCGTCTCTAGTACATGTATACCGCCACCTACTATGGTCACACCCGGCCCTGGGGAACCTCTAGTCCTAGAGGTGGGAATTGGCTGAATTTTCCAGAAGACATTTGCATCCATGCAAGTGTTGGGTAGTGTCCGTTTTTGCTGCCTTTGGCATCTTCTTTGCTCACGTCCAACAGAACAAACAACTGTAATTGCCTGATTCTAGACTCTCCAAACTCTGAACATTGAAAAGACATATCAAAATGAATCAACATTTTATCAAAATGGATCAAACATCTCACAGTTTACATTTCAGCAGCTTTTCAACCTACTTTCGCCCATCTTTCGCCCATCCTTCAGAGTTTTCCGAGTTCCCATCCCTGGGACCCCTGGGACCTTCGGAGCCGTCCGCGTGCCGCGCCACGTCCTTGGCGCTGTGCCACAGCTCCAGCGCGGCCGCCTCGCCATCGTCGCGGTCCACGTAGGGCAAGACGTGCAGCAGCACCGAGGCCACGCCTCACCCGGGGCACAACCCGAAACGCTGCACCGGGAAACCACGGTTGAACCCCCAGCCTTAGGCGGGGTTAAACCCACGGATACTCCTGAAACTCCTGAAACATCATAAAACATAAGAAATACATGAGACACATCAGAAACACATGCAATGCATCAAACACTTGCATCACAATGTCACAACTTTTCCAGGTATGCCAACAGTTTGCAGCCATGATGGTTGCATGTGTGTGATCGTGTGTGATCGTGTGTGATCGTGTGTACCTGCACAGCATGTAATCCAGGCATGTTTTTTAGTTGAACTGGGCATAGCTGTGTCATGGCATAGCTACGCTAGAATTCCGAGACGAAATGTTCGAAATGGTCGCTGGTGATGTGGAAATCGCATCTCATCTTGCTCTGACTGCACCCTTTCGGTTATATCTTGGACTAAAAGAGCATCCGTTTTGCCAGATTGATGAATAGCAAAACGTGCACACAAAACGCCGTGCTTGATGTGATCACAATGTGTAATCTGTTTTGGCCATGGCCATGTTGGCCATGGCTAAACAATGCGTTCAACTAATCTTGTTCTCTTCGAAGTTCACACAACGGATGCCCGACATATCCCGTCATCATCATGGCGGCCATGGCGCCTGAGGCACATTTCGCCAGGTTTTGTGGCTGGAGCTGGCGAGGAGATCTCGGAGATCCCCAAGACTTGTAGAGATTGTACAGCATTTCCCGCCCCTCGCGGGGCAAAGGATTCACCGCCTGGACACTGCACTGGACACTGGGCTGGACACTGGGCTGGACACGAATGGATGACATGAAATTGAGGAATTGAGGTGAAGCTCCATGTCGAGAATAGTCCCGAGGAATATCAGGGCTGATCATGCTGATCCTGAGATATCCTGAGATATCCTGAGATATCCTGAGGCTGTAGCTGAAACCTCATCCAAATATTTCACGTAGTCCCAGGTTCCTTGATCTTCTGAACAGTCCAAGCCCTGTGTGCCGTACCTCCAGACATCTCCAGACATAGCATGAGACATAGCATGATGCATCCAGCACACAACCCCTTCAAAAGGCTTCAAAGGTATAGACAAAAAAGCGGGAGCATGAATATCTTCAGATATTCTTGAGATAACTTGTGAGGACTCCGACAAGGGTGGCAATGAACTGGCAAGATGACTAACCCTATGCTAAGCGCTGTTCATGGTAAAACATCTGCACTGACGATGTACATTCACGGGAACCTTTCTCTACTGCCACCTTCCGAAGTTTGATTGTATAGGGTTTCTTCAGGGCTATGTAGGGTTTGTCTAGGGTTTCTTTAGGGTTTCTTTAAGGTTTCTTTGGGGGTTCTTCAAGGTTTCCTTAAGGCTAATTTAGGCTTGATGTGGCCGTTCTTTAGGTTTCTGCGCGGCTTAGGTACCCGCAGCACTTTGCAGCATTCTGGCCGCAGAGGGTTCACAGGGACATCGCAACTGACCTAGAGCCATCTTGTTAGACCTTCTGCAGCGAAACCACAAAGTACTGTGAGGTAACCGCTGTGCGAAAGGTAGTTTTTGAGCATAGGACCTCAGAGAAGAAGTAGCTGGGAGAGGTAGCGATGAGGTGGCTCAGTGAAGAAGTACAGCAGTGAAGATGTAGCTTAGAGAAGACTTGGCTTAGGGAATGGGTGGCTCTTTCATTCATTGATTCATTATGATTCATTCCTTTTTTGTTTGTTTCATTTCATTTCATTTCATTTCATTTCATTTGCTTCTCCCTACGTCATCCTACATCCCTACGGTTTAATGTCTCTCCGTGCACGGGCGCACACGACCGCCAAGAAGGAAAGCGACAGCATCTCACGTCTCCCATGGTGTGCCACCAAAATCAGGTCTAGCAGCCCTGATGCGCCAAAGCTGGCGTCAATGCTTGGTCAAGGCTTGGTCAAAACATGTCAAAACATGTCAAAACATGTCAACTTGGTTAATTGATGTCAATTGATGTGAAATAGTGGAAATTGGTGTTAGTAACTGTTAATTGATGTTTATTGCCTCAAAGTTTTGACGCTGCCAAAAGCTCTAAGAGCCAAGTTTTGCTTTGCATCTTCGTTTTCAACACTCCTCTACTTGAACGCAGGAGCATTTGATAGCATTTGGCTGTTTACAGCATCGTTTTCAAACTCCTCTGCCTTACTGAAGCCTTACTGCTATCCCACTTAGTCCCAGTTTGGGCATTTGTTTTCAGCTGTACGTCGAATGTTTCGTAGTTCGTTTGGTCCCACATATGTCCAAGGATTGAAGCCAAACAGCTAAGATCAGGTTGGAACAAAATAAACATGTTTGGGGCAAAACGGAGGAATTACACGGACTCAGCATATCTTATTGTTGGTAAAAAAAAGTGAAATTGTCTCTGAGTTTTTTATATATTGCTTCAATGATGATCAATGTTTTGTTTGACCAGCCTCCGTCCCACAACAAACACTGCTTTGAGCAATCATGTTTTGAGTTCGGCCAAGCAATCTGAAGGTCCCGGAATGCGAAGCACCCTGCGCTTCAGAGGTGACTGGCGTTCAAACGATTTGGAAACGCCAATTTTGGCATTGCTGAATTGGAACCTATTGGTCTTGCAATGCCGTGAATTCCAAAACTGGGAGCTTCGCTCTCAATAGAGGAAGGCTTCGCAACTCTGCGATCTGCTACAGACTGTCATATCTGAGACATATCTGTCATATGTTTGATCATCTGGGAATGTCTGAGCCGTCTGCCTCGTGGTGCATTAGAATTGCTCTGAAAACGCGCTTAGATGTGCTTAGCAGGCCTTGTGATCAAGGAAAAACAAGTTAAGTTGGATAGACCGCAAGCAACAGCAAAATGATGTGCTTGAACAAATCTGGCATCAACACCACTCTGTGACACTTTGACTGATCATGACCAGTCAAATGTTGCATCCAAGGTGCTACCTCAAAGCTTGGATTTGTTGCCCTGATCAAGATGGTTTTTTTCTGCAGGCAGAAAACTCAGGAGTTACATCACCACAAGATGACGGCATTGGAAACTGCAACCTTGCTGCAAACTATTTCAATACCAGATCAAATGCTTGCACAGTCCACCATTGTATCTTAGAGATGAGGGAATTGAAAACAAGAGCAAATCAAAGCCATCAATTACAGATTTTCTGGCCTGGCGAATAGCCAAATCCAGCAGAATCTCCTGACACGATTTCTCCAAATTGCGCTGTCCAGTGACCTCCAGTGACCTCCAGTCACTTCCCGAGTCACCTCCTGCGCTCCTCGCTTCCACCAGGGATTGCGTAGGCGCCCACATCTCGGTAGAGCCTCTCTGCCTTGGCGATGCGATGCGATGCCATGCGATGCCACCAGGGAAACGAAGTGATTCGCACGGAGGATATGGAGAATCAATAGATTTCAATAGATTTCAATAGATCAGACCAGAAAACTGGACAGCAGAGGCTCACACATTTGCTGTCTCAAGAAAGCCAAGATCCAAAAAGTTTCAAAGACTTCGAAACAATGATAAACATGTGGGTTAATCATGGTTAATCATGGTTTTAATCATGGTTCATCATGGTTATATAATCTAACTCATCTATAGTTCATCTAACGCATCTGACATCAAGCGATCCGATGGTAACCACACCTTCTCTCCCAGGCCGGATCGAGTGTAGGCGTTGCCTCCAAAGATCTGGCGCGCCTCGGCGACACCGTAACGACATGTCACAGAGAATCACAAAGAATCACAAAGAATCACAGTAGAGACATCTATATAAAGATATGTAAAGACATCAGCATGCTTCAAAATCAAAGAATCGAGACAATCTAAGAAGGATCCAGCCCAAAACTGCCAAAATCACACGTTTTCCATGGTGTTTTCCGTTTTTTGCCTCGATTTTTTCGTCGGTTTTTCTTCGGTTCCTGTGGAGTCTCTCCCGCCTCACGGGCGCAGTACTCAAAGACCTTGGAGGAATGAGCCTGGCGCCGCAAACATTATCAACATCGATCAAGGTTGAAAACCGTTGAAAACCCTCAGGAGCTGACTATTGGTTCAAATTGGTTGAAAACGGGTTTTTCAAAGTGGGAATCTCTCAAATCTTTCGACATCTTTCAATATCTCCAAAGACAAGTTAGAAATGCCGAATTTGGAAGCGGTTTCGTTTTTCATGGTTTTCGGTGGGAGGTCTCTGCTCGCCTTCATCAGTGCGATGGGGCCGCCGAGGGTGGTCATGGCCTGCACAAAGGCATCACAAACCATCCCCTTCGTCCCCTTCGTCCTTCGTGTTGCAAAGCAGTTTGTTTGGGAAAAAGATGCAGAACGACACTATCTTTGGAAAAGGATATTTAAAAATGTAATGTAAAAAGATAGAAGAAGATATACAAAGGGATTTCAAACTCACACCGTCACGCCGACAGCATCGCCTGGTCCTTGGGCATCCTGCAAAAATGCTGCTCCCAGCAAAGGAAAAGGATGGAAAAAGGATGGAAAAGGATGGGAAACGGCAAGAATGGGCCAGAAAAATCTCAATTCATTGCACGGCTCTCTGTTTCATGTCTCCACTTTCTACAGACTCCTTCGATTCTCGTGGCAAAACTTATCTCCGGGTCATACGGGTCATACCGAGATAAGTGTATTTCGTACCGTGGGTCTTGTCGTAGCTGTCGTAGCTGTCGTAAGGCCGTGACTTGCAGAGCTGAAAGGTCAAGTTCTCCAACCAGTGATGGATTCCCTCGACCTGGTCTCAGCGTGACGTGCTACGTGCCCGTGGACCACGTCATGACACGTCGATATGTGATGATATGTGATGATATGTTAAGGAGCACTTCACATTATGACATCAACGTTTGAAACGGCGAGTAACGGCACAGCAAGTCTCCTTTCTCATCTTTCTCTACGGAAACATCAGACATCATCAGACGTCTGTTTCTAATGGGTTTCTGTATGCTACAATCATATCAATAATTATATATATCGAGAAGCAACTTCATGTTCCCCAAGGTTCCCCATGTTTTCGACTGATTTCCTACTGACTTTTGTCGACTGTTTCCCATTTCTTCCCATTTCTTCCGACCGGACGCCTGCCGAGTCATCTCCGCGAGCTTCCAGCGGATCACTGGATGCTCAATGAGTTTCTTCCTGGCGGTGGCATATATGGCATATGGATGGCATGTGACCACTTTCACGGGGAGAATGACCAAACAGGCGAAGGAGCTCTTCGAATGGTTCTGAAAGCTGTGCTTTGACAGCAAAGATTCTGAAGGAAAAACATGCTGCATGAACAGACTCTGCTGTGACAGCGGAAGAGGGAGGGGAACGTGAAGCGGTTGTGAGTAGTGGAATTGGTGCTTTCATGCTGCCATGTTCAATCAAACATTTCAACTAGCCGGCCAGGCCCAAAAGTGGATCGCTTGTTCGCAAATTCCCACGAACTCAGCGAAAACGCCACGATACACACAGCACTTTGACATGTCTTGGGTTTACGCAGCTGCCCGGCTACCCGGCTCAACAAGCGTTCCCAATCTTGGGTAAGTTCTGCATTTCTTCCCTCGATACCCTGCTCGCTGAAAGCGAAATGGTTCTTACTTGTACGCAGCTGCGCTAGTACGCAACTCCACTTCTGGCGTTTCTTGCGAAATGTGCATCTGGCGCAAACAAAAAAACGAATATCATCGAACATCATCGAACATCCCTAGATCGGTGTTTGTGGGCAGCCTTCCTGCACCGCACCTGTGAAGTTGTAATGGTGTTGGGCTGCGGAGGACTTTGAGAATCACATGCTGTCACAGTGGAAGTTGATTGGTTTGGGACACGAATCGACGAAGGCTTAATGCTTAATTTGCTTAATTTGCTTAATGCACTCGATTTAAATGACTTAAAATGCACCGGTCCCCTCACTCTAAGGTGGATGCAATATCCCCTCTTAGTTCATATCGTGGGGTCATCATGTCAAAAATGTGGTCGATTTTGTACAAGGGAGAATTGGGTCTGATCCGCTACAGCGACTGCATTGATTTCAGGATGCCAACAGCTTCGCATGAAACTGACCAAACCTCGCGCATCACACTTCCTCACGCTTCATCATATGCTTATTATATGCTTCATATGACTCGTATCACTTCATATCACTTCATATCACTTCATATCACTTCAACGAACAAAGCCGCCATAGAAAGCCGCCATAGATGGCGCCAAAGCCGAGGTCGTGCCGGCGTGCCGTGTGTCACTCAAGGCACTCAAGTCACTGGAGTTCGTGTCCGAGTTCGTGTCCGAGGCCGCAGCTCTTCGATCAAGCATCGACTGAGTCGGCTGGCCTACGGACGTCTTAAAACGGTCATGTGACGGTCAAACATGTGGAGGTTTCCATGGGGGTACTCGGGTACCATTAAAATGGATGGTTATGGATGGTTTATAGTGGAAGATACCGTAAGATACCATGAAAATGGATTTGGGAGTACCCTTGACAATGAATGTGTCACAGACATGGCATGCTCTGAGGACATCATATGACATCTTCTCAACTCAACAAACTCCTGATGAATCATGATGATATTATGATGATATTATGATGATTCACATGCTATCGCGTCCATTTATGAAGTGTGATGAAACGTCCATTGAATCATTCTGTTGCTGGCTCCTGCACCACGAAGCCCCAGCGCTCGTGGTTGAAATTCTTCATGATGACACCAAAGCCCTCATTCTCCTCCCACACCATCCACAGCGGGATTCTACATGATTCTACGATACTGCCGGTCTTACTCGATCTTACTCGATCTTACGATACCAGCTGGTGAGCTGGTTAGTTACTGAAAGGATTGAACGAATCGAATGTTTACAACATGCAAATGACAGATATGACAGATATGACAGTTACATCAGTTACTGTTACAAGGACGTCATCCCCGCTGGTCAAACTCTGAGACCCAGAGGCACCTTCTTTGAAATGGAAATATGATGAAATATGTCGTGTCCAGATGTGGAATCTTCAGAATTGACAGAATCACCCAGGTGAATCACAGACTCTCATTATCTCTCATTTGTCTCGCTCTCTTGGAACATCTTGGAACATTGCCAAACATTGCCAAACATTGATCTGCTCAAACTGCTCCTTGCCAATGAGGTTTTTCGCAGGCACCTTAACCTCAGTGCGGCAACTGTAAGTTGTTCAACTTCGCACCAAACGGATCCAAACGGTATCCCAACGGTATCCTCATTGCTGAGATCCTTGGCCGAATCAAATTCCACATAGGTTGTGCCACTTGGCCAAACCTCAGGATACGTCAAACAGATGTCAAGACGTAAGCAGGAAAGAGATGGAAAGAGATGGAAAGAGATGCAAGAAACGGATAGAAACGGAACAAAAACGAATGGCGCATGATCTGCATCTCTGTTTCCATTTCTGTATCTTCTGCCAAGGTTGCCAAGGTCTCGACACCTTGGCAGTCCATCCTCTTCGTTGTGATCCTCTCAGTGGAAATCTACGAAAGGAAGATTAATAAAGGAAGATGCAGAAGATTATATAACTACAGATGAAGTATAGTGATAGTGATTACATGTGATTACCACGATTCGATACAAAGAGTTCGTTGATTTGGGCATCGATTTCTCACTGCAGGGCAGTCCCGGGGCCCTTCTCCAAAAGAAGCATCGAGACTCCGCGCATACCCTCGGTCACCGGTGATTCAGATGGCTTTCAGATGGCTTTCAGATGGCTTCAGGACTAAAAATCATCGATTTCCCACGGAGTTCCATGGAGTTTCTCCGATTCGGGCGCTGCATTTGTGGAGTCGGCTGTCGACATCTGTCGACTTTCGCTGTGGCTGCGACTGGGCCACCAGTGCGCACTGCACAAGTAAAGTAGTCGGAGAAGATCTGAAGCGAAACATCGGGCAAACCACTGCATGATGACTCATGATGACTCATGATGACTCATGATGACTCATGATGACTCATGTGCATGATAAACACATATACAAATAATATACATGAAACTGCATGAATTTGTGAATGTGTTTCTCCTGGAGGCAAGAAATGATTTGTCTGTGTTCAGTTTGTAGACATCTGAGAGGCTGACGCCATTTGTGATCCATTTCTTGTTTCCATCGACAATGTAAAAGTCACCATCCTTCTTAGCCACTGTCCTGCAAACTTTGGAAAGTGCAAGGATTATCAAGGATTATCAAGGATCTGTTTTCGCAAACTTTGAAAGACTGGACTCTGGACAAACTTGATTGCCAAATTGCGCAAGAGTTCAAAACATCGAAAATCGGGCATCGGCGCACTTGATGGCAGCCACATCACTTCCAGCGTTCGGCTCTGTGATGTTCAAGGAGATGATTTTTTTCCTGGCATCATTCTGTCAGAAGAACACCAGGAAAAACGCTTTTCAGGGCAAAATGGAAGTGCAGCGGCAACCACTGCAACCCAACATGGGCTGACAGACATGAAAACTGCTTCACATATCAGATTGCTCTAGATATCAGACTGAAGAGATACAACAATTTGGAGCAAACCCGCAGCATTGGGCCACTTGGGCCACTTGGGCCACTTGGTTTCTTTCAAAGAAAGTCAGGAGCGCCCCATGAGGCAGTCCGGGGCCTTAAAACAAAACATATAGTCAATTATAGTCACAGAAAACATCCTCAGCAAAAGAGCTGACAAATCCAAGTGGCTCGAGCCTGACATGTTCAGATGTACCGAGGTCGTGGCCACGCGTTTCTTCATCTCGTCCGAACCGAAGTTCAGCACCGGTGGAAGACCGATCTGCAGCCCCTTGCAGACACACACGTGAGAGCAACGCGAGAGCAACGTGAGCGGATAGCAATGGTGCAAAAAAAATTGTACATCACCAGCCATTTCACGAATTTTCAGTGATCAGGTGTCAGATTTCCATGATATTCCATGATATCATATTCATTCATATTCCATCTAGTTTAATGGTTGTAGAGTTTTGTTGAGGTCACTCATGTCAGTGACTTTTGTTGAGGTCTGTTGAATTTTGAAACGCCCATCCCATCCCCCCAGCTTCGCTCCTCGATGAGTCCCCACAGGACTCCGCCGCTTCCGCATCTTCCGCAACAGCGCATCACGGAAATCCACACAGCACGTAAATAAGCAGATGATAGGCAGATAAGAAATGATGAGAACAGATAGGACTCCAAGTTTCACTACTGTTTTAGCTTCTTGTTTGTCTTTGTGTTTGAGATGTACCATGTTGATCATTGTTGATCATTGTTGCATTGGTGTGTCACAATGCCTGGCGAGCTCATCCACAAAGATCAGCTCATGGAAGTAATCCAAATCCTGAGACAAGGTGTCAAGGTCAAGTGCAAGATCTGCTGGTCTCTTCAGATTTTCAGGACATGTTTTCATCATGTTTCATCAACATATATAACATATATCAACATATATCAGTCATATATCAACATCAACATCAACATATATCAGTCATATATCAACATCAACATCAACATATATCAGTCATATATTATGTCAACAAATATTCTATATATATATATATATCCAATATATATATATGATATGATATACATATATATATATAATATATATTATATATATATATATCCATATATCAACATAGATATCTGTTCGACTTCCGTCCTCAGGGGCATCGTAGGGCACCAGGTCAAAGGCACCGGAGTGGGCGCCCACCACAATAGGCAAAAGCCCAGCCTGCCCAGGGCTGCCGAGGACTGCTGAGGGCTGTGACAGGTCTCGGCCCATTTGATGTGTCAATTGTTGTCAGTTGTCAGGTCTCTCAATTGCCCATTTACGAACCAATTTAAGAACCAATCGCAGGCCTCAAACCTTCCTACATCAATCTACCATCCTTGTCGTTGTCTCAACTGGCGCTTACAAGGTGCACCTCTGCACACTGGATGTAAGTCTCCTTGGGCACTGCCTTGTTCACCTCACAACTTCGACAACTTCGGAGGTGTGAATCCAAGTCGATTCCCTGCGAATGTCCAGAGATGTCCAGAGATGTCCAGAGACTAGCTATAATGGTTATTGGGAGGATTACCCTCTGGTAAACTGTCACATAACTATGGCAAATCACATTTTTAAATGGAAAAATCCACAATTTCAGTAGGGATAATGTCTGCTGCAGTCTGCAGACATCTCACAGCGCACAGTCTGCACCTCCCACTGGCTGACGAAGGGAATGATGTGTTCGTCCACAAAAGCTCGGCATCGCTTTCGCCAGGCCTGGACGACACAGTTGTCACAGTTGTCACATCGACACGGCGACACAGCATCATGATGCATCATGTACCCTCTAGTAAACTAACATAGCTATTGAACATGGCCATTTATAGTGAGTTTTCCCATTAAAAATGGTGATTTTCCATAGCTATGTTAAATTACCAGAGGGTAAGCTGCCTAGTTCTGTGCAGTTCGATCCAAACGCTTGAAAATGCCTTTTTTTATCATGTGTTTTCATAGTTTCAAATTACAAACGTCACAAATTGAAATTCCCCACAAGCAGGAAAATCGGGAAATAAATGGAAATCAGTTTTTGAAGGTTCTGGGAGTACATAAACGACATAGGAACTGAAATAAAATGATGCGACGCACTGGAGCTAGACCAAGTGCAAGCTGCCATAAGCTGCCTTATGGGTCTCCTTGTAGTAGGCGCTGTGGTAGGCCTCAAACATGAACATCATGAAGACAACATGATCACAACAATCCAATCTCCAACACTGCACCAACAGTAAAACAAGTGAAAAAGGATCGACTTTTTGCAGCAAACACTGAGCAAACACTGCGCAAACAGTGCGGTTTCTCTGAGGTTTCTGGCACCGTTGTACCAATTGGGGTCGCCATAGGGGTTGCCAAGGCCGAAGGTCTCTGGGGCGCTCATGGTTTGAGAACCGGTAACCTGTGCGGAGAGCTGATCAAAATCATCAAAATCATCAGACTTCCCAGATTTCCTCCAGATTTCCCACCTGAGATCGGATGTGAGGCTGCGGAAGCTGCGGAAGCTTGAACCCTTTGAAACTGCACGGGTTGTCAAAGGTTCACAAAGGTTCACAAAGGTTCACTGGGTTCACTACATGCACCTCGATTGTCGAGCCATGTACCATGTGTAGAACGTCTTTTTTGCGTCCCGTGAACAAGGCCCTGTCCTTTCTGCCATCCTTACCCAATGCTAGGCCTGATTTCTAGTCTTTGGCAGTGCTACAACCAGTTCTAGACTTTGTGTAGGTGTTTAAACTGTTTAAACATGTTGCTGTCAGTACCAAAAAAGGCTTTTGGACACTCGCAGCTCAGCAAAGGCTCTCTCTGTAACACTGTACAGCTTTGCTTTGCACTCTCGGTCTTCGACCAACGCTAGGAAAAAAACCGACTCCATCCGTGACTGCAAAGAGCGGCCAAAGAGCCAGGATTTTTGCATTTCTTCGTTTCAACTTTTCTCATTTCTTCGCCTTTTTGTTCTGAGCCTTGATGAAGTTGTCCAAGGTCGTGCAGCATTTCCTCAGCAACCGAGCGGGCAAGCACCCTGCGCACCAACTTGAACAATACATGTCGAATATATGTCGACATATCCAAAGGAGTTGTGAAGTCGGCGTGCGGAAAACGCATAATCTATACTTTATCCGCTTAAAACGTTCTGACAAATTGACACCAAAAATGGTTGTTTCAGTCTGGCATCTTAAAGTTTGCCTCTTTAGGTAGCTGGACCAAAGGCGCAAGTGCACTCTTCACGCGCTCCTGACGGTCGAAGATGGTCGAAGACACATGAGACACATGAGACATATGAGACACATGAGACACATGAGACACATCCTAGAATCTCTGTGCAGAAAATGGACCCATGAAGGAAGCCGTCTCTCTCCAATGGGCCGGTGAAAACAAAGTTGCCTTGAATCATATTTAAGTCATATTTGTCATGACTTCTCATTGTGCTTGATCATCTTGATCATAGTCATAGGAGTCAAAGTCATGACAGTCATATATAGTCATGGTCATGATATGTCATGATGTCAGCAGGGCCCCAAGGCACAGGTTTCATCCTGTGCCGCTGGCTTGAACGCCGAGGGATGAAGTTCTTTGCTTCCGAAGGCTTTCGTCACCTCCGGCAACGAAGCATAGTCTTTGTCCTGATCCAAATCGAACAAAGATCCAAAGATCATCAAAGATCCACAGCTAAAAGATGCTAAAAGCAGATCTCTCGCACAATTCTGGCACATCATTTTGCAACATGCCCAGCATCGTCTTGCATTTCTCAGTATGGTTTATCTGTTCTCTTGGTCCCTCTTGGTTGTCATTTTTCACTCCAAGCTTCTCCCCCATGTTCCGCTTTCTGCCGCACTTCCAAGAGGGGTCGACTAGTATCCTCAGCATCAGTGGGTCAAGCACATTCCAGGGCTCATTATAGCTGAAAAAAGGGCCAGGAAGGCCTGGCCTAACCATGCCTAACCCCCTTTAGCTGAACATGAGCTCATTTGCCATTTGGCTCCGTAAAAAAGAGAATCCGAATATGTCCGAATATTCGCAAGGATAACATGCACAAAAAACAAAAATCCCAGAAGAACGAGAAGAGAGGGACAAGTTGGACAGTCGTTGGTGTACCACCCGCAGCAACAGCAGTTGGAACATCCTGCAACGGCCTGGGTCAAGGCACCAAGAGCTCACAGGACAGGACCAAGTCGAGCAAATCCATCAATGGATTGTTGGCCAGCTCCCCCTCCAAACAGTAACATTTCTTCATCTTACCTGCCAGTTGTGACCAAATGAGGGTGATTTCTGTAGAAAACAGAGATGCACGAAAAAAATATCCTACCAGCAGAAGGCTTTGGGAACATGGAAGATGATGGAAGATGCAAGAACCAGAGAAATTGACAGGGTTTATCTCCAAGATGCAGCCAGATCGGAATTAAACATGTCATCACTATGTCTGAGTCATGAGGCTGTTCCATATGCTCTCGCCCTCTCCAAGGACCAAAGAGATGGAAGCATCTGACTTCTTTTTCTCCACATCAACAGATGGAACGCAGACCTGGCGAACTGACTCAGGAAGCTAAGGAAGCAAACGGAGTGCAAACGGTGCTACTTGATGCTACTTGGACGTGTTCGGCTCCCAAAAAAAGTACGGGTCCAAACCACCTTTCAACAAAACACCGGTTGCTCCCACCTCGGTGTTTGCGAAATTCTCCTGTCGAGAAAAGCTTGGAGTTTGGAGCGGCAAACAACGCAGCATCTAACGTGCATCATGGTTTTGTATGCTGTCCGGAAAACTGAAGATAATGATGATCTTTGAATATGTTGAATCTTAGCTGCTTATTCTTTTTTATTCCAACAATATGCCAATGGTCCTTTAAGTACTGCATCCCCAAAGTGTGGTAGCGTTCGCAGTTCTCGTCGGAGTAAATGGTAACTTCTTTGACTCCACGACAGAGTGCCAGCGTGTCAGCCACATGCATCAAGGTTGCCTGAAGAATTTTGTGGCCACACATGACATCGCCAAGTCATGCCAAAAATCGACCAAAAATCATGCCAAAATTCTACCAAAATGAATCATGCCAAACAAGTTTTCAGATGTGTTTTGAGCATTCGGCCTTCTCAAGCCAATGGATGCAAAGTCGTGGGCGATGAAAATTGAAACAATACACGTCGATACACGTCGTTTCTTTTGCCAAGTCACAACAACCTGACCACTTTCGGTCAAGCTCTCTCCAGCTGGGAGGTGATTGGCAACCTGCAACAGGGGACTTCACCATTGGATAATGATAGAATCTGATAGAATGATAGAATTCCTGGAATTCCTGTGTCAAGTTCAATTTCAAAGGATTTAATCCAGCTGAGTCCAGCTGTGTCAAGCTGTGCAGCATCGGCCTCCTCAAGACCAATGACCGGCTCCTCTCCCTTCGCAGTGAGGCGCTTCTTTCGTCCCGCGTCAATGACACTGATCCTGAGCCAAGCTGGAAAACTATGAATTCAATGACGACAAGAACAACAAGATATACATATTATATTATATAATATAATATATATATATATATTAAGGTATAACAAGATATTATATGTATATGTATATGTAACAAGATATAACATGATGTAACTTAAGGTAGAACAAATTCTGGCCAAGTTGAGAAAATGAGGAATTTCACCGGCTCCGAGGGTCCAGTACATGTTGGGATTGCGCAAGATCTCCTCGGACTGCAGTTTCACCTCGCCGAATCAGGGCTCAGCAGCACTTTCTGCGTTCAAACTTGGCCCCAAAAAAAAAACGTCTTCAGAAGTAGCCTCTGGGAAACTAACAGTTTGCTATGGAAAATCACCATGTTGAATGGGTAAATCATGGTAAATCCACTATAAATGGCCATTTCCAATAGCTTTTTGTATGTTTACCAGAGGGTAAACGATCTTTGGAGATGTTTGGGGCAAAAAAACACTGGTCGTTGCAAGGCTTTTACGGACTCAGCTGACTCAACGCAGATTCTGAGGAATCCGCCTCGATGTCCAGTTTCACAGCTTTGGCCAAGGCTTTTACGGACTCAGCCAGGATGCCATAGTACGCAGCGATGGCCTCTCACCACGAAGATCCACGTGAGACAAAAAAGAAACACAGTTCTGGACTTCTGGACCAGTACAAAACATTCTAAAACGGGTAGGAAAAACATGGAAAGACTATTGAAATCTGGGTTGTTCTTCTGTTTCTACTGCTTCCCACGTCGTGGAATGACCAACTCGCTGAGTGTTACAACTAGCTGCCGTAGCTTTTTCCAAACGGCGGCACGGCGGTGGCATCGCCTTGAGATCACCGTTCATCTTGTCCAAAGCTAAGCATGACCAGTCTTCGCACCAAAGCACCAACTTCGCACCAGGCTTCCTGTGCTGCGTCGAAGAGCCCCCTCTAAAAATGTCGTTCAAGTACCTCTACTATCAGCTTTGATGGAAATGGCTAGATTTGCTTTCACACCCGAAGTTCGATGAAATTCAAACGAAGAAATCTGCCAAAAACGAGTTGTTTCATTTTTTTTTTTTCAAAAACATCCCAAGAGTCCCATGATCATCATTATCTTCCCACAATTCCCAGCATGTTATCATCTTTTCTGATGTGTTCATCTGTTCTTACCATTTTTGATGATTTTTTGATGATTTTTTCATCCTACCATTTTCCCATATTTTCCCGGAAATGCTCCGAGGTCCGTCCGAGGTCCGTCCGAGGTCCTTCCGCGCACCAAGGCCCTGAGCGCCGACAGCGTGGCTTCGGCGGTGACCGCACAGGCGCCATCGGGCCGCGGGGCGAAGACCACCGCCACGGCCGTGCCCGTCTCCTTCGAGTATGTTCCACATATAGTTCACATGTTCCGACATAGTTTCTGTTGATTCTGTTGATTCTGTTGACAGTTAGATGTTCTGTTGAAATTTGCAGATCATTGGACTCATTGAAGTGTCATGAACTCATTGGAAGTCTTTTGACTCAGACTTTCATCGGACTCGACTCGTCTCACAGGCCGTAGCGAACCCATCTCCCCATCTCCCCATCTCCCCATCCAAGGCACAGAGAAGACCTGCAAGCTCCGCAACGGGGATGCCTTCACCTCAAGCACTCAACGGTGCGAAGCGCTCAAGGTCAAGGTACTTAGGTTCTTAGAAGTTCTCAGGCACAACAACACTATAGCACTATAGCACTATAGCGCTATAGACATACCAAGACATACTACTGATTTACTACTGTAGCACTAAAAGAAGCCTCGTAGCTCAAAAAAAAATGACGCAAGGCTCAGGTTTTTTTTTCCCCAAGACAAGCTTCGACGCCAGAGTCTTTGTCACGCTGAACCTCCGCTTTGTGCTGTTCCACAAGAGCCACCAAATCTCTCGCCTCCTTGTCCTGCAAGGTGCAACCGTCCTTATTCGATGTCCCTGATGTCCCATCGATGTCCCCTTGTTATCGTTGTTATCGTTGAAGGATGTTAAAGGATGTTGGATGTGAAAAGGTCCTCTGCGAAGTGCTTTCGGCATCCTGCCATGATCTCGTTCCTCGTGTTTGACATAGCGTTTGACAACCCCTGATCTGGTAGAACAACATAGAACAACTCTAGGGGTGTTGAGATGTACTGAGAGGTGAGAAGATGGGAGTCATCCGAGAACTTTCCTCCCCACATTCGAAAATGTCCAACTGATCGCTACGACTCGTGCGAGGTGGGCACAAAGTTCGGCCCGGTAGACCGACGGTAGATCCCAGTAGTCAGTGATAATCAGTCCATGTGGCTTTCTCCGAGGTGCAGTCTTTCAATGCAGGCCTCTTTGAGTCCTTTCTCTGTGATCTTTCCTTCAATAAAATCTTTTTCCAAACTATCAGCCTGGCTGGGAAAAGCTTTCAGGGCTCGAGGGGCCGAAAAAGGGCCCGATGAAACTAAGAAACAAAAGTCTGGAATAGTCTGGAGAGTCTCAAGCCAAGGATAACACTGATAACACTCCTGCGGAAAGTATCCTGATGTATCCTGTATCAACTGGTTCGATGCTATCCAGTGACACCAGTGGATGTCTGGTGAGAGCTCTTCGCCCTGCCTCATCATAGGTCTTTCCATCAATGGTAATGGTATGTCGGCCTTTGGAATTTTCCTCGGGGAAGGGTTTTGTTGACAAAGCTCTTCTCTACATTTCTCTACATACAGTATTTGGCTTCAAGACTTTTTCAACTTAACATAGCTTAACATAGCTTAACACTTCCGAGGCACCAAAATGAGGTAGCCTAAGCACTCACTTCGTGTGCGAAGGTGTCGCCAATGTGTTTCACACAGCTCGAGACACAGCTCGAGACACTCGCCAAATGGGACACAGCTCGCTACCCTGAGCTGCCCACGGACATAGTCGATCACTGGATTGTTCAAAATCCACTCCTCTGTGTCATCACCCTGCAACTCGCTCTGCTTTGCGGACTTTTTCTCTTTTTCACCTGACTATGGCATAAATATGGCAGAAATACGGCATAAATAAATGGCATAAATATGTCATAAATCATATCAAATTGAATTCATTCAAATTCTGTGCTATCTTTCATGAAAATGCGTTCAGTGGCTCCTTTGGCATACAATTTCAATCAACCGTCCATCAAGACCTGCCCCATCGATGCAGTAGTTCTCGTCTGTGTTTCTTACTGTCTAGGATCTGAATTCTGAATATAATATCTATTAATATCTAGTCATATCTATTATTATCTATTATTATCTAGTTAATTCTATTTATATGTGTTCTTGATATTCGAAGAGGTTTCTGGTACTTCCCCTGATCTTCAGCGTCTTTTCACGGCATTTTTGGATTTGTCACGAATATTTGGTCAAGAAACGGGGACATGCCGCATTGGTGATCTTCCGTCTTACATCTTCTGGAGTGTCCTGCGCTGAATTGATGGTGCCCTAATGGTGCCCTATGGTGCCCATTTGTCTGCCACTTTTGAGGGACACATACGGACAACTGAAGGACAACCGTTTTGTCAACGGCAGAATCCTCCATGAAAACGGCAGAATCGGGATCGCTCTTGGACATCTTGGCTTGCCCAGCCTTCAATCCCATCCTTGGACGAACAAAACACAACTACAAAATACTACAAATATCATCAAATATCATCAAATATCTGCACTGTGTTCAAAGATCTTCAAAGATGTTCTTCCATGATCTTCCACGTGATGCAGTCTGATGCAGTCTAGAAACAGCATATGATGAGACAGAATAATAGGCTTGTGTTTGATGCCAACTGATCCGCAGTACTCTCTGGCTTGCATATTCACCTGCAAAAGCTGCATCTGCATCAACAGTGTGTTCCATCATCGGCTTCCAAGGGAGAAAAAAACCATGAAAATCACTGGATGTCAAGGCGAACCTTCCTTTGGTCAAGGCCCAATTGGCAAATATCCGCCCGCAGCAAAAAGATGTCCTCGGAGCAGGCTGTGACATGGACAGTTTTGTGTTTCTCTGAAGAATCTTCAGACAGTTTTTGTTTGTCTTCTGCTGGGGACTTGGGAACTTGCAAGAGTGAAATGTAACATCTGTAAGATCAACTCTGGTTCGCAACAAAAAGCTTCTGGAACACCCTTTGCACTGAAGCATAGTTCTTTCTTCGATATTAATATCCCATGTTTTTGGGGTGACCTGGTTCTTTTGCCATCCATGTCCTATGTCAATATATGCCTGCAAGAGCTCTCTGCAAGAGTAGCTCTACCGTATGGAAAGGTCCAAGCTGCTGTACACTGCATGAGAGGATAAAGGATCTGGGCAGCTGTGAGGTTTCCTTCCTCGCGGCCCATGATGGTGCAGCACCTTCGAAAAGAAACACGGCAGGTGCATCTCGACATCTTGATAGAAGCAGAAAAAAAGCATCACTTTCAAGTAACTACTTCCATTCAACAAGATCTTGACTGGTAGAATATGGCGAATAAGAGATAATATGAGCTGTCAGGCCGGAATTACCATGATACAACTTCGATGCAGTGATCGGTGCTACCAAACCCTCTTGTTTTGTAGATCCCCGGCCTTTTCACTCGGACCAGGGAAGTAACTCTGCTGATGTCCAACATTTTGGTCCAATACCTTCGCGACTTCGCGACAGCGGAAACGCAGGGCTTCTAGTTCGCAAGATGTTTCGCACACAAAAAGAGGCTGAAATGGGTTGCAGATGGTTGCAGAATGTACATGGCTGCTGGCTGCAATGCAATGCAACTCTGCACAAGTGGAACTTCACACCTAGCAGAGTTTGCAGGCTGGTCAGACTGTCCTTTCAAGGATCAAATAGGATCAATATACAAGAAACAGTTGTAGGGTTTGCTTCCCCATCTTCCCCTTTGCGATGCTCAAGTCATCTAGGGGAAGCTGCGGGTGCGTGCAAAAACTCATCCAACACCTGTTTGAGTTGACATTCTTGGGATCTTCTGGGACAGTTTCTGGGGTAGGAAATTCTGACAGATTCTCGTGACAGATCTAGACACAGCTGGTTTTTCGAGTGACTCGTCATAGGCCCCCGGTTCACCCTGTCGCGGACATATCGGACATAGCAACACGTGGCAGCTGAGTGGCTCAGTGGCGTTCTCTTCGATAAAGTCCGAAGCCCAGATGAAGCGCACGTTTTCCATCTTCATACCGCAAGACTTCCAGACGTGCACGAAATACATGCCGGTGTCCTCCGGGACAAAGACACGCAAAGTTCTTACGCGCCGAGAACTTTCACTTCTCTCCATGTTCTTTCGTGTTCCCTCCTGTTCCCCCTCCTGTTCCCTGGCCTTGATTTTTTTCATGTCTCCTCCCATCTTGTCGTTCATCAAAGCAAACCAATCCGCCACGTAAAATTTGAAAATGCCTCCAGCTTCAGTACATTTGTTCACCTTAGACGACTTCGGTCCGACGACTCCGACTTCGAGGATGAGATGTCCTGAGTGCCACACATTGACGGCCTTGAAAAGGCCCTGTGCTATGTGCATTCGGCCAGAAGGCTCGAAGCCATCGTAAAGATTGAACGAAGCTTTCCGCCTTGGCCATAGCAGGCCATAGCAGGCCTTCAAAATCCTTAAACACAAAGCTTTCCCTTCCAATATGTCACTCAATTTTAGAATATCTTCGGCAAGGTCAAAGTGTTCATAAGTGTTCTATCTTTCAGGCTGCAAAAGGCATGTCAATGTCTGGGAAGGGAACAGGGACATACATAGAGACATATGGGAGTGAAAACACAAAGCTTGGAATTCTGCAGGTAGAAACGGGTCAGAACCGAGGCAGTGGTTTGATGTAGTACACCATTGGCAAGGACCCAACTCCCTGGCCTCAATAATTCCTTCAATTCTGGCTCTGTTTGGCCTTGGCATTGGAAAATTGGAAAACCTAGCTGATAAGGAAACACACTTGGCGCAAGGGTTGGAAGGATTTAAAATATTCAAAGCCACCAGAGTCGACTGCGCCCTGGCTAATTGAAAAGGATTGAAGGGTTAGAAATTTCTGGATGGCTTGTTGGCAATTTCACGGGTTTGCCAACATTTGCCAAACATGTTGTTGCAGCAATCAATTAGTCAATTAGCATTGCACAGGGATCCATTTTTTCACAAGATCGAAAAATCCGAAATCCGAAATCCGAATCCGAAAAAACTTCGGATCCGGATCTCATCCAACTTCTGCCAACTTCCACCCGGATTCCACCCGGATTCCACGTGTAGAGACGTGGCACATTCCTCGCCCACGCTCCGCAGGAGGCGAAAGCGCTGCTCGGTGCCGTCGTCACCGGTGGCATCCACGGCCGAGGCCTCCGCCGGCTCACCTCGATGGGTCGCAGGTCTGTACGACAGATGTACGACATGGTAAAGATGTGGTAATGATGTGGTCATATAGTAATTTCCTGATATGATATAAAATAATATAAAATAATATAAAATATATAAAACTATATGAGAAATGATAAATTCTGATAAATCTCGGTTCAAATCTCATCTTTGCTGATTTCTGCTCTTTGCATCCACGGAAATCCAATTCTGCTGTCAACCCGTCAACCTCCCATCAAGCTCCATATCTTGAATCGAGCAGCTCTGGACTCCGCCCTTCGCCTTCGCTACAAATTTCTCCACCTCAAGCCATGCTTGAAACTTTCGCAGCATCTCCATCTGTGTGCGTTCCAAGTTTCCTCCATTTTGTTCCGCTTGGAACCACGTGTTCCAAGTGTTGATCCATTTCGTTCCAGAGCTCCCTGGTTGCCCTAAATTGGGAACGAGAGGCAGCGGTTTCCAACTCATCCAGAGCCAGAGCCATGGCAGTCGAAACCAGTTTCTTTGTGAACTTCGAACTGTGAAGCTGTTTTTGGAACTGGGCTGTAGGAAGGGTGCACCGGGTGCACACAAGGAATTGCAAGTGCAAATTCTTGCCTACAGTTGGTGGGACTGCCAAAAAATGCTAAGGCAGCGTTCGTCTCAACGTAGTGTTCTGGTGTGATTCGCCCCTCCAGTGGGAAGGCTTGACTGATTCTGTGGTAAGAAATTGTGACCTAGAATTCAAAGCCTTTCGTTTTGATGGCATTACCAAACTCACAAATGTGCTGCATAAGCTGCAGGAAACACTCCCAAGTGCGATAGCTGCTACATGCTGCTATGCAGCTATGCAGTTTCAAGATTCCAACATATTCCAACGTTCAGTGCTTGAAATCAAGACACCGTTCAGGACATGTTCCTTGGATCTTGGATGTTCTTGGCATGTCGTGCTTCGCTATGCTTCGCGATTTTGCAAACTGTCGTGAAAGACTTTGTTCACCAGCTTCACCTGGGCCGCGGCCACGCTTTCACGCTTTCCGCAGGCTTTCCGCATGTTTCTCGACGTCAAAACCTGTCAAAAACCCGTCTGTGCAACGCCGAGAGCAGCACCGACCTTCCATGGCTTTCAAAAACGCCACCACGGCCTCCGTTGGGACTCCGTTGGGACTCTGTTGGGACTCTGTTGGGACTCCGTTGGGACTCTGTTGGGACTCCGTTGGGCAACATCGGGGCAACATCGAACTCCTGTGATTCACAGACCGACCTCTTGAGAAAAGAAAACATGAAGAAATCATAAGAAATGGATGGAAAATGGATGGAAAATGATGGAAACGTGGCATGTAACATGCAACTCAACAAAACCTTGGCAAACATGATCAAACATGTATGGTTTGGACATGTTGAAACTACTATAGCAAAGCTGCAGCTTACAAGAGAAACAACATGCAAACATCTACAGCTCGGATGGTCGGAACTTACAACCATACTGGACCATACTGACATATACTGATCATGGCTGCTTAATGGTTGGGATTGGCCATTAGGATGCTCGCAGAACTATTAGTACTTGATTGTAGATCATATAATTATGGTTAATGAAATTTAATGAATGGTTATTTGACCAAACCTTTCAAACTGTTTCAAAACACTGTCCAACGCACTCCGACCAGGATGCGCCATGTCGCCTGCGTACATTCTTCCGACGATGCTTCCAGAGTTAAACCTCGCACTCGGCCCCGACTCGGCGCCAGGGCGCCGTCCCGAACGGTCCCGAGCGATCCGAACGTCGACGTCCTGAGCCCGCGACTGCGGCAGGGCGGCCTTGGAAATCTGCCGAATCAGTCCGAAATCGGTCAAAATGATCCAAAATGTGACATGTGTGAACAATGTGCATTCATCTGCGTTCATGCCAATTCATGCCAATTCATGCCAATTCATGCCAATTCATGCCAATTCATGCCAATTCATGCCAATTCATGCCAATTCATGCCAGTTCATGCCAATTCATGCCAATTCATGCCAATTCATGCCAATTCATGCCAATTCATGCCAATTCATGCGCATATGCGCGTCATCGTCATGTGTCATGTCAAACAGCGTTCCACGTGTCTCCGAAGAAGGTCTGGGGCCGGACGTTCTCACCACAGCGTGAGTTGACACCTTCGGATTGGCTGGCAAGTGCTCTACCTCAATGCACAAAGTGGCTGCGTCGCAGGAAGCTCATGGAAGATGTTCCCATCTCTTCTCATCTGATATCTGAGTTGGATCATTCTTTCCGCTGAAGGTATAAAAAAATAAAACATGCATTTAATGATTTAATGAACAGAAATGTGAAGTTCTGCGATGTTCTTGTGATTCTTATCTTCCCCAAGTTCCTCAACTTCCCCAACTTCCGCCATGGAATCCATGCAGCAAATCTTCCGTTTTTTGGCGGGTTTTTCCATGGCCTTCGCAATCTGATCCTCTGGCAGCAGCAAGGCCAAACGCCGATCTGTCGCTCCACCTTCTGCGGGTCCGCGTCGAAACGAAATATGGCTAAATATGATTCCCAAAACATCCCAAAACTATAGATCACTTGATATATCACTTGATATTCACACATATTGTTTCTGAGAAAGACGCTTGTAAGATTTGTGATCGTACAATATCTCTTTGCAACTCTTTGCTTCCTGTCAGCTCTGTCAGTTTCCCTGGCGACCTTGAGAGCTGAACAGAAGAACAGCTTCTCGTGCCACATCCTCGACCCCAGTTCTTTACTCGGTCTTCACTCGTTGCGAATGTTGAAAGCGAATGTTGTTCCGAAGTTTGCTTCCAAGTTGTGTCCTCGATTAGACCCCACAGCTCAAATGTGACCTCGGGTGGTGGAGAGTGATGGAGCATGATGGAGCAGTGGAGCGACTTGGAGGAACTTGGAGGAAGCTGAGGAACCCCGGTCTGAGTTATAAACAAAGGGCAGCTGCCAGGAGTACTTCCGAACCAGTCCTGGTTCGGTATCATGAAGTATCTGGCCGCGCAAAGTCGAGCTCTGCTGAAGCAAAACCAAGACGCCCAGTGCAAGATAGTGCAAGTGTAGCAAAGCTCAGCGAAAGATCTCCGTCCTAATCCCTTTGTGAGGTTCAGGTAGTATTCAGAATCAGTGAGGTACCTCTCCATGTAGTTGCGTTTTTTCTGAAAGAGGTAGGCTGAAACTGTCAAGGAGGTGCAGTGACTGGGTGAACCAGGTGTTGAAAAAAATCGAGGCGTCGAGGAGGGGCATCTGCATCTCAAGAGCACGCAGATGCAAAATTCAGAAGGGGCACTCAGACCACTGCGGACTCCCCGCAGTTTTCAGCAAGGTCTTTGCCTGCACCGTCGCAGGGGTGATGTCGAGTTGTTTTGCACATGACAAACGTGACACAACATGACATACATGACATTGATGTGATGTTCATTGGATGTTCATTGGTTTTCCACCTCGCCATGCGACAGTGTGACTCGCAAGGGTGACAAACCGCGAACCTAGAGCAAGGCAGTCCGTTGAGACCGTTGAGAGATTGAAACGAATTGAAACATTTAAACATCACACATCTTGTTCTGCAATGGGGACCTGGAATGAATCTGCATTACATCTCCGATTCCTTATCTTTGTCTTCACATGTCTTCACACAACAAGCCTTGAACCTGTCACTGCACGAGATTTCACGAGTTCGGCATTGCCTCTTCGGCTCCCAGCCCTTCCAAGTCTGAATAGACCTCAGCTGAAGACGCATTGGGACATGCCTCAGCATTTCCTGCAACTCCATGCAGTACTATGATATTACACATATTTATATACATATATACTGATATATATATATATTTATCTATTGATTAATTGATTTATTATATATATATATAAATTATACACTATAGCCTGTGAGTCTCATGTCATGCTGAGGGGCATAGAAATCCACGATACGTCCGGCTCTCATCCACGGAACCACTCCATCGACCGCCTGCGGCGTCCAAACGGATCCGGATCAAGATGAAGTGACTCGAGTGACTCGAGTGACTCGAAGCCAGGCCGTCACGTCGCTTTGGCTCACGTAAAGCAATCCCCAGTGTCTGGAAGCCTCCGAACATCGCCAAACTGCAAAGCGCTGCACCGCTGCACAAGCACTTCACCACAGGTGAAAATGGGGAAAATGGTGAAAGATTGTGACGGAAAAAATGGGGAACAGACATGAAAGACATCCATTCTCAACAGAAACCCTTCAGTGTCAAGATGTCTTTCATAGAATCTTTCATTGAATCTATCATGGTTTTTCATATCGATTTCATATCGAATCTTTCCGGATGTCGAGATGTCGAGATGTCGAGATGTCGAGATGTCCTGGTCGTGCTCGATCTTGCTGAGCGGCTGGAGCCATCCCATGTATCCACGCCTCGGTGCACAAGACGAAATCCGCAAAAATTGCTCGGTGTTGAAACTCTGCTCGCTGCCCGAAAAAATATGAAAAAATGACATCAATTTCATCAGTTTCAACAGTTTCAACTCGATCTGATGATCTGTTTCTGTGATCCGAAACTCGATCCGTTGCAGTTTCTTCGTCTCTGCTTCTGGGACTCTGGAACTCATCTGTCATGAAAAGATATGAAAAGTGACACTTCAAGTTAGTTTCAAGCTACTTTTTTTACGACTCGGTGGTCGAAGCTGAAGGTAGAGGCAACATGTGGGCTCTATTGGGCTCTTTTGTTCAGACCCATTGATGCAAACTTGCGAAACCGAGCTCAGAAATTGCCATGAATGATCATCTATGATCACGTTGACGATTGAGGCTTCTAAGGCATGCACCACTCAGTGATCAGGCCCACAAATCGGGTTTCTCGAATGCGCTGCCTGGGTACATCCAATCTCTCATCCTGTCTCATCCTGTCTCCGGTGCCCCACAAACGCTGCCATGCTGTGTCATGTTGTGCCATGTTGTGCCATGCTGTGCCTGGCAGGTGGTTCAGCCTGAGCTCTGGCCTCGTGCGGAGCTCCGATGCTGATGCTTCCGGATTCTTCAAGATGTTGATTCCATTCTTGCTTCATGAAGTCCATTGACACAAGCTTTTCTATGGAAGTCTTGGTTCAGTTTGGCTTGTTGAGCCTCTGCAGCTTCTCCTTCCTGCCACACTGTACTGAGTCATACTGAGTCACACTCCTAAAAATCATCATCCATCATCATCCCCCAGAATTGTGGCAAGGTCGCGCCGCTCACCCAAGCCTCCTTGACCTTCCATTGCGTGGCCTGGAACGACTTTGACAGAAGTCCATAGATGTCCATAGTCCACCGAGTGTGCCGAGTGTGCCTCCACCTTGCCCTTGGGCTTTGCCCTAGCCATGCTCAAGGCAACAAATGGGACATTGCACTAAGTCTGAGCCAAAATCAACAGTGTTACTGGGGGAACCATGTCCGCAAAACTGCCTCAACGGAAAAGAACATTTTGAACACCGCGAACACTTTAATTGACCTGAACACTTTGAAGTTCATGTAACTTTCAACACTTTCACTGCCACCTTCCATCTTGCCCGGCACTCGATCTTTGGGCACCGCTTGACATGTCATACATCATGACACAGCGTGACACACCGTGACACATCATGACACACCGTGACACATCATGACACACCGTGACACATCATGACACAGCGTGACACATCGTGACACATCGTGACACGGGGTATCGTAGAATTTCGGAAGTGGTCTTCCATTCCCAGTATGTACAAGCTAAGCCTTTGGCTAAGCTTTAAGCGAAGTCTAGTCTCTCAAGCCCTCAAGATCCTGCAGCTTTGAAAAAATCTGAAGTTCTCAATTTCAAGATTTTTTTTGATGCAGAATCCATGTTTATCCTTTTCTTAAGATTCGGTGACTGAAATCAAGACTAGATTCAAAACGCTACATGTTTTTTGAAGCCCGTGCCTTGTCTCGGAGTGAGGCGTAGAGGTTTTGCGGCAACTAAACGAGGTACCTGCCGAGAAGCAGTACTTGATTATCATGTCTTGTAATTATGATTGTGATGCCTGGTGGTGGGTTTTAAAAATGGAGGGATATGCCTCAAAGCAATTCTATCATCAAATTCATTCAGAACATTTCCTTGGCACATATTCAGCACGTCTATCGTCCATAGAACCGTGGAATATCGTAGATATATTGACATCATACACATGTATCCATGTCAGCACACAGAAATGACATCATGATCCGAGTCATGCTTGTGTCTATGGCCTTCGACCCAATACTCGTCTCATACAAAGTATCTGAAACTTAGGATATACTAAGCACGTGTGAAGTGAATTGTGTGCAGATGCGTATCAGATATGTACAGTTTGTGTAGAGATTTGGTATTAAATAATATTAAATATAGGTCCTGTACGCGTACAGCTGATTTTCTCCAAGTGCTGATATGGTGCCTTGGATGCGGCTTTCAGCTGCACAGGCCTGGCAGAATACGAATCCTGGAGTGCTTTCCACAGAAATGACACGAAACGAGGACACTCAAGAAACAAGAAAAAGTCATCAAACAGTGCTTTCAATATCTTGCAATATCTTGCAATATCTTGCAATATCTTGCAATATCTTGCAATATCTTGCAATATCTTGCAATATCTTGCAATATCTTGCAATATCTTGCAATATCTTGCAATCTTCATTTAATGAGTTTTTGACCTTGATGCATCGCCCTTTGAAATCTGCCACGACTTTGGTGGCCCAGGCGCGAAGTGCGACACACGCAACTTTGACGCAAAGAGTGAGGGGATGAAAAGTGGATGAAAAGTGGATGAATCTATGCAGCTTCCAGCTTCATCCCAGTTTCCGCTGCTTTGTACAAATCTATGGCTCCACTGACTCCACTGGCTCCACTGTTCATGAAAGCCTGACACGTCTGACACGTCTGACACGTCTGAGACGAGGTAAACGCAATGTTTGTGTCTGCGGACAGCTGAAAGGCTGAAACAGGCTGAAACAGGCTGAAACAGGCTGAAACCTTCGAAAGATTTGGTCAAACCGACAACATCAACATCAGTCGACTGGAAAATTCAGAAGAAACATGAAGAAACTCAGGCTAAGAATGCTAAGAAAATATGGCCATTGAAAGCTTCGAAGGACTCCGAAGGACTCCGACGGACTCCGACGGACTCCAAGGGCCGGAAAGGCCGGAAAGTGAAAAGTGCTGGATTCTGCACTGCTATTGAAAAATATTGAAAACATATTAAAAAATGTCAATAAATGTCATAAAAATCTCTGCAGCCACATCGTCACGGCATAGCACGTCTGGTGCCTGACCATGCTTGCATAACCCCGGCCAAAGCAGCTGCACTGAGGAGCATCACGAACCTAGCCATGTGATGTTCATGCAAATGCGCAAATGCCATGCAAATGCCATGCAATTCTACCATATAACAGATAAATATCATATAACTCATATAACAAAATCCTACATGTGAGGATCATGGCTAGCCCGGTCATGTCGGCACTCGGGAAGATTCTCGGAAGCTCGGCACCTTGGATCGCGCACGCGCTTTTCTCTCGCGGTACTCGTCTTGCGACTCGGCAAAACGTGGAGACCTTGGCACATCGCACGGCATCGCACAGCATCGCACGGCGCATCAATGGCATATGACGCAGATGACGACTTCGAGTTCGAGTTCACAATGTTCACAGACCTTTTCTGACCGTATTAAGATTCTTCGTATTATTCAAATCTTCGAGTTTTTCGCCTCAGATCCTCCAAAAGATTCCGAACATCGCCGAAGGACAGTGAACCTGCCGTCGGCGTGTCTGGGCCTGGCGTCAGGGGGTACGGTGATTGCCACTCACTGAGCCACAGATTCTCACTGGTGGAATAATGGTGGAATCATATGAATAATCTTGAATAATTCAAGTGGATGCAAATGCAATGAAATCAGGATGATATCAGGATGAAATGTAGACACTGTGATACTCAATAATTGGGAACATGAAACATCACTAGAATCATGTTTCTTTCCGCGGCGAAATCTCCACTGAGGCATCCGACCCTGCCACAAGTGCTCGTCGAGATCGATCATGAAATCCTCCAAAGATCAGGGACTTCAGGACTTCTGTGACATCTGAGATGCAGAAATCGGGAGACAGTTCGATGATGTTCGATGTAGCAACAGCTACACCAGAAATCACCAGAACTCCCCACAGGGCCACCATGTCGTGGGATGATTAACCATAGCTTAACCATAGCTATGTATCCATTGATGTCCACTATGTACTTTTTCAGACTTTTTCAGCATCTCTGACATTCTCTGACCATCTTTCAGCTCACTACATATGGTTCACTACATGGTCCAATGGTAGTGCAGTGTAGTTGCGCTGCCTGTGTTGGAGCATTGGGGATGGCGTCTTGCGAATTTCCCAAGATCAAGGTCCGCATTCTCGGTCTGTAGACTGTGCTGGCCACAGGAACGCCTAACCTGTGTTTGCACACAGATACATTCACAGATCCACATGCACATGGCGGAGAAAAGTGGCTGAACACAATTGGAAGACTCGCTGGTAATAGACTCAAAGCTTTGAAGTGCAGCGCTCGCTGAATTGTTCAGAGTCAAAGCTCAAATCTCTGGATATCACTGGGACCAATCTCTGGATTCATAGTGATTCATAGTGATTCATTGTGTATCGATATTAAATCAGACCATCACAAGTTTGTCCGAGGAACAGCTGAGCGATCCTTGGCAACCCACCTGAAGACAGGCGGAAACACAAACAAATCTGAAAAACATGGAAAAAAGACATGGAAAAAAAAAGTTTTTAGTGTGAACTCATGGCATCTCATTACAATCTATCCCCCAACATATCCCAACAGGGTCTTCTCACTTCACATGCGTTCACCTGCCACAGCCACTCATCCAGCTGTGACAGCGATGAGGAAGTTCTAGGGATATGAAAACCCGAACGCCAAACATGTTCCGCAACACTGCAGAGAACAATCCATTAATGTCATGAAATGTCATGAATGCAGTTCCTTCTGAGAGGCGCCCTCTGACCACCAGTAACACATGTATAATATGTATCATATATATATAATATGTATATATATAATATATGTATATATATATATATGTATAATATGTATAATATGTATATATATATATTATATTATATATATATTATATTATATATATATTATTGTTGATTTGGGAATCACGTTCATGAGCTTCTGAGGCACCTTCCTTTACTTGGATCGACGGCCCCCGCTCGTTGGTTCGAACCACCACAGAGGTGGGAGGGTGAGGCATTCAGAGCCAAAAGAAAGGCACAGCTGACAGGGTCGCTAGGCAGGGAAACAGGGTTTCTCCAACAATCTTGAAGGGCATATTCGCATTGGTAGCAGAGCCCACGGGCTGCCGCAACATACAACAGGGTTGTTCAATTAGGACAGGGTCCTTCAGTTTTTTTTTGTGTTGCTGGCAACGCTAGCACCGGTGGTGACGCCATGTCTGGCGGAGATGTTGCGGAAGCAGCGGGATCCAGTGGAGGACTTCCATCATCGTCCCTTCCCTGGCATCAGATACCAAAGTTTGAGCCGGGCATCACCGATGTCCGCACATATGCTCGGAAACTTGAGTTTCTGAGAGATCTATGGCCGCCCGAGCACATAGAGCATCTGGCGCCAAGAGCAGCGCTCATGGTGGAAGGAGTGGCATTTCAGAAAGTTGCCAGACTCCAAGCATCGAAGTTGAAGACCCGCGATGGGGTACAATACCTGGTCGAATCGCTTGGAGGACAGTGGGGCCATCTCGAAGAGGAAGCCAGATACGATCTCTTTGAAAAGGCCTTGTACACCACTGTACAACGCCCTGATGAAACCAACGACAGCTACCTCAACCGCCATGACATCTCCTTTGAAGAGCTCATCACCAAGGAGGTCAAGCTTGAGGAGATTCGGGCCTATGTCATGATTCGGCAATCGGCCTTGCCACCAGATGATCGGAAGAAGATCATCATGGACTGTCAAGGAAAACTGGTGTATCGGGATGCACGGAAAAGCATCAAGCTCTTGGGTTCAAAATTCTTCCAAGACCTTCAGGGCAGTGGAAAGTCTTCGAGCCGCACCAAGACCTATGATGTTAACTACACCGAGGAACCTGAGGACATGGCCTCCTTTGTTGCCCAGGACATGGAAGTGGATGAGGACATCCTGATTCAAAGCCTGGTCGACGAGGGAGATGAAGATGCTCACTTCATCCAGGACTTCGAAGAGCAGATTCTACTGACATGCCAGGACTCACCTGAGCTGTCGTCTTGCTTCGTGACGTACCAAGAGGCAAGAGAAAGGCTGAAGGAGAAAGCTCGTGGACGGGGTTTCTGGCCGATCCGTCCTGGGGTCAATGCAAAAGGGAAAGGAAAACATGGTGGAAAGAAATCCAAAGGAGGAGGCAATCTGATGATGAAAAGGAGAAGTTTGGCAGAAAGGATCGCAAACTCTACATGTCGAAAGTGTGGACAGCCGGGGCATTGGCGCCGAGAATGCCCCTTGAACAATAGCCCTGACAAAGACAAGGGCGTGTTCACGGGCCTTTCCATGGAAGAGCCAGAGGCGCTTGAAGAGACCTATGTGGATGTCATGAACCATCTGCCAGAGGATGCGGAGATCTACGAACAGGACGGGACTTCAGGACTCCATGGGGTTCAACGCATGTACAAAGCGGTGAATCAAATCTTTAAGAATATCAGTCAAGGTTTCCAAGTTTTGAAGAATCGCCTAGAGAGTGCATGCAACATGACGCAACAAGAATCTCATGCATGTTTCATGACAAGTGAGTATTTAAAGTCTCATGATGCACACCATTTGAAAGCATCCAACTTTTCAACTTGCCTTGCAACCCGTTTGAGCGAATGCTGTAGGAAGCATTTCAACTTGCACCGTGATGCTTCTGCAGCGCCAGCCACTACAGCCGTGACAGCCAAGCATGTGGGCAACGGTGCTGTCTCTCCAGAGGAAGACAGTTTTTCCGTAGCTGCCTGTCTTTTTAACAACGAGGAAGCAGCAGGGGAAGCCATAATCGATACTGGGGCCAGCAGGGCTGTGATTGGTGAAGAAAGGGTTCCTAGATTACTTGAGTCACTTCCCAAGGATTTGAGGGATTTGGTTTATCGGGCTCGTACCCCTGGTGTGACTTTCAAGTTTGGAAATTCATCTAAGCTGACTAGCAGATTTGCCATCCTGCTTCCTCGACGTCAAAATGGCTGGCTGAGAGTGGAGGTAGTGCCAGGGCAGACACCGTTCTTGATATCAAACTCTATCCTAAAGGGATTAAAGGGAATCATTGATGTCGATGAACAGATGTTGCACTTCAAGGGTCATGAGGGTGGTATTCAGCTTCATCCATGTAGGAAGAATCTTTTGGGGGTAAATGTTGCGGAATTATTGACAAAATCACCACCCACGAAGGTAGGACAAGGGATGGAGGATGAGACGATCATGCATGTTGAAAACACGAAAGAACAACAACAGTACCAGGACCATGAAGTGCGGGAGACAAATGGTGTTACACGACCTCAAATGCCATGTCATGCCAAAAATCCCGACCACTCTGTTTTGGTTAATGAAAACATCCAAAAGGGTATTGAAAGGCAATCTCGAATCATGACCCAGGGGTTACATGTAACTTTTCAGACACCAAGTGAGAATCCTCAGTGCAATCAGCAAGACCATTTTAGTGATCAAGATCTTACAGCCAATTCGAACGTTCCAGCTCATCATGTCAGATCGCCATGGCCCAAAGTATCTGGAACGAGAACTTCAAGTTCCCGACGATCCCTCGCTCACCTTTCAGGTGTCCCGGAGCGAGCAGACCGAGATCACGAAGCCTCCGGGGATCAACAGTCTCCAGGAATGGGGACAACTCAAGGCACCAGCAGGGAAGCACCCAGGAAAGACCTTCGCTCAGATTTATGCGGAGGATCCCAACTACGTTTATCAGATGAAGAACCGGAAAGGTGTGTCATCCTGGGTAAAAAGTTTTCAGATGTACAGCCTGGCACGAATCGAAGCAGCTCATCAGGAGACAATCACTGGCAGTCAGATGCCGCTGCCACCGCAAAGAGCATCCAAGACATCATCGTCGATGCACAATTCTCAGGACGAGTGGATCACAGTGAGCAGCATGGAGCCAGTGTCCAAGACTCACGGACCTATGAAAACCGAGAACAAGAGATCGATCGAAGAGACCAAGACATCCATGATGGTGGAACACGATCCCCAGAAGGTGCAGGAGATTCAGACCAAGATTGCGCTCTTGCAACGAGAGCTGAATCAGCAGATGTACAGCGAAAGCCAGGCTCAGGGATCAAAGAATCCACCCGAACCAGCGTAGATGAACTATCTAAGGAAGTCGCGTATATCATGGATGACCAACCTTTGAAATGTCTAAGTCCTGTAGAAGAACAACAAATTCACCAAGCAATAGATGAACGATCGAAATTGATCGATGAGGAGCTGACAAAAATGTCAAAAGATTTGTTGTTTACCCAGGCCAAGACAGGATTCCGAAAGAGACAATCAGGTGGTCTTCATGTCCATGAAACTACGGTAGACGTACTGGAAGTTTACTGTGACCCTCAGTCTCAACTTGTCCATCAAACAAACTCACGATATGGAAAGGCCATTCGTTTCACAAGAGATGATGGGGATTTGGGGACTGAAGAAGGGGTACAAAAGTTGTGGACATGGATTCATGCCTATGAACCAAAACATATATGGGTAGCACCCGAATGTCGACTTTGGGGGAAATTTTCCCGGTTTAATATGGGGAGGAGTACTCAGTTGTTTGACAAAATCCATCATCAAAGAGAGGCCGACCGACACCACTTGAAACTGTGCAATGACATGTACTTGCACCAAGTTAGTCATAATAGGCATTTCCATTTGGAACAGCCCTATGGTTCGGAAATGATGGCCCAACCTGAATTGATGGACACAAAGTTGGGTACCCTGCCCGCAACCTTTGACATGTGCCATGTCGGTGGACTTCAATTACCCCATCATGATGGTTTCTTGCAAAAACGGACCCAAGTCTTCACCACCAGTAGGCATTTGTTTGAGTTGCTCAATTATCAATTTTGTAAGAAGAATCATGTTCATGTTCCCATCAAAGGTCAAACCAAAATTAAGGGTAAATGGGTTCAAATCTCCAGTTATGCCCGGGCATATACAGCAGGTTTTGCACGGAAAGTAGCTCAGGGTTTATGGGAGGGAACCCAAAAGTGGGAAAAACCATTGGTGGTGGATGAAATGATTTTGGGACTTGAAGAACATGACAAGCCCGAAATGGCACCAGAGGCGCTGCAGCTGCAAAAACGTCGACGCGTCAATGCAAAGCAACCAGAAACTTCGATGTATGGAAAGGCTCCAACATGGGAGGCTGTTTTTCGAACAGTTGGGTACCAGACCCCAAGGGTTGGCAATTTTTATTTTGGGGAAAGTGAGTTGGTCACAGGGTTGGTTCAACAACTGGTTCCCGAGCTCAAGATTAAAACCATGGTTGCTTGCAGGGGCACAGATCGACACAGAGTCCTACCATCCAGACCGGGCAGTGAAAGATATCCTTGGCGTAAAACGGTAATTGTAGGAAGGGAGGATGGTAGGGTTCATGAGATTGGACCGATTGAAGAGTGGATCCGTCTTCCCAAACTCAGACAAGTCAGGGCCACTGGACCAGCCAAGATATCACTGACCATGTTTGGATATAGGAATGATCCCATGCATCCTATGGATCCAAAGGGTCCTCAGGGTGCTCATATGCCGGCGTCCCACAGTCATGCGGCTGAGCATGCAGTTCCAATTGAGGAGCAGCATTTACCGTTTGCAGGTGAGTCGACAGCAGCTGAGCCGTTCCCCGACTCACCAATGTGTGAGTCTTTGCAAGTTCCGGCTGCTAACCCACGTGCAAGGGGTACTGATGTTGCCTGGGCTCCCAAAATCATCCCAAAATCTGGGCCAAAATTTTTGGGTTTGGATAAAGAAGTTCAAAGGGATTTACGTCGATTGCATTCGAATTTGGGGCACCCTGATCCTGTCAGAATGGGAAAGTTTCTCACTGAAAGGGGAGCCAAACCTGAAGTGATTCAAGGGGCCATGGATATGCAATGCGATGTGTGCCTGGAGTCCCAAGGAAAACCACGGCTTTCACAACCAGCACGAATACATGAGAATCTTGAGTTTAATGATGTTGTTGGTTGTGATGGGGCTTATTGGACCAGTTCGGCTGGTAAGAAGTTTCATTTCATGCATTTTATTGATGAAGCCACGTTATTCCATGTAGGGATTCACAGTGACAGGCACTTTGAGGCACAGGTCAAAGCCTTTGAAACGGCATGGTTGACCTGGGCTGGACCATGTAAAGTCCTCTATATGGACCCAGCAGGGGAATATAACAGTGAGGAATGGGCGCAATACCTTCAAACTGAAAATATCAAAGCATCCATGACTGCAGCAGAGGCACATTGGCAAAATGGTAGATGTGAGGTTCATGGAAGGGTTTTGAAAGATATGTTGACTCGCATGGACGGGGAATTTCCCGTGACTACCGATGAAGAGTTCCAACACCATCTTCGTCAAGCCTGTGCTGCCAAGAACTCACTGAGTAGGATTCATGGTTTCACTCCGGAGCAATGTTTATTGGGCAAAGCCCGAGCTCTTCCTGGATCCATTGTCTCGGACGAAGGAACTGGTAGTCATGCAATTGCAGAGAGCGACACAAGTGAGGGACATTGGTTCAAAGAGAGTCTCCGCAGAAGGGAGATAGCACGACGTGCATTCGTCCAAGCAGACAATGACTCGGCGTTTCGAAGAGCTTTGCTGAGGAGGAACCGACCGGGAACCATAGAATTTGAATCAGGGGACTGGGTACTCTATTGGCGTCAAAATAAGGCCAATTCACGTAATGAGCGTGGACGCTGGCATGGGCCTGCTCAAGTGATTGTTGTTGAGGGTCGCAAAGTTGTTTGGTTGAGCCATCTTGGACGCATCATTAGAGCCAGTCCCGAACAAATCAGACCGGCATCCTTGAGAATACCACAGGTTGCCTCGGAACAGCCATGGGGAAGTCGTTGATGAGAATCCACAGGGTAGGGGTTTTGTTGATTTGGGGAATGATGTACCTGATGTTGAGTCTGAGGGTTATTCACCCTCTATTGGGGAGACACCACCTGAAACACCCATGGACCAATCGCAACCTGAAGGAGAGATGTTTCCGCCCGAGTCTGTTTCAACTGAAAGCCCAATGAACTCTGGAGAAAATGAGGTCGAATCCGAAAAGGTTGAACCACATGAGATACCAGTACCCGCATGGGGTTCGGATGATGAGGATGGTTTGTGTGCTTTTGGGGACGACCTCATAGAACCCGAATGTGAGGCTGGAGTTTGGGAAATCAATATAGCCACTGAATCCTTTCAGAATTGCCAGGATGATCCTCAGGAAAATGATCGTGATCCAATCCATACCTTGTTTGCTGAACATGTTCTTGTTGCAAGTAATACCCGAAAACAAAAGGTTGAAGTGCAGTATCGAGGCTTGAGTGATGGGGATAAGAAGCTGTTTGATGCTGCAAAACAGAAGGAAATCAAGGCATGGATCGATCACGGAACGGTTCAAAAGGTGACCAGAGGAACTTTAAAACCTGAGCAAATAATGCGATGTCGCTGGATTCTCACTTGGAAAGCTCCAGAGGTAGGAGGGGTTGAGCGTCGTGCAAAGGCACGATTGGTTGTTCTAGGCTTTGAGGACCCAGGTTTGGCAGAGGTCCCACGAGACGCGCCAACATTGTCCAAAGACGGACGCCAACTCCTTCTACAGCTGGTAGCTAGTAAAGGATGGAGTTTGCTCAATTTCGATATCTCTACTGCCTTTTTAAAAGGGAAGGGTGATGGACGACCATTGGGGATACATGCACCAAGTGATTTGGGAGAAGCAATGGGTCTTCGAGATGGGGAGCAATGTCTTCTTAAGGGTGGAGCATATGGCCGGGTTGATGCACCATATCTCTGGTATAAGGAGCTCAGGAAAGTTTTGGAGTCACTTGGTTTTGTAGCATGCCCTTTTGATGGTTGTCTTTTTGTGTTGGTCACCCGAGACACCACAGGCAGTCCCAAAGTAAGAGGAGTGCTGGGAGTACATGTTGATGACGGCATTGGGGGAGGGGATTCGTATTATAGAAGTGTCCTCCAAAAATTAAGGGAGCGGTTCAGTTTTGGGGCGTATAATGAGCATGAGTTTGACTTTTGTGGGGTACATTATCGTCAGTGGGATGATGGAACTATTGAGATGGATCAAAGGGATTATGTAAGGAAGATAGAGCCTATCAATGTTCCCAAGAACCGCCGTGCCAGCCCCGATGCCGATCTCAGCGACATGGAAAAATATTTTCTCCGTGGCTTGTGCGGAAGTCTCCAGTATGCTGCTGTGCATACACGGCCAGACTTAGCAGCGAAGGTGGGACAATTACAAGCCACCATCCCACGTGCAAAGGTCAAGGACTTGTTGGAAGCCAATCGTGTTCTTTATGAGGGGAAACGGCATGAAGTTTGTTTGATGATTGTTCCTATTCATGTTTCTGATGTGACCTTTTGCGCCTTTTCAGACGCCTCCTTCTCCTCGGCCACCAACTTAGCATCAAGACAGGGGACATTGATTTTCTCAACTGATGGGATGTTGTCCAAGAATGAAATGTCAGTTGTGTGTCCGATGGCATGGAGCTCGAGGAAAATACCCAGGGTAGTGACTTCAACTTTAAGTGCAGAGGCAATTGCCTTGAGCACGACCCTGGACCGCCTCAGTTACATAAGGATAGTGTGGGAATGGTTGAAAAATCCCGGCATAAACTGGGCTGAGCCAAATGAAGTTTTGAGCAATGCACCCCATTGTAATGCGGTGACAGATTGCAAATCAGTTTTCGATGTGTCAACGAAGACGGCACCACCAGCGTGCCACGAACATCGAACCCTTTTGGAGTGTCTTTTAATTCGAGAACGTTTGCAAGAGAACATCTCTCTCCGGTGGATCAACTCTCAAGCCATGCTAGCAGACTCCCTTACAAAGAGCATGGAATCGGGTTTGTTACGGGAGTGTTTGAAGAGTGGTCGTTACAAGCTTTTTGATGAGAGTGAGACTTTGAAACAAAGAGCCACCAAACGAGAGAAGTTGAATTTTTTTGCAAGGCAACTCTGGTGCAGCTCATGAACTAGGGAAATAACACTGTCTTTCTTAAAATAAAATTTTGATTTTAGACCAGTGTTGATTTGGGAATCACGTTCATGAGCTTCTGAGGCACCTTCCTTTACTTGGATCGACGGCCCCCGCTCGTTGGTTCGAACCACCACAGAGGTGGGAGGGTGAGGCATTCAGAGCCAAAAGAAAGGCACAGCTGACAGGGTCGCTAGGCAGGGAAACAGGGTTTCTCCAACAATCTTGAAGGGCATATTCGCAATTATATATATATATAATATGTATATATATATATATAATATGTATATATGTCCAGGACTGCAGAAAATGCATGAAAATGCCGGATTCCGCCGCCACGCCGCACCGCCGCGCCATGGCCTGCTTGCCAAAGCCGCAGCAACTGACCCATTCGCGGCTTGATGTCCAGAGGCACCAGGGACAGTGGTCGAAAGGCGCAGAGCACATCCGGGTCGACCAGCAAGGCACGGACGATTGAAAACACCTCCGTGTCATGTCTTTTTCTGGTTTTCACGGGAAAATCTTAACCGGAAACCCATGGGTTTTTACCATCAAATTGTTTGGGGGTTCCTGTAAATTTTCCCATCATCCAATTCTATGAATGTCTTTTTCTTAGTGAATCACTGCGAGAAAAATTGGAAGTTTTGGTGGAAAGGTGGATAGTGGCTAGGACATGCATTGACAATGCGAGCCCCAATACATATCAATGATTATCAAATGCATTGTAAACATATTGTGAAAACATGCAGATATTCAGAATGCTTCAATGTTATCCCTGTATCATGTGGCATTAAACATCACACTTGTGTGCGATAACAGTCAATAACAATGATAATACAAAGATTCACGTATTGCAAATACGACCTTTGAACCAGCAATGACCATCATGATGTATCTATATAATGAGTTATATATATATATAATCATACATAATCATACATATATTATATACATATACATATATAATCATATATATAGAGAGAGAGAGAGATTTGTCTGTATGTATCGTTTTATGTCTCGTTTTCTGTAGCGTGAGCCTGAGAGGAGCCAGGTCCGAGGCTGGTGGGATCTCGATCTTTGTCCAAACCCACAGCCGCTACCAAGGCTTCGCAGATGTCACTGGGTGCACCGGTGAAACTGAGCCTAGGTAGCGATTGGTTCATTGGGTGGATCTAAAATGTGAAACTTAGATAGCTTAAAAAACCACCAACAAAAATGGGAAAAAAAACGAAACTCCGAAACTCGGAAACGACAAAAATGTGGCCACACAGAGTGGTCTAAATCCATTCTGCTACTGCACTTTTTTCAGGGGGGTGAGAAAGGGAAACACTAGCCTGAAGCAAGTGAAGATAAGGTGGAGGTCAACTGACGGTCAAACCCTGTCAAAGTGTGGTAAAAATCACAGAACGAATCAATTGAATTGGAGTCCGAATGCATCAAGAGACTGCTGGATGGTAGAAGGGCCAGTTGATCCAAAAGCCACAGGTACCGTGGAAAGCATCTTCAGGGTCAAGCCAGGAGGGACCAAAACGGATGGCCAGTCCTCCATGTCTTCCCCATTTGGTCCTGAAAAAACATCGGTTGTAACATCCACCATCAGCATCAGCATCCGATATCCCAAGCCACCTACCAGGATATACCAGGCTACCCACCGGATACATCCGGATAGATGGCCCCCAGGATACCCCCAGGATACCGCCGCTTTCTGTGCGCCTGTGGGATAAATCGCTTGCGATGCTAAGCCCAGAAAGCTCCGGAGCACGCGCTCGTTGCGGCCGCAGACAAAGATGCACCGCCTAGACAAAAAAAAACATTGAACTCACGTCGATGGCACCCGTAGATATCTATATACAAATATACAATGATATAATATATATAAGTGCAGTGGCTATTTTTGGATATGGGCACTTCCACAATCTCTAACATTTCTGCTATTTGCACTTATTTGCACGTGAAAGAAACACTTGGCGGCCACACCCCAAGGGCAGCAAGCATCCGGTCTGCAGTCTTAGGTCGGAGAATGTCGATCCCACCTGACGAGAAAAGCAAGAGGATTCAAGGTAGAGATTGGAGGTAATATAAAATGAGATTATATTATACATAGAGATATATATATATTTATATATATAATATGTGTATATATATAATATATGTATATATATAATATGTGTATATATATATAAATATATAACTAACTAACTAACTAAAATGAAGTAAGATTCGAGCCATCCGATCATCCCGCCTTGTAGTATTCTGGTCGCACCTGAGGACACAGCCAAATGGGCCAAATGCAGGTCACCATTTGTCCCCCTTTTCCCCCAGTGTCAGCCGGGTCCCCCAACGAAGCACAGATCATCTTGGAAGTGGATGCAGCCGTGGACCATGCCAGGTTGATCGTGCCAGCGTCCATTGCCGAACTGGGCCAGCCGGGTGGCCTGTCCGCAACAGACACAGACAGCACAAAGTTTCCCGAAAGGAAACCATCTCTTGGGTCCAAGTCGTCCAAGTTTGGTGCACTCGATCTAAGCCTCTAAGCTTCATCCATCTTGCTGGCATCAAGTTTCAACAGGATACTCCTCCATACTGTCATACTGAGTCATAGTCCATACTCATCCAATGTGGAGAGGTTTCCAGAGGTTCCAAGGTTTCTCCCTTTCAAACCCCGGTTTTGGGCCTCAGCTCGCTTGGACTTCTGGCAGGTTTGGTTCAGCATCGCAGCAACATCGCGCAGAGAAACCACGGCCTGCGGCGCCATGGCGCGAGCGTGGCACAGCGTGGCACAGCGTGGGCAATTTGCCAATGGCAGAGCACTGCAGTTGATGGCAACCCATCAGCAAAGACCAAAAATGTTTTTAAAAAGGTCAACAGATTATTCCATAACCAAAACATATTATTCCTCAACCAAGGATGACCTAAGATGACCTAAGATGACCAAAGATGACAGTGAAAGTGTCGCAGCTCCAGATGAACAGTCCTGCTGCATGTCGACAAAGACCTTGGACAGGCGACTGATGTACTTTCCCACGCCTTGGTACGGGACACTACGGGACACTACGGGACCATGCCATGCCATGGATTCAAAATGCTTCGACCAGACTTCTCTGCCTTTCTGTGAATTCTCCTGATCCACGTTTCATCACGTTTCGTTGTCCTGTTCCTTTGTGAGTTTTTTGTGATTCTTTCTTTGCCAAGGGACTGAGATAGATTTTGCACAGCGCATAGAAGGTCCCCACCTCCATGACACCCACGCCGTAAGTGTTGTAATCCGCCAAGGCAAAGGTGCCGAAAGTCAGCATCAAGCAGTACGACACACCTGCGTCGATGGCACTGCGCTTAGCACTGCGCTTAGCACTGAAACGTTTCGAATCTCGAATCTCCGGAGCCATTGCTGACGTCATATAGAGCTGTCAAATTCATCTGTAAGTAGAAATAATATATAGTATATATAGCTATTCAAGAAGGTGTTGTTTTATGTTGTTTTTTGCCAGATTTGATGTGTCCCATGTTGGCTACCCAGTCTCCACTTCGAGTCCCTTCCGAAGCGGCCTTGAATCCAATGGGTGATCCATGCTGTGTCATTCATCGTGTCTCGTGCATCCCAATGGGATGGGACGAATTCTTCCTTAGCCGATTCCGCGCCAGAATGCATTGAAGCGGCCTTGATAGAATAGCAAAAAATTGGCAAAAAAATGCTATGATTGAGGTTCATTGCTATTCATTGCTATTCATGTTTCTATTCTACATTTTGGAAATCCAAGATTGATCATCTAGACGGATGGCCTGTTTTGTATTGGCTCAGGATTGAAAAGGAGCTTCGTTTGCTTGTCATGATGGAAAGATATGGAAAGATATGGAAAAAGTGTTTGTCTTTTTTTATGTCAAAGCGATTTCGCCCTTTTCTCAGGTGCCATATGGTGCCACATGGTGCCACAGAGACACGTTCTGCGCCAGAACGCCATGTTCAAGTTTGGCCTTCTCTGTTTGCATCAATCCCATAAACTGCCTCCAACTTGTGAAGACCTCGGGAGATGGACCTGATGGACCTGATGGACCTGATGCATGATATGAATGATATGAATGATATGAATGTTGAACTTTAGAAAAGGCTTTTAAAAAAAAAACGTCTTAAGAATTGTCTTGACATCAATTAGCTCTGTGAAGTTCTCGGACTCAAAGAGATTCTCTCTGCCACGGCACAAAGACACAGGACTTGAACCATGCGCATTCTCGCTTCTTTCTGGCCAGCACGGCCACCCAAATGATCTTCATGCGAACCCAAACACCCACAACACCCGCAGCCATCATGACCTCATCGGAAAAAATCGCTCATGGCTCATCACCAAGCACGATAGATCCGATAGAATTGGATGGAAGATCGGATATGAATTGGATATGAATTGGATATGAATTGGATATGAATTGGATATGAAAGGTGTGAGATCCAGATCCATATGATATCATATGATCCATTGAGATCTGCATCTGCTTCAGTGAGATCCGATCAGGTCTCAGGGTCTCTCAGGGTCTCAGGCCCCGACAAAGACACCGATGACGTACCAAGCAGTTTGCACACCCACACTGGAGGCCTGAAACTCCGACTCTGAGAAAATACAACAAGAAACTCCATCCAAGATCGTTGCAAACTCATCCAAGAGCTTGTGTCATATGATCAACATGGAATGAGTAGCTCTAAGAATGTCATAACTTTCTCCAATTTTTCATAATCTCATAATAGACTCATCTTAAAATGTGTCCTTTTTTTGAATCCAAGACCCGCCTCTTCCAGGTAGCTCCAGGCGGCCAGTCCACTGACCAGCAACACCGAGAGCAGCAGTGCGAAGCACGACTGGGCCATCACGAAGACGCCGAAATACCTCCGACCGCAAAAGGACGAGGTAAAACGAGGTAAAACGAGGTAGAAGACCAACATGTGCGAAAAATTGCACCAAATGTTGGAAAATCATGGGGCATGATCGGCATGAATGATAATTCTATAAATTCTATATCATAAATCTATAAAAGCATATAAAAGCGATGAAACTTGTGCAACTCAGGGGTCAGAGGCTGTTCAGAGGGTGTTTGGTGATTCTGAATTTGAAAAAAGCATCAGTGTCGAGGCTGCCAATATTTTATGTACAGAATGTTAAAAAACGAGATATTACGAGTACATCGTTGTGAAAAACATGACAAGCTCTTCTCACTTGCCGGTACTCCAAGCAGGCACTCCAATGTTTATCCAATGTTTAGAAGTTGAGCCAAGCGACGCTTTGCCGGTAATCACATCCACGTCATAGATGGCCGAGTAGAGCCAGTCTGCATCGGATGCTTCCCAATACTCAGAGCGCTCCAGGTGCATAAACTTCCGGATCATCTCGGATCGATGCACCTGCCATGGCAAACTCCAAAAGATCAGCTGTGCCATTTTTGCGCCTCCATGGATCTCTATGGCACACGTTGCCGGAAAAAAATCATGGGAAGCTCCAGCCGCGTTGGTTTCATATGTTTCATCCATAGACTGGCGGCGGATGTTTCATCCATTGCGCCTGGCGGATTCCACCTGTACGGCCTCGATTTCGTGTTTGCACCACATCTGCCCATCGATTCAATCCCAAGGAAATCAGCTGCACCATGATCAAAATCAGACCTCAGCTGCACCATGATCGCACAGCTGAGCTACCATGAGCTGCACCATGTCAGACCACAACATGACCCACATGAAATATCCATAAATATCATCCATAGATCATCCATAGATCATCTCCAAGGCGCATTCAGAATATCCCCAAGCAGGATCTGTGTTCATCATGCGAGCCACCTTGGCAGTGGACAGTCCAAAAAGCGGTTTCTGCTGCTGCCCCATGGGCAGCGGCCCCGCACAACGGGGCCAGGTGAAACATGGTGAGTTTCTCACTGGGTTCTCCACGGCGTGGTCAACCAGAATCTTTTGCACCAAAGTAGAGACCTCAAATCATGACCCAACGCCAAATGCGCCAAACCTGTCTGGTCATGTCTGGTCTGGTTGGGCAGTTGGGCATGTCCTGTCACGATATGTGGAGATATGTGGCCACAAATGAGCCCAACCTGGCCCATTCTGGTGAAGCAGTTAGAACTTCTCCCTTGTCCTCGAGACAGTCATTCGGGCCTCTCATGGCCACAGCCAGTTTTTTCTACCAAGTAGCCAGAAGAGAGTGCACTGGTAGAAACACCTGGGATGCTCAGCCATTTGAAAATTCAAAGCCAATGTTCAAGGCTCACTTGAAAATGCTGTACAATGAGTTCGATGAGTTAGTAACAGTTTGTAGATTCTTGATATTTCTTGATATGTCTCACCATAAAACATGTTGAAACATATTGAAACGGCGCATGTTAGTCCAAGGATGTCCAAGGTTAGTCCAAGAATCCATGGCGATCATCGTCTTTGTCCACCTCCTACCACGGCGCCGCCTATCCTTGGACCGACATGGACCATCCCCGGATTCTCCGTAGGTTCTCCGTGGGTTCTCCGTGGGTTCTCCGTAAGTTCCAGGCCGCTTGGATGAAATATCGGAGGAGCGAAACGCCTTTGCCTAACACTCAGAAAATCTCAGAAAATCTCAATTCTGAGAAACTCAGAAACAGACATTGAGGATTTGGTTTTTAATGATTAGAACTGATGAAAATCAATCATCAGCTATTTAAACATATTTAAACATATTTAAACTGAGTAAACACGAGCTTTGAGAAGGTCTGGCGGATTTCTCAGACATCCGCCATTCCGTAGACTGGAGGGGATGTTGTTGGGCCACGTGTCCTGGCTGATGAACAGCCCAAGACAGCAGACATATGTTTCATCATGACGTTATCATGTCATGATGTTTTTATGTCATCATGATGTTTTTATGTTATGTTGATGTCATGTCATGATGTCATGTCATGTTTCGAATTGTTTCCAAATGAGTTTTGAATGTCCAATTCGAAATTCCGTGTTCCAATTCGACACCTCGCTTTCAACGTGAAACGAGAGAGTCTCCGACCTCATCGAGGACGAGGATGGTCGCTCGCACCGGCTCCGCCAGCTGACCTGGAGATGATTTCGTACACACAGTCTAGAGTGATATGTCTGATATGTAGACACTAACATTTCGTAAATGTAAATGTATATAAATGTATAGTCTCTATAGATGTCTATGTCTATAGTGTATATTTCTTGTAGCGTTCTGCTTCCCATGGATCCCGGCTTCCATGCTTTCAGATCTTTCAGAACCTCTTGTCATCTCTTGTCTATCGTGACTTTGCCGGCTTTGTACCCCCGAGCCTGCACCGTGAAGGCTCACAATACGGGCTTGAAACCAGTAGGTGTTCTGCCAAGTGTCCTGCGGGCGCTCTGAACGCAGGGAACATAGTAGATGTCTATAGGTGTCTATATTATAGATGTCTATAGGGTCTATAGGTGTCTATAGCATTCTATAGCCTCTACAGCTCTCTTGCTCTGAGCGTCGTTTCATGGTGTGTTCATCTTGTTTTCAACCAGATTCAACAAGATTCAACAAGTATCTCAGTGGTCCTTGTGATCGATGATGGGAATGGGCAACGCCACTTGATCCTGACCCCTCTGGAAGGTCACCTGCGGGGCAAGTACTCAGGAAATCTCAGGAACCTGCGGGACATCACATTTATATACATTTATCATTATCACATCTATCACTGTGTATTACTATTGCCAACTATGACATAGGACATGACATACATTGACATACTATGCTTGTGCCACGACTATGCCACCAGGACATCTGTGGACATCTAGAAATGACAGAAATGACAGAAATGACATAGGACCACTGGGACCGCTGGGACCGCATTGAACATGAGAAAAGGGAACTGTACCCTTTGAGACAGTGATGGACAGTGATGGATAGTGATGGATAGTGATATAGGGAGAGAACAGGAGCGAGATGAATTCATGAGAATTCCTTCACTGGTATAATTAGCCGCTATAGTCGGAAGCAGGAAGTCGTGACTCTTCAGGTCGCAGCACGATGGAAACCAATCTCATACATCCTGATACATCCTTGTAGTTCTCATATCAGCGACCACAACGAGACAGGTCTGTTGCCGTCCCGTTGCCTGGTGGGTTCTGGCTGTGAAGTCTCTGCCACTTTTGCCGCCGCCGCAGTTTTCTTCCACAACGACGTCCACCTGGATCTCTTCGTTGGGCCTCGTGGGAAATCCACAGATTGAGCCATCGAGCCGAAGCGATTCCGTGGATAGGACGGATAGGACTCAGGACCGATAGGAAACACTGTGGATGGTGGAGGAGCTGCCAAACTGTGGGAGTTTTCAGAAAATGCCTACAGTTTCTCTGATGCTCGTGCATTCATGTTGCCTCTCGCCTTTCTTTTAATGAAAACTCAAACAGAGAAGCCTTTTGACCGGAAACGCGCATTTTTCAATCAAGCACCTGATCCAAGCAATCTCAATTTAAGTGATCCAAAAAGACAATCTGGAGAAGCGAAAAAGGATGTTGAATTATGTTGAATTGAATTTAGAGCAGCAATCATCAGACAACGAAGATCAATTAAGCAATAGAAATTGGAGAATTCATGAGAATTCAAATCAAGCAGCTTGGTTCGGTGCAAAAACAGCGTAGCTTCGGAATGCTGGAAGCAGGGGAAGGTGTGGTGTATGAAACTCACCAAGCTCACGTTCATGTCCTCCTGGGTCCACTTCTGCCAGAGCTTCAGGGCTGTGGCAAAAAATGCAAAAACAAATCAAAACAACAACTGAAAGATTGAAAAATCATGATAAATCATAAATCGATAAATCTGGATAGATTATGTTCGACATTCAAACTGTATGAACATGTAACTTAGTAACTTTACACTGTATACACATCAAGCGTTGCTTTAACGACAAAGAAAACTCTTGAAACATGCATGGCATTGCCGCATTGCCATTGCATTGGCCAAGTCAAGACCCTTCTAATCCAGATAAATCAGTATGCCTCTGGTGGTGGCGGCTTGGCGTCTGCTACCTCAGCGACCGCTTCCACCAGAAATGGGTGCCCTCAAAAAAACGGTCCAAAAAAGTGAAACGACATAAAACGACTCAAATAACAGATGGACAGATGGACAGATGGACAGGACTTACTTCTTCATCTTGTTCTCCTGATATCTCCTGATTACATGTCCCTGAACAATCTGCAGTTTATGTTGCATTCGGGAATGCAGAATGGACAAGAATGGACATGCCTGTACTGTGCACAAATCCTGCCGTTGGGCGATAGAGTTGTATCATGTCACATGTATCAAGCCTGACAAGCCTCCACCCCTTGACAAATGTTGACTTAAATGTTGACTTGAATGTTGACTTAAATGTTGACAAACCCAGGTGCCAAGAACTCAACTTTCTCCCAGAATTGCCAGGCTCTTTGCGACTTTTCTTGCAAGCCTTCCCAGAACGCCTCAACAAAACGACACGACACGACACGTCCGAAAAACGTGCCAAACGTGCCAAACGTGCCAAACGTGCCGTGCTCGTGTTCCAAATTCAAGGTCCAAACATCCTGGAGACCCGAGGGTTTCCGCTTGGGAGAGGATGGTGAGGACGGACTGTCCTACGACGGACGCGGACGCATCGTATGCATGTGATGCATGTGATGCAGGATTGCTGCATGTGTCCTACGTGTCCTACGCATGAGACATGCGCGTATTGGGATGTATTCAGAGTCCAAAGGGCAAACATAAAGCTTGCTTCGAAGCGATCGATTTCAGCTTTTGAGGGTGGAACGGAGGAATTCGAGGATTTCGAGGATTTCGAAGGTACTTTGGCACACACGTCGTGTCGTGTAGTGTCGTGTCGTGTCGTGTCGTGTCAGTCCCCAATCTTCCGCAGCTTCAGTTCCACATCGCTGCGCCACACGGCGTTGTTCTTCTGCAAGATCCGTCGCCATTCCCGAGGACCTCAGGCTCTGCGCCGTACGCCCTTGGCAAGGCCCATGGCTTAGCTCGGCTGAGCTCGTTGCTCAAGGTGGTCCACAGCCACGGATTCTCCAGAGCTGCCATCCAAACTGCCTCGGAAAGCGACATGGAAAGGACATGGAAGATCTTGCCACAAAAAGATGAACCATGATGAACCATGATGAACCATGATGAACCACATTGGGCTACGATCTGCGAACGAGACATTAAGAGACATATATTGAGTCAACATGAGTCAACAACCTCCAAACGGTCCAAAGGATTCCAAAGGTCTTTGAGAAGCCGACAGAAATGATGAGCAAAAGCGCCAGAATTGGAAAGGGATAAGTGAAATGCAAGGTGTCAGCGAAGAAGGGTACCTTTCTTGGAGTGGTCCATGTGCGCCAAGAAGCCTCTGGGAGCCGAGTAACGTCTGTGTCTGAGATGGTAACTGCTTGGCACGCACGACAGCTGCCAAGACTTAAGTTTGACTTCCTGGTAAACATCCAGGTAAATAGATGTTCATAGGATTCATACTCCTATGATATTTAGATATTTAGATATAGATATATTTGGTTATTTACAGGCATTGATCATCATTGATCCACAGCATTCCGTAGCCACCCGACTCAGCAGATCTCTGATTCGGTGCTGAAACGACTTGACAAACGACACCGTTGCGACGTGTCGTTGCCTTGTTCGCCCGCACCCAGTCACATGCGACTTCCAGCAGGTCCTTGCAAAAGATCACAAAAGACATCTGACATCTGTCAATACCGAAGATTGCCATTGCCAAAGGACCAGTAGCTGTGGAAAATACAGAAAGACATGTTAGACATGTTCTTCTTTTTCAAACACAGATTTACGAAAGATTCAACCAGACTTTCTAGTCACTTCGCCTCATCAGTGGGGGAGGATGGCAAAGCCGCAAGCAAATCTTCAATGCCGCCCCCTTCCAGTCGACCTTTCATTCGGCAAAATGGAAACACCAACGCAAACATTGGCACGTGCACACCATTGCACACCCGCAAACCACAAAATCCACAAACCGCAAACCGAAAACCCCACAAATTTTGCTCCTTTCGATGGTCTTCGCAAGAAATCAGGATCTTACTTCAGTTGTTACCTAAGTTGTTGCCTAAGTATACCTAAGTATACCGTATACTGTGGTTCCCCAGCCTGTGGAAGTGGGTAAAATCCGAAAGTTCCTGAAGAATTTGGTGGCCACGGCGTCCTTTTCCACGTCCATCGAGATCAGTTTGCGCAGCTGTTGCTTTGGAAAATCGCACGACCAATCTCCGGTGCCATCTGCCCGATGTTCTCCGCAATGATCCCTGTGTCGTCACAACACGAAACATGTTGAAATCCACAACTCGGAATCGATTGAGCCCCAAAGTTTATCCAGATTCGGCACAGATATATCATGATGTATCCAGATTGAAGTTGATCCAACGATCCAACATATCCAACATCCACTGGAGAAATCTGCAAAGTCTCATTCGTGTCTCTTGGTTTCATTGCCTGGGCAACATGAGTCGGAAGACTGGCATCTCTGCCTGTCAAGACGATTTGAAAGATGATTCTGTTAATTCTGTTTTCGTTTCAAGTGAGAATTCCCTTTAGTTTCGTATCTTGACATCAAAAGATATCAAAAATGGTCAGATGGTTTGGTTCCGGTCAAAATGACATCCCAAATTCTACCTGCTGCAGCCGTGTGGAGAGCAATGACGGCCGTGACATGTGCACAATGCCGGGGCCCTTCGAAAGCACCTTTCACCGGCTTCATCGGGTTCATCAAAATGCACACGGGGACATACGAGCACAACATGCATATGGAATCCATGCGGAAGCATTTAAAACAATATGCTGAAGCACACATTCGAGCGTATCAAAATGCATCAAAATGCATGATTTTGGGCAGATTGGCAGGGTTTCCTTGGGCTGATTTCAGCATCTCAGGTGCGCACCGCCAAGGAGCGGTTCATGTAGAGCTCTTTCCTGGAGGATTCTCCAGTGAATCGGTGACAAATCGCTGCAAAAACTCAGCTCCGTGAGGCTCCGTGTGCACCCAGAACCATCAGAACCATCAGAAACCATCAGAACCCACGCCTCATGAAGTGAATTCCGAAGAGAAAACCGTTGCTGCGGCTGAGCTCCTCTGTTTGATCAAATGGCCTTCCCGGTTGAAAAATCCCAAGAGAGCCAGTAAAGGGACATTCTGATTTTTTCTCTACTCAGACTCAGCCTTGTCAGAAGAATGAACTTATGGAAAGACATTGAAACTAGATGATCTAGATGGAACTAGAATGGGTTGAAATGTTGCACCAATGATTGCCAATGTACCAGCAAGAAAAGACGTGGCAACAACCTTTGGACTGTGGCCCCTGTGGCAAGTGAGTGCAGTGTGTCACAGTGTCCTCGTTAAATCCCTCATCTGGCGATGGGCTTAAAGCAACAATGGCAGGCAAAGTTTCAACGCTCTTTCCTGGTTCGCCGGTGTCGTGGCCCTCGATATTGAAATATCTTGAACATCATTGAACATCATTGGACTATCTCGAAACGTCATGAGATGTCATGAGATGTCATGAGCATGATGGGGGTGATATCAGAATATCTCTTAGATCTCTTAGAAAGCTAAAATAAAAATTAAAAATTAAAATTAAGAAACAGCCGGCCTGGACACCAGTGAACCTCTGGCGCAGTCGCGCAGCCTCCGACAGCGCCACAAACGTCGGCGGGGCTGGCGGGGCTGGCGGGGCTGGGGCAGCAGGCCAGCGCGCAGCTCACGTTGGAAACGCTCTTCAAGGCCTGATGGTTTCACGAAAGCATGGTGAAAGCATGGTGAAAGCATGGTGAAAGCATGGTGAAAGCATATGAGATATGGTGAGCCATAGCAGATATCTACAGGGTGAAGCACAATGTGATACATTTGATGACATCTTCGTGTGCAAAACTGCAAGTTTCCAGTAACTTCGTACAAGGTCCTAGGTCTTAGGACGATGCAGAAACATCAGAAACATGTTTCCATATGTTTCCCACCTCCAACAAAGGTCTGTTTGAAGCTTGGCTGACGTCGTATGCTCGGTAGAAATCTGGAGGGAGGCTGTAGCTCTTGCGATCGAAGTCGCTTGAAATCCACCAGCCTCAAGGGCACTTCACCGGGTATGCTTGGTTCGCGGTCACCTGGTCTCTTGATATCTCTTGATATCTCTTGATATCTCTTGATATCTCTTGATCCTCTGTTGTGTCTTATTTTGATTTATTTTGTCTACTTTGCTTTGCGTAGGCAATTTGTTGGGGAGATGTTGATGGCTTCGTAAAGTTTGACCATGCGCTCAGCGGCCGCTGTCTCCCTCATATCCTGTGGGTCCAGCATCAATGAAGTTCTCACTCCTCGGACTGCGAAGATAGGTGAAACATGGTGAAACATGGTGAAACATGGTGAAACAGTGAAACAAAGTGCAACCATTTGCAGTGGATCTATGATGCCAGGATGCCTCTGATATGATGCAAATGATGCAACAGCCAGTTGCTTGATGTTGCTTGAATCATTTCAGCCAAGACTCTTAGCTTCACGAATTCTCAAAGGCCAAACTTCCATGTCCGCATAGCCAAAACCTCCAAACAGAAACCAAGCTTCGGCATCTTCACTGCCCACTCCCCACTCCGAAGGAACTTGCCGAAGCTTGGGGAAAGGCAGAGCGAACAGAAAGGGTGGAAAAAAGGCAAGCCGGGCAAGCCGGGCAAGCCGTATTTTTATGTATTTTTGCGATAGAAATCGAAAGCAGTAGGAGCCCGCTGTTTCTCAGGGAAAAGAACATAAGAGAACCTTGGCCAAAGTCGTCGTGTTATGTCGTCTTATGCAGATATGCATACGCATATACATGTACATATACAAAGAGAGAGAGAGGGAGACAAAGAGCGACTAAGAGAAAGAAAACTGTATATCCGCCGACCCCAGCCGGATGCTGGGGGAGCGCGCTGGAGAAGGCCTGCCCTGAAGAATGCTCAAGGGACAGACAGAGACAGATAGAGACAGACAGAGACAGACAGAGACAGAGAGACAGACAGACAGAGACAGACAGATAGAGACAGAGAGATAGAGAGAGACAGAGAGAGAGAGAGAGAGAGAGAGACAGGCAGACAGATAGACAGACAGACAGATAGACAGACAGACAGATACAGACAGACAGACAGACAGATACAGACAGACAGACAGACCTCAGGGCCCTGCTGTTTCGCTGTTTCGGATGCGCCCGGCAAAGGTGGCAGCCGGCAGCTTCCAGAGCTAGTTTTCTAAGGGCTTCAGAAAGCAACGTTAGGCAGTGGCGCCTGGCCTTGGGACACGCGGTTGGGACCAGCAGGCCCTGCTGTTTCGCTGTTTCGCATGCGCCCGGCAAAGGTGGCAGTCGGCAGCTTCCAGAGCTACTTTTCTAAGGGCTTCAGAAAGCAACGGATGCGTCGTTTGTGAGCCGCGGCGGCTGGAAGACAGCTAGATTTTCTTGTAGGGTCAGAAAGTGACGTTAGGCACTGGGGGCCGTTGCCCGGAGGCCCGGTCCGTCCCTCAGGGCCCTGCTGTTTCGCTGTTTCGCATGCGCCCGGCAAAGGTGGCAGCCGGCAGCTTCCAGAGCTACTTTTCTAAGGGCTTCAGAAAGCAACGGATGCGCCGTTTGTGAGCCGCGGCGGCTGGAAGACAGCTAGATTTTCTTGTAGGGTCAGAAAGTGACGTTAGGCAGTGGAGGCCGTTGCCCGGAGGCCCGGTCCGTCCCTCAGGGCCCTGCTGTTTCGCTGTTTCGCATGCGCCCGGCAAAGGTGGCAGCCGGCAGCTTCCAGGGCTACTTTTCTAAGGGCTTCAGAAAGCAACGGATGCGCCGTTTGTGAGCTGCGGCGGCTGGAAGACAGCTAGATTTTCTTGTAGGGTGCCCGGAGGCCCGGTCCGTCCCTCAGGGCCCTGCTGTTTCGCTGTTTCGCATGCGCCCGGCAAAGGTGGCAGCCGGCAGCTTGTAGAGCTACTTTTCTAAGGGCTTCAGAAAGCAACGGATGCGCCGTTTGTGAGCTGCGGCGGCTGGAAGACAGCTAGATTTTCTTGTAGGGTCAGAAAGTGACGTTAGGCAGTGGAGGCCGTTGCCCGGAGGCCTGGTCCGTCCCTCAGGGCCCTGCTGTTTCGCTGTTTCGCATGCGCCCGGCAAAGGTGGCAGCCGGCAGCTTCCAGGGCTACTTTTCTAAGGGCTTCAGAAAGCAACGGATGCGCCGTTTGTGAGCTGCGGCGGCTGGAAGACAGCTAGATTTTCTTGTAGGGTCAGAAAGTGACGTTAGGCAGTGGGGGCCGTTGCCCGGAGGCCCGGTCCGTCCCTCAGGGCCCTGCTGTTTCGCTGTGTCGCATGCGCCCGGCAAAGGTGGCAGTCGGCAGCTTCCAGAGCTACTTTTCTAAGGGCTTCAGAAAGCAACGGATGCGCCGTTTGTGTGAGTCGCGGCGGCTGGAAGACAGCTAGATTTTCTTGCAGGGTCAGAAAGTGACGTTAGGCACTGGGGGCCGTTGCCCGGAGGCCCGGTCCGTCCCTCAGGGCCCTGCTGTTTCGCTGTTTCGCATGCGCCCGGCTGTTTCGCATGCGCCCGGCAAAGGTGGCAGTCGGCAGCTTCCAGAGCTACTTTTCTAAGGGCTTCAGAAAGCAACGGATGCGCCGTTTGTGAGCCGCGGCGGCTGGAAGACAGCTAGATTTTCTTGTAGGGTCAGAAAGTGACGTTAGGCAGTGGAGGCCGTTGCCCGGAGGCCCGGTTGATCATTGAATTTTAGGCTTCCCTTTGCCAAACTTTACCGTGACCAACCAATGGACCAACCAACCAATGATGTAGTCCTCATCCATCTCTTCACTAAACATCGGCATAGCGCGCCGCGATTTGGTTTCAATCGTCAGCAAGGCCCACTTGTTGAGCCACACCCCAAACCGCCATCATAGCGAATTCAAATAGATGATGAATCATCGAATTGAATGGCAATCCAATATATATTTAGTCACAATCATCGAATAGTCTCAAATAGTAACAATAGCCTCTATATCTTCTTTCTTCTCCTCTCATTGGATCAGGAAGGTGCGGCAAAACAAGGTAGAATGGGATATATGGCCCCTATTCAGGGCTCTGCTCCCTGTGCAGGAGACTAATGATCCCTATCCGGTCCTCGGTCACAATGTCCTCCGCTTCTTCACGTTCTTTTCCAGGGGTCGGCGGCAGGGGGTGTTAGCCCTTAAATTATACCAATGATTACCAATGTATATCATGCATAAATATTGTAATATCGTAATGTCTCATGGTCTTATCCATGTGGCAACAAAGATCAACAAAGGCCCAGCCTGGATGAGCATCAGTGAGTTTGGCATCAATCCCAACTTTCTGAAGCCGTTCATGGAGTCGCCAAGGAGAAGAGACTTCATTAAAGACCACCGAGTACCTGAAAGATGTATTTTCATGTAGAAAATACATAGCATAGCGGCATAGCGTAGCACTCAAAATAAGATAAATGTGCCGTCGGATTCACATAGCGCCGGAACATGCCGAACGCGACATGGGCAGGAATTCTGTGTGTTCTGCGTCTAAAATTTGAATCTTACGATATCTTAAGGCCTTTCGAGCTTTTTCGATTGCGGACACCATTTTGTCATATTTTTTGTTTGACCTCCCTAAAAGCAGATTTACCACGTGTCATACCGTGTCATGGTGAATCGTGGCTGAGCACCACACCCAACGTATTCCCGCAGAAGGATGGCTGTAATGGCCGTGACCTGAAACAGACAAAATCTCCAGATTCAGATGACAAAAAAGGTGGAAAATTCTGGAAAGATATGGAAAGATATGCAACAGATCCTCACCAACTTGCAAAAAAATTGCAAACATGCAAAAAGAGTCTTCAGTCAGGTCCTAAGTGAAATGGGCAACAGCGAAGACATGAAGACACAACATGTCTTCTTTTGTATTTCTTTTGTTTTCTTTTGTTTTCTTTTGTTTTTTTTCTGTATGAGATAGCTCTTTGGACCTGTCCGGTTTACGCCGAGTGCTAAGTAGTGCCAGTGCTAAGATATCTAAGATGTGCTAAGCGGCAAGTCGATGTGAAGTCCAACTGTGCAGCTCCAAGATCCAGTGATGCACCGACGACGCATCCCACTCCGTGTCCAGCTCCAGGCAACGGAGGGCATCGAAGGCCTTGGTCACACATTGGGGCGTCGCTGACCCACCCCGAAATGGGATGGAAATCGGATGAACATCAAACTTGGACACATGCAGAATCGGTGTACTCTTTTTGTACCGGCTACTGTAGGATTCTGTAGGTTACTGTAACTTGATCGCCTCCGTTATGGGCATGCGAAATATGCGATGGTGCCTTCAAGGTCGCTTAGAACAAGCTGCTGCTTGAAAGTCGGACCCACCAGACCCGCCAGACATCTACATGTCGTTGTGGCACACGTGGCACATGTGGGACATGTGGAGCGGAGAATCTTTCGGCAGTCCTTTGTTGGAAATCATGTCGCCTCAAAAAGACATGCCTCGGGTGATAACTTCATGTCTAAAAGAAGGACATGCTCAAACTCGGGTGTTACCTATTTTTGCATGTCACTGTGTCACTGTGCCTTCAAGTGTTCTTCTTCTTCTTTAGCCCACTCATTTCATGGTGTCTTTATGCAATTCTTTCTGCAACGTTAATACCCCGGAGTGTTGCGTAGAGTGCAGAGCGCTTCGGAACTGCACAGTCTTGTGCTATAGGCAAGGCTTTGTGCCTTTCTGTGCCCTGAAACTATGGTCATGTTATGTCATGTTTCTTTGCTGGAGCAATGGCTAGGTGCAAAGGTCATCGCATATCAAGCTTCCCTGTCTCTGTCCACGCTAAAGACAGGCCGGCTGCTACTGTCTTTCCTGGACAGCGGAAGCCGGCGGAAGTGCAGAAGGGCGCTGGAAAAACTCTGCGCTCGCATGTTGCCATGACTTGCCATTCATCTGCCACCATGCCTCTTCGAGCATTCTTTTCTTGGCCTCCAATTGGCATCTGAAATGATAAAATGATCTACTTTTGATGACACATTGATGACACACTGCATACTGCGGCATATTGCGGCATACTGCGCGACAAAGCAATGCGGTAATGCGGACCGTAGGAGGCTCCACATCAGACTCAAGGACGACCAGAGTCTCCTGCATCAAGCTCCACTCAGGCAAGCAAAGAAGCAAAGCAGCAAAGCAGCAAAGCAAACCACACCTGCCAACGTGTTGAAACGTGTTGCAACGTGTTGCCAAAATTTGTCTAAATTTTCCTCTGATTTGCAAACCACTTGGCTATTCACAGCAGAGAAACCCTGTCCGAAAGCTCATCACTGTCTTGATCCTCCTGCCAAAAAGGTGCTTTTATTCAACAGCACACGTTCCTACCTTTTGACCTGTGATTGTCAGAAACACAGATGTAAATATATGCCTCGTATCTAAAAAAATCCAGGACAGCCTGACAGCCGAAAATCCCTGAAACTGCTAGGCCTCCTGTTTCTTTTTCAGCGACCTGTACAGCGATGGACGCACAGCGACACGTCGAGCACGTTGCTGGAAAAAGGCCACCGTCTGTCGTCATTGCTCTGAGTGGCTGCAAGAGAGTTTGCCGTAGACGCCGACAGGACTCCTGTCACCGCGGCGAGGAAGCCATAGGAAGCCCAAAATTTAGATGGAAAGCAATGGAAAGCGACGAGTGGCGACTAGTGATGGAACGAGAAAGCTGGAGATAGAAATTCGGAGAAGGAAGATTTGAAGAGGTAGTAGGTATATGTAGGTATAAAGAACAGGGTGAAAGTTTTGATTCAATATGATTCAATAGGTTAAGTTCACAATGAGCAACACAAGTACTGTAGAAAGAATGCAGGAGTTGCAACATGGAGGGAGAAAATGGGCACAGGCCAGGCCTCCCTTTGTCGCGCAACGTCTCTTTCATTTAGGTCCTTCATAGAGGCGTAGAATGTTGGTCAACGAACACCCATCTGTCATTTTTCCTTGTTACCATGATGCACTTCGTAGTTCATATTTGACATATCTATACATATATCCATACGATCTATACATGTCTATACTGATCTTTGCGTCTCTACTCATATCATCTCATATCATCTCATATCTATACATCGGTGACATATTTGTAGAATTTTTATACAGATCTGTTCTCGGTTCTCGTCCCACACGGTCCCCGGGCAAGGCTCACTGCCTCTGAATTGGACGCGGTCACCGCCACCTTTTGCTCCTTGGCTGAGCGACCAAACTTTTTGATCTTTTTGCTCCATGGATTCTCCCAATGTCACTACAATGTCACTACAATGTCATATATCATAATGTCACAATGCTCTATTTTTAGTGGATGATATATGATGATATATGATGATATTACATCAGGTACTCTATTCTTTTGCGACTCGTAATGTTTGCGACTCGTTTTTTCTCAAGCTACGAGTAGTAGCCCGAGTCCAGAGAAATCCGAAGCGTCCTGGAGGCGACGCCGCAGCTGCGCCAGCTGCTGGACCTCCGAAAAAATGGGACGCGAAGAAACGCCGGAAAAAGAGAGGAAAAACTCATCGAAGTCATGAGATTCGACTCAATTCCATCGAAATCCCGTCTGAAGACATACGAAGACATACGAAGACATGAAACTCCTTGAGATGACACGAATACGAAGACAGCGTCTGTCACTGCAATTGTTGCACTGCAATTGTTGCACAGCTTTGTAAAGCCTTGTAAAGTTGTAGCTTAAAACCAGCACAACATAGCACAACTGCCTTGACGCGTGTCGCACGCGTGTCCCACGCGTGTCGCACGCGTGTCGCGCGCCTTCGCTTGGAGTCGAATGCTCTGCAGCTCCTGTCGCTTCGTCGAGACCAGCCTGGACGGTGCCGTGCGGTGCCCCGACAGCGACTCCAGCGACTCCGGGCGCTGCTCCGGGCGCTGCTCCGGGCGCTGCTCCGGGCGCTGCGCGCCTCGCCAGGGCCTCCTTGGCTTCAGCTCTGACCTGGACAGCAGGACATCACCAGACATCGATGTTTCATGATTTTGTAGATATAAATGATATACAATTGATATACAGTAATTCGTAGGACATGTATAAATCAGGTGACAAATTGAAATCGAAGTCTGTGTGACTCGATGCAATCCTTCTGCCTCTGTTTCAGACGAGCTATCACCTGTCGCAGCCTCCACAGAGGAGATCAAACGATATGTCTCATCGTGTCTTATCGTGTCTCATGGTGTCTCATATGACGTCATGTTCCCTCTGGTTATTTAACATAGCCATGGAAAATGGTCCATTTATAGATGGTTTGCCTATTCAAAATATTTCAAAATGGTGATTTTCCATGGCTATGTTAGTCATAACCAGAGGGTAACTCGTTTTTGTATCAAAGGATGTTGATTAATCTCAAAGACTAAACCGCAAAGTCTCGCAACGGCACCTGAGATCTGTCATCTTCCTGCCCAATGGATGTCTACTGATGCTCAATCTCGATCGTTCACTCCCAGCGCACCGATTGGTGCTTCTGGCCACCGATTGTTCCCCATGTATATATGATTACTGTGTATATGATATTATATTATGTATAATATATAAATATACATATTTATATATGTATTGTATACATATATATGATATATGTATACATATCAGTTTTCGTTTGATGTCAACCAAGACAGCAATTGCAAATGCCCGGTTCCACACATCATGGTCAGGAGCTAAGTTTGTCCCCTGGCCCAAACTGGGTGATGAAATCGTATGCAACATCAACCAGATTGTTTAGGGTGATTCTTCACTCGGTGTGAGACACTGAGTTAGAGCCCGACCCTTCACAACAGCAGCATCGGAGTCGTCAGATCTTTTGGGCACCAAAGTCTTCAGATGGAATCTTCCCTCTCAGTATTTCCAATCATCGCAGAGGCAATCCACGGAACAAAAGACCTCATGGTGGCAAAGGGTTGCAAAGGAAGTTGCAAAATATGTAATATATTGTAATATATCGTCGTAATATTATATATATATATTATGTAATATCATGATCATCGCGGAACTGAAAACTGCACAGTTTCTGCACAAACTTTTGATCTTCAACGCCACGAGGATGTGGTCAGGCTGTGGATCAAACAACCTCTGACTGCAAGCACCGGAATGGCCTGCCAAGCGGTGCAGCGGTGCAGCGGTGCAGCGGTGCAGCGGTGCAGCGGTGCAGCGGTGCAGCCCATCCCAGCATTTTGTGACCGTCGCCTCTTTTCCAAAGGAGAGCCACGCTCCAGGAATTCCTGCAGAGTTTCTTGGTTCGCAATTTCTCCAACGTCTCTGCAGAATGATCTGCTTATGATCTGCTTGTAATCTGCTTGATCGTCTCTGCTTGAGCTTCTTGGATTTGTTTTTGGATCAACGCCCCTTTGGGATAGAACACTTCAAAGACACCTCTTGCCTTGTCTTGCCTTGTCTTGCCTTGCTCGCCCGGGCTTCGGTGCCTAAAAAGTCTATCCGAGTCTATCCGAGTCGCTGGAGTCTGTGCCTAGAATCGGTGCTGTCCTCTGCGGGGACAGACGGCTTTGGCGCCACATCTTTGGGCCTGGGGATTCACTCGTAGATCATGTAGATCATGTAGATCATGTAGATCATGCACAGGTGTGAATAAAGTTGACAACTGATAAAATTCACAGGTGTATCATCATGTATCAACGCTTTCCGCAAACAGAAAGTTCCAAAGTTCCAAAGTTCCAACCCCAACTCTGCAAGATCTGCAAGAGAAATTGTTGTGGTTGAAGCTTGTGGCTGACATTTTTCTCTGCCTTCGCAAGAGATGGGTTCTTCGCCCCAAAGCGTGAGACGCGTGAAACACATTGTCAACACTGGCTGTCACAGGTTGGAGTCTTTGAAGTGTTCCACTGGGACTTTAAACGAATGGCTTTCAAGACTATTTGCACAGATTTGCAGAAAATTCAAAGCTCAAGTTTTTCGATGTGAATCGAGTTCTTAGATGGCACTCAAGGCACAGGAATCATCCTTCGTACATCTTCGTACCCCCCATCAATGCCCATCATCTCCAGTAAACGAACGAGTTTTCGAACATCGAACAAGGCTCCAGGATGTCATCCAGTGGCGTCCGGTCTCAGCTCCACAGCCTAGAGACTTCGTATCTGCCCCAGGGAGCTCCCGCATTGAGCTCCGGAAATCCCCATTGAGCTGCCCCGAAACCCCCGGTTCCAAGTTGGGCAGTTGGCAAAATGTCAAAGTTAAGTTACAAAGTCTTACAAAGTCTTTACAAATTCTCTCACGAGTTCTTCAAACTGCTCTTGGAGCTCATGGAAGTGTTCTGGTAGGCAAATATCACCATATCGTCACCATATCAGATCATAACTGTTTGAGCTCATGTGACCGATATCTCAAGGAGATCTCAAGGACATTTTGGACACTTGGTCTCTTGGCCGCGACGCTGATAAGCCCAGACAAGCTTTTTCCAAGGTGCAATTGAGAACGGGTAACCGGGTAACAAACCAAATCGGTCCAAAGATGGGTTGCAGACTTGGGGTCGACTTTACTTCAATATTACTTCAATATACTTTAGCCTCATTCGAAACATAGCTCTCTGAACATCACGTCAAAATAGGTCGAATGTGTATCTAACGGATGATTGCTATGTCAGCTATGTATTTCCTCAATGGAAAGTCTACAAGAATCACGTTCCATAGGGCTGTGGGAGGAGACTTGGGACAGAACAGCCTGGGAATGCCTGGGATATATCACAGAGATGTTGGGTGTGCACTGGGGGCCAAGATCTGCACAGCCAAAGGCCAGAGACGTCAAAAAGATTATTATCGATATGTTCAGACATTTTCAGATATTAGAATATATTAGATGATAGATGTGTTTGGTCTTTGTTGGCCAAAAAAACACTTTTAGTGTCGAGTGTCTGGGCACTGCATTAGCAATCGCCATTGCCGCCATTGTCTTTGCAATGAACAAAGTCCGTGCCAAGGTGCACGGATGTTGTTTGAGCAATCTGCTATCAGACTGCTATCATTGCTATCACTAGACACCGACTACGTCAGATTCGTCGCATTTCACATCAACTGGAGGTAGCAAAGTCCTGTCGAGTGTAACTTGGATCTTGTCAGATTTTGTCGTTGGTTTATACATGTTTATACATGTTTATACATGTCTATACATCTTGTCACCGTGTCATGGTGTTCACACAACTCACACATATCTCACATCTCTGTCTCTTGTATCGACACGAAGATGGTATCGTCGGCATCGTCGATCTCGTGTCCTGGTCCCATCCAGTCTTTGGATCCTGGCGGGTCAGACTGGCAGGGTCAGGGGCGACTGAAGCTTCTGTTGTTTTCGGTCGGTCTCGGTCGGTCTCTGTCGGTCTCTGATCGTTTTGTGTCCTTGTATGGAATCTGCGGAGGCATGTCCTCCTTGTTGGCGGAAAAGTTGGCAGCGTCCTGCCATGAAACCACTTCCAAATCTTTCCACAGAAAATCTGATCCAAAGATCTCCAAAATATCCAAAATCTAGACCCGACTCAGCTCCACGGAGGGCCTTCTTGCTCTTCACGGTGGGCTTGTAGGGAGGTGTCAGCGTGAAATTAGCCATCTCATCCCAGCCGAAACCCTCGAACCACGCCTGAGCAACCAGACTCCAACAGTTTTCTAACGAAGCTAGCGGGTGCTAACAGTGTTTCAGACATTTTCGTGTCGAAGCATTCATTACCAGGATTATTGAAAATTACAGGACACACTTCATGAGGATTCAAACCGTGAAAAAAACGTGAAAACCCGTGATGAAATGATATGATCTGAAATGTATCCAATGAATAATGCAAAGAATTCCAGATTCAAACTGTTTTCAAACCGCTTCTCTGCCTGATTCTTGATATTCTGAGTGCCACCTTTCTTCATCGGAAGCCGTTCACCTCGGCACCAGGCGACACCACAGTGGTGACAGTGGTGACGGGTCAAAGCGTCACTGGATGGCGTTTTTCAGAACAATTCACCACATGTTTTCAGCCGCTTTCAGCCGCTTTCAGCCGTTTTCAGCCGCTTTCAGCTTTTGAGGTTCCGCTATCAGCCAATTTCAGCCGCTTTCAGGTTCAAATTTCAGTGAGTTCAAGTGGATTCAAGTGAGTTCCAGAGTGAGTTTTGAGAGTGAGTTCCGAGGTGAGTTCCGAGTGGCTGGGCGTGGCGTTGCAGAGGCCCTTGACCAAGGCCTCGATGTTTCCCTTCAACTTCTTGGGGAAGACCACCTTCTGGATGCCCTTCTGCACCTGGTTCCGAAAACGGCTTCGGCTACGGCTCCCCCCCGTTGAACCCGTTTTTTGGACCCCCGTTTTCAGGGTCCACCGGTGGACGGTGAAGGAGGGCACCGGCGGCGCCTTGGAGTAGATCTGCATGGGTGTGGCGGACTCGAAGGGCGGGTGCCCAGAGCAGAGCTCAAAGGTTAAAATCCCCAGGCACCACCAGTCCACCTGCAGATCTGAGTGCATCTGACGTGCAGTGGATATCCACCTAAGGCTATATCAGATATATATAATATATCTCCACTGCACGGATAGCCAGGGATATGGTTATGATTAACCATTTATATATATATATAAATATCCATTAATGATGATATGGTGAAAAAATCTATGACTAATGGTGATATGGTTATGGTGGAAACGTGTGGATATTGTGGGTGTTCATCATTAAGCCGATATATCTACCTGAGTCTACCTGGCTATGGTTAAACCCATGGATATATCATGATAGGTATAATGGATTTTAACCATATCATGATATATCAGATATATCCACCTGCAGTCCATCTGACGTCATAACCGGCATGGTGGCACCTACCCTGCCACATAACATCCATGGAAAAACTCAAGAAAACATCAGGATTAAAAATGTTCAGATCTATTCAGATCTATGGTTTAGGTTTAAAATCATGGAAAAAAATATCTAGCTGTCCTTGTTGTCCATGTTGTCAATATATTGATCTAAATTCTAAATATATATAGTCCATATATATAGTCCACCTGACTTTCATGCTTTCCTCTACACCTTTTGCCCTTCTCGGTGCCCTTCGGACACTTCCCTTCTCGTTCGGTCCAGAATCCAGAATTGCACTGCGACTTTAAAGATTTGAAAGATTTGACAGTTCCTGAGGGCGCAGCCGCCAGATTGTGGCCTGCACAGGTGTGACACTGTGAGCTATTCGGTGAGCTATTCCGTGAGCTATTCTGTGAGCACTGTCATAGACACAGACATCAAATGACATCAAATGACATCAAATGACATCAAATGACATCAAATGACATCAAATGACATCAAATGACATCAAAGAAAAGACTTCAAAGGTCTCCAAGAAACACAAGAAAGGATATTCAGCAAGGAATAGAGATTTGTTTGCACGAGAAGACGTCGTAATGGGAGGTGATGAGAGTTCTGGCATGTTCTGGCAATCATTCAGCAAGTGATTCACATCTGCGCAAAAGTGCAAGCTTAAGACGTGTGCATCGCATGAGGTCCCCATCGAACCTTTCGATGCGATGAGTTCAGGTGCGAAATAATCCTCAGCATTGCACTCGTCTGGCGATGGCATACATTGTTTGATTCCAATAACATCCAATAACATCCAATAACATCCAATAACATCCAATAACATTGTTCCATAATGTTTCATACCTGTCTCGAAGTTTGTACAAGTAGAAAAGTTTCTGGACACACAAGAACGCAAAGCTGCATCTAAACCGCAAGTCTAGGACGCATTCAAACGACTTCAACGTTTGAACTTCAACCTTTGAAACTGGACAAGACAGGGCAGAAAGGACAAATTTGAAAATGAAAACATCCGAAAACATCAGAAAACCATCACAGGTTGATAGGCCATGGCCATGAGATGCCATGAGATGCCAGGGTGCTGGTGTGCCACAGGTTGTGTAGGTCTTTCCTGGGCAAACCTGTGCCGTCAATGCAAAGTAAAAAATTGTGGCAAAAAAAATGGCAAAAAAAACATGGAAAAAACGATCTGTTTCGGTCTGTTTCTGTCGCCTTGGCAAGGCCCATATCCGTAAGCTTCACGTGGCCCTTGTCATTCAAGAGCAGATTTTCCTGAAATGCACAGTGCACAGATGTGCACAGTGCAGCATATTGCCACATTTTGCCACATTCTCAGCAATCCAACTCTTGGAAATCCATCAGATTCATTCAGATTTTTAGATGTGCCCAGTTATATCAATTTACTTCTCCATACTTATCCTTCATTATTTTTCCCAGTATCCTTATGTAACATATGTCATCCTTCAATTTCTGCCTTTGTTTCATCGGTGTTTCTTCAAGGTGATCGTGATCTCTCGCCCTGAGGAGATCGCAGGCTTCAAATCTCGGAAGATGATCTTCTTTCCGTGCAGGTGCTCGAAAGCGAAGACGGTGCCCGCCACGTAGAACTTCGCGCATTTCTCCTGGATGTCATCTAGAGGATATCATCTATGATATTAAATGATATGTATATATAACTATGTATATATATATATATATCATCTATGATTTCATCTCAGATACCATCTCAGATGGTCAAAGTATGTCAAAATAAAAGTAAAATATAAGGCCGTAAGCGCCCATGACGCCTAAGTAGCATTAAAAATAAGTGAGATCACAGATCAGAATCCCTTTTTTCGACAGTCACATTTCACTCGACCATCTGTAAATCTTAGCCAACATAAGATATATTCAGCATTATTCAGCAACTTTTTGTAAAAACCTTTTGTTTCTTCCAGCTTCACCAGCACCGGTCACCCGGTCATCATGGTCATCATGGTCATCCGGTCCTGACCCCAAAGATTCCGTTTGTTGTAGGTGGCGTAGAGTTCACCTCCCAGCGCCAGCTCCAGCAGCAGGTGGAGATGTTGATCGGAGTTGAAGGTTTCCTAAGGATTTCGTTGCGCGATTTGCGGCATGGCCAGCATGGCGGCATGGCGAATCAAAAAACCAGAGAAAAGATGCGAAGAAGATTTCTGAATATTAATATAATGTTACATAATATATCATTAATACACACATGGAATAAGATGTGAAAAAAGAAGCTGGAAGAGATGCGGAAAAGATTGGAAAAGATACGGAACAGGAAGTGGCAAAAAAGGCCAAAGCGCGTGGCAGCTTTGGCTTTGGGAACACTTTTGGCGCCAAGCGACGTAGAGCTTCACCACAAATGGTGAATCACACATCAACTGGACGTTCTTCTCGCTGATGACACTGCTCTGCATGCCACTCTTCACCTATTGGAATCTGCATTGACGTAACATGTCTTGAGTTTTCTCGAGGAACAAAGGTGCATGACAAATTGACGAAATCCTATTGGAATCTGTCTTACGATAATTCTTGATACGGCAAAATGAGGTTCACACCACGTAGCCCTTGCTCAAGTTCTTCAAAGCATACGTCTCGTTCGTCTTCAGATCTTCCACCTGTCACACTTCACAGCACATCCCCCAGCACGTCGTGGCACTTTGTTGTGGCACTTTGTTGTGGCACGTTGTGGCACGTTGCATAACTTGTCGCTGAGCAACCATTTCCACTGCCCCGAAGCCACCACATCCAAGAAGTCCAAGTTTCTTCAGGTCCTGGAAAGGTGTTCCTTTTAGGTGTTCCAAACAAAAGTGTTCAACCTAAAGGTCCAATTTCTTTCGCCCCGAGAAATCCCATGGAATCCCGGCCGCTGGGCTCATCGCCAGGCTCCCCACTGGGCTCCTTGAATTTGATGTTTCCAAAGCGCTTCGAATCGCCAGCCTTTGGAGCCACCGTGGCCTTCTTCACCGCAGCAGTGCCGTCCTTGCCGCGTTTCATCAGGTCCTGCGATCTGCGAACATCGGCAAAAAAACGAGTTGAAAGTGGAAAATCGGTAATTGCCAAACGATGAAAGTTGGAAAGTATTGGAAAGTATTGGAATATTGGAAAGTGATTTTTGTTGATCTATTTTTGGATTCTCAAAGGTATCACTCAGTGTGAAGCAACATGAGCTGTTCGATCTGTTCGCTGATCTTTCGAAGTCCTCCAAAGAACCAATGAGAATCTCGAAGGACTCTTTGTCAATCCATAGAGTCTGGCAGGATGTTCACATCTCTCTGATCTCTCTGCATTTCAAGTCTGGTGCCCAAGAAATGCATCATTTTACATCCCATTATTCCTTTGCTGTCTGTATAGTCTCGGCAAGAAGACATGGCAATTGTGGCTTGGGCAGTTGTGGACATCCCTATGCAGGCGCACTCTTTTCTCCAAAGTGATACGCTTTCAGCCAGCACAGCTGGAGCCTATATTTGCACAACTTTTTTGTGTAGCATAGTGTAGCCATATAGATCATATAGCCAAGTTTCACAGCAGTCACGTGCGTGACTGAAGCATAAGCTTCAAGCATAAGGTTCAGCCATCGGTCAAAGTTCGACTCACTTGGGCATCTTCTGCATCCTGCAGAAAGACTCCAAAAGTCAGGGCATCCATCATGATCCGTTCTTTTGCCTCCAGACTCACACTCAACATTCGAAGCTCTCCTCTCTCTGCAGCATCTAGCAAAAGAGAGGTATATTTCGCAATCGGTGGAGTCTCATCGGGATTTTCTTCGATCTCCTTTATGGCCCGTTCAATTGGTTGTTGCAACTCATCTCTTAAACCTTTGCCAAAAATGGCATCTGTTTGCCTTCGGATTGCTGCTAAAACGTTGGGTCCCAAGCTTAAGACTTCATCCAGTGCGCGGTCGTTGGTCTTTGCCAACATTTCCACGAAGTTTGCGAAACGTTCACTTTGCATCCCCAAGTCATTCGAGTCAACTGCAGAATCTCCGGAATCGCCAGCAGCTTCCGCTTCGAAGTTCAATGCCAGTTCAAAGCGACGTGACAAACGACGGAGGCAAAGCCCAAACAGGGCATGGCCGAAATAAAGATCGGCTTGGAAGACTCGGGTACTACTTGTGACGTCTCTAAAGACCCTAATCCATTTTCCAATGTCTTGTTGTGTCCAATCTGAGGCACTTGTGGCACTTGTGGCGGAGCTAGGCAAACCTGAAGCGCCACCAATGTCCTTCAGAATGCGGTTCTTCACATCTCGAAAACGATCCGAAAAACCCTTAAATTCGCCTGGAGATTGCAATTGCTCCTGAGTGTAAGCATCTACCAATACCTGGCTGTACTTCTTCTTGTCTATGCTTCGAAGCATTTCCCGTCGGAGCTGCCCTGATATCACCACCAGCGGCACTTCAAAGGAGTTGTCGCCTGGGAAAGCACTGTTCATCTTTTAATGTGTTCGTGCTTTTGGTCGTAATAAAAACTGCTATATACATGCATGTATATAATATACATATATATATTATAATAATAATAATAATTTATATATATATAATAATTTTTATATATACATATATATATATATAATTTATATGATGGTGATTCGTTTTCTATCCACTCATGGGCCTCTTTCCCAAAATCATATCCCCGGTACTTTTGTGACTCTGCATTCTAATAATTGCAGTTCCGGCAGCCCGAAAACCTTGGCGTTGTCAAATTTGTCAATATTAGGTATTCTCATGTCAAACTCATGTTGTGAAGTACACAGTGCTTCAGTCATTTACAGTCATCTCCAGATGACCTCAAGGCTTCAACATCTTCAACATCTTCAACGGGCATGGCTGGGGTGCTGGGGCGCTGCGCCTGCGACGGCATTCCATCTCTCCAGGCCACGGCCAAAAATGGCCCAGCTGCGGCTCGATTGAAAGCTGCGCAAGAGCGGTAGACCTGCCGTGCTTTGCCCAAACAGCGCGCGGAGATACAGCAGATCTGCATTGGCCTCGGCAGCTTCTGCCGTATCCTCCTTGACAGCGAGATCTTCGAGGCTTCGAAGGGATGCATCAATCTCATCTTGAGGTTGCTTCAAACAGGCCCAACGAAAACCAGAGACCGGATTTCGCAATGAGATCCAACCTGCAGGGTTTTCGATACGACCTCGGACTCGTTGTGCCTCCTCCAAGACTTCACACTGTTGCACCTCAATGACATCACCGGTCAACAACTCAGCCACTGGAGTTGGGCTCAAGTCTTTGCTTGCGGCAACCAGTACTGGTGCCCTAGAGGAGATCAAATAGGTTCCTGTCTTATCCGTCTCCATCCCTCGTCGCAGACGTTCCTCGATTTCCTTTCCTCTGCTGGAGACACACGAAGTCGACTGAACCGACTGAACCTCCTGCGGTTTCGGTGTCTGCCCCGTCTGCCCCGTCTCCGCTCTCCGCAGGGTGCTGCCAGAGCTCCCGGTGCCTCGATCCGCTCGATCCGCTCGATCCGCTGCACCGCAGAGGCTTCCACTGCCGGCACGGCCGCCACGGCCAGGGACCGTCCACGCGGTCCACGCGGTTCCGAGCACGGCTGCGATGGCCACGGGCAGTGCTCGCCAAAGACGGCAACGGCGACGCCATAGACGCCCCATGCCCGGCTCAGTTCCGGAACAAGCAGAACAAGCAGAACAAGCGACGCAGAAGCATCAAATCTATTCAAATCTCAAATTGCTCATAGATGCTTAGACATCGTGAAACTGTCGCAATCTCGGTAAGAGTCTTGATGTATCTCGTGGTTGACATTGACATTCTCATTTCATCATGCATATGTTTTTCCAGCTGAGACACCAATCGGCACATGATGAAACCTGTAGGCTATCTAAAAAAAAGCTCCAAGCAAGCCGCATTCTCAGAGCCAGAAGCTGACATAAGCTGACATAAGCTGACAAGCCAAAAGAGTTGGGTTTTCAATGGGTTTTCAAGAGGGAAAGCCAGATAAAATGGTACTGCGGGTATTGAAAATGATTGAAAATGATTGAAAATGATTGAAATGTCAGAAATGCAAAGATCTTCAGATCATTTTCTCCAAAAGTTGCATTTTCTCAGATCATCTTCTAAGCTACCCTTTCTCCAAACATCATGTTGTGGTCTTCTCCAAAAGGGGCACCTTGGCGGTAGGGGAAATCACCTTGATGGTGGCAGCACGAGGTTCATCTTGCTGCAGAGCTCGTTCACCTGGCACAGAAAAATCCATCTGAAAAGTACCATAAATTTGCCATAAATATCCCATGAAAAATATGAAAAGAGGAGAAATATATAGAAATATATAGAAATATATATGGAATATATATGGAATACCCAGGAATCATGTGGAATCATATATACAATCATATATATAATTTATATTAATTTATGATCTAATCATATGGAATCATCTACTATGGTGATCTACAGTGATGCGGTCAGGGACAAATGTCGACTCTGCGTGTGGATAAATGATATCCGATGACAACTGCAATTTGGGCTCAGAATACTCCAACTCCATCCAACTCCGGCAAATCTCAGACAGGTCACCAAAGTATGTTGCCTTTTCTGGAGTTGCCTGCAGATTCTGCAGATTCATGAAATTCATGATGATGTTTTCATGATGTTTTCGATGATTTTTGATGAGCATTGTTTTCCAGAGATTCCCAAAATGTTCCGTCGCTGTGTTGGAAAACTCTCCAATGTCCTTGATTTTGGACACTTCCTTCCCATCCTTCACAACCTCAGCGATTTAGGACACGGAAGGCCTCGAATTCGACCTGTCTTGAGGTCGCGTTTACACTGTTTACACATGTTTACACATGTTTACACGTGGACTGCAACCTGAATAACCTCAATAATCTGAGCTTTCTGAACATCCTTTGAAAAAAACCATCCGTTGCTTTCATGGACTTCTCTTTCTGCTCCGGAGAAGCGCTGATCCTTCGCACCAAGAGACACTGACTTCACCCTCAACCAAGAGGAAGAACTGCGTTCCTCGCTCGCCTTGTTCAAAGACCAATTCGTCCTCAAGCAGAGCCCAAAGGCAAGGGTCCCGAAGGCATGTCAAGGCAAAAGGGGTCCACGGTTTGGAAAACCGACGTGCAGGATTATGCACAACAGGGTACCGTGCAAATTCAAATGCAGGTTTCACAAGGTTTCACATACACTTGTGACAAGTTGAAACATGCTGAGACTTTGAGATACTGAAACAAGAAGTTGGACCTCCCTTTTTTTGGTGTTTCAGAGGTGTTGGACCTCGCTGTTGGACCTCGATTTGGGGATGGGGGATTTAAGGCCTTGCTGAAAGTCATCTCGAGGAACGCAGCAGCCAATTCCTTCTTTTCCGACTCCTGTGATCGTGGCGAAAGAAAGTGAAAATCCGCGAGAAAATACGCCAAAGTGATACCATCTGGTTATGACTAACATAGCCATGGAAAATCACCATTATTAATAGGTAAACCGTTAACCATGTTAAATATTGTTAAATAACTACCAGAGGGTAGAACAAATTCTGTTTGGGTGCCCATACATGACACTTCAGACATCTACAGACATCTTCAGACTGCAGTTTTTCAAATCTAAGTCACGCAGGTCTGCTACGGAAGACATTGAAAAACCCGGGCCTTCAGTGCGGCGAAGCAATCGCAGCGGCTCACCTCTCCAGCGGAACTAATGTTACAGAAAGAGGCACAGAAAGACAGGGCTTCTTAGACACTTGAGATGACACAAGATTCAGATCCGCTGGCGCAGAAAGACAAACATGGAAAACAACTTGGAAACACAAAGGATCAATATTTGAACATCGAAAACTTGATTGAAGGGAGGTTTTTTCAGATGTTTCTTCGGATTCTCCAGAAAAACAGATTTCTGTGGTTTAACTGTGGTTTAACTGCGGTTTATTGTTTTTCAAGTTGTACCAGAAATGTTATAAAGATTACAAGTTGTCTCTCTGAATCTCTCCGAATCTCAGCCGAGCGCATGCTTCATGTTCTCCTCCGTTTCGCGCTGGTTGGCCTACGCCAACGCTTCCGCAACGTTTCTCTTGCAACGTGTTGAAACCTTGAAACATGTTGACAAAAACCTCTGTTTCAACACATGTTTCAACAAATTGAAACAACCCGTTTCTTCTTACGATCATGTTGCGATATACTGCATTGTCTGCATTGTTGCTTGCACTGTCAAATGAGCCGCCTTCATGAGGAGCTCCTGAATTTCAACTGGACATAATTTGGATGAACAGAGCCGTATGACAAAAGTGAACGACAAGTCGGACAAGTCCGACATCGAACTATCAAGGATTGTCCAGATTGCGTAACAAAATGTAACAAATACAGGACTTGAAAGCTGAAGACTCGGAAGACTCGGAAGACTCGGAAGACTCAGCTCTCGTTGGCTCCTTGAACTGCTGACGAGCTGTCACAAAGACAACGGCATCCGCAGTGGCCGTGATCGTGGCCTCGATGCTGTGACTCCAGTGCGGCGTGGCAACTGGCTTCAACTGGCTTCGGCTTCAGCCCAACTTCACCATTTTTTTCTGCAAACAATATTGGAAATATTGGGAAAATCATGAAAAATGGAAAAATCTTGGAAAGGTTTATGGATGTTTATGGGAAGATTGGGAAGTAAAAAAGGCCAACAAACCCACATCGACTCCAAGTGTGCGGCGGCACGAGGGGCAAAGTACAGCAGAGCAAGCTCACCAAAGCTGCCGCCGGCCTGAAAGCCCCACGAAATTGGACCAAGGTATCCAGGTCTATCCAGGTCTATCCAGGTCTATCCTAATAACCAGCCTGTGAAATCATGTGCAACTGTGCAACTGTGCAACTGTCGACTTTCAAATCACTTCTCCATCTTGAATCATCGGAGATAGCTGCTGTGCTGCATCGTTTCTTCCATTTTCTAGGAAAACTCAGTAAAACGCTTGATGTGGTTGATGTTTCTGCAGGTTCTACTAGGTTCTAGTGTTTTCTGCTCGTTCTGTGCTGCTTCGTTCAATCCTATCTTCCTCCAGCAGATGTTCTACCAAAGCACCTCGATTGTGCCAAGCGCAGCAGAGGCCACCCTCAATTTTTCATCGGAGATCGTTGGATTCTGAGGAATGGGTACTGTAACAGGTACCAGCCAGGTACCAATGGTACCAATGGATGCCAATGGATGCCAATGTCCAATTGATCCAATTGATCCAATTGACATCCTAAAACATGTTATATACATGGTCTGAGGACAGAATTCCGCCGTGTTCAAACACATGGAATTTTAATGAGTGATTAAAGTGTTCCGTAGGCTTGGAGCATTTCGTGGATCCAGGAGACTGAGAGTACAACACGCAGAGTGTATCAATAGTAGAATTCGAATATTTCGAAGAATCTCGTGAAGCTTCACGAAACTTTTATGAAAGGTCTTGGTCTGCACCATCTGCACGAAATCTGCACCATCTGCACCATGGGTTGAACATGTTTCAAATCTTCATTAGCGCATCCCGCGCATCCCGCGCATCCCATCCGAGGATCTTCTCAGCAGATGCAGCAGCTTCGGTCTTGGAGACTTGGAAACTGCCAGACTGAACCACATAGAAATAGTCAGCCTCGTCACAACTTGGCAATATAAAATATATAAACATCATGAAACATAATGCGCCAAGATGTACAAAGATGTACAAAGTGGTCACAAAATCAAAGTGTTTAATTCTAAACTTAATTCTAAACTTGTGTAAGCTTTGTATCGTAGTAGACTCCACAGCTGTGCAAATTCTACGTATGACGTATGCAGCTGAGTATACCTACTGCATCCTGCCATATCCTGCCATATCCCGCTAGCTCTGGTCACCAGTCACTCGTCAGGGTTCCAGCCGCCTGCAGGTCTCCCTGCTGAATGATTGCCTTCCCACTGGGAACCTCCTCCTTCCACATGACATCCACGATCGCTTTCACCCTGACGATTTTTGACATTTTTTTACCACAAAAAAACACCAAAATGATGCAACGATCGCAACGGTTCTTCAAGGCTCTTCAACAAAGGTGGACATTTGGATAATTTTTGGATATGATCCGGCACCTTTCATCATCCAAAGTCGCGATCGTGTTCAAGTTCACGTTTTCCTTCAGTGCTTTGGCCTGAAATGAAATAACTCTACGCCAAACACGCCAAACATGGCCACTCAGGAATTGCTGAGCAAAGCGGGGACATGAATGGAAAGCCGAATGGAAAGCCGAATGGAAATCCATTTGAATCCAATACCAAGCGACAATCAATTGCTTCTCCTCAGACCGAGCAGAGACTTCAGATACTGTGACAATCACCCTATGGTGAAATCATAGCACAGGATTGCACAGGATAGCACAGGGTGATGCTGTGATGCATGCCACGGACACATGCATGTGATGAAATCCAAGAATGCTCTTCAACATGTACCATATATATATAATTATATATAATTATATATATACTGCATATCTTGCTACGGTGCGTAGTCATGGCTTGCATAGCTGTTCAGCTTCATCCTGCAAAGTTATCTACAGTTGCCCCAGATCTTCACAGTGAACAGAAGTTTCGCATTTGTAGCTCTACATGTTCACCATGTTTCACCATGTTTCACCATGTTTCACCATGTTTTATATTGTTTTATCGTCATTTATCGAAATTTCATGGTCGATCTTTCGCTTCGCCAGAGTTCGGCGTCGCTTTTGCTGCTGGGCGGTTTGATCTCGGCATTGGCTGCAGCTCCACCACCCACAGCGCCTAGCGATGCAAGCGATGCAGCACGGCCGGGCACACGGCCGAGAACTTCGAGCCGACTTCGAGCCGACTTCGAGCCGACTTCGAGACGACTTCGAGACTTCGAGACTTCGAGTCCAACTCTCAGTCCAGGTGAAGGTGAAAAGGTGACTGAAAGGTGACTGAAAGGTGGCTGAAAGGTGGCTGAAAGGTGGCTGAAATTGGAGATGACAGAGATGTCTCGCCTCGTTTGCCAAACTCCAATTTGGTGTGAAGGCCAAGACTCACAAATTTATCTCGAGTGATCTTCCTTAGTCGCTTTTGCGGCTAGCCAATACAAAAAGACCTGCAGGCGTCACATAACAACACAACAGTGATCCCATTTGTATAATCCAAGCCGTAAAAATCGTAAAATCAATTCCAAGAAAATTCTTCATTATTTCATATCATTCATATCTCTTCCATTTCGAAGATGCCGAAGATGCTGAAGACATCTGAAGACGCTGAAGTTGCTGGCCATTTCTTCATCTTCCGAGCGTCAAGGCTTGGACGTCGCTGGCTGCGGTGATGGTCGCTGTGCGGGGCTCATCTCTCAACAAGGCGTTCTCCCCGAAGTAGTCGCCAGCCTGGAACAATCTGGAACATTCCAGTGGTGCATGATGGTGCATGATGGTGCATGCAGCAATGCAGTGCATGCCAAGAGGATTTTGTCGGAGACATCGGAGACTTTTGAACAGTCATTCAGTTCAAATATGTTCATTTTTTCATTCAAATTCACATTCCTTCGAATGGGTGAAGCCCCAATATGAACGGATGATGAACCCGTCTACTTAAGTCTACTTGTAGTGCAATTATAGTGCAATGGTAGTGCACGTATTCCATCGATATTCCATCACTATTTCATCGTCTAAGGTCGTTCCATGGTCGTTCCATGGTCGTTCCATGGTCGTTCCATCATTCCTTCCCACCTTGAGAGTAGCAACTCTCTGGCCATTCACATCCACACCTGGAATTCATCTAAAATCATCGAAATGATGAGATGAGACAATGAGACAATGAGACGTGAAAAATCGTTAAAAATCGTGAAAATCTATGACCAAATGGTACTAAGTCACAAAGTGACCATGAAAGTATCCGGCCTGTGATATCAAGATGTGTCGATCTGTTCTTTGACACTAATTCGCAGATCCAGCCTGCAGATCCTTTCTTGATGACGAAGAATTCGTGGCCTGAGACATAACATATGTAACAAGGTTTTCATCAAGTCTCCTCAAGGCATTCATCTCTTCAGTTTGCAGTGTTCACAGCATGATCATGTCGTGTCATTGTCATGTGGTACATCTCTTCACTGGGTATCTCTGAAATATGATTGTACATGACATATATGAATGTGAACATATGTATGTATATAGATCTATATATATATTATATTATGTATATATATATATGTACAAACCTATAAATATGTATCTATCTTGTCATCAAACTGGTTCTTGACCTGTCACGGTCGTGGCCTTCATCGCCCTGCTTGATGATGGCCTTGTCTTTTTGGAACGACACCACTACAGCCGACTTTGCCAATGCTGGCAACTCGTCCTGATAGCATCGCATCCAACTTGGCAGATGCAAAACTCGAAAACACCAGTATGCAATACTTGAAATGTGGATGATTCTAACATAGTATGATATAGATTGATATAGTATGATAGTATGCAATTGTATGCATAGTGTCGGAGTTATCCATATGATTCCTCTGATTTTTGCACTGCAAAATGAGCCGAATGACTTTCGCAACAAGAAAAAACGACAAATAGAATTTGGAAAGGCCCGAAAGGCCCGCTCCCGTGGCAATCGTTTGAAGAGCTCGACCTGGGCGAAGAAGCCGAATCGGCAGAATCGGAATCGTGGATCGAAATCGACAAAATCCGATTTGTCACTGAGAAACGACTCGAAGTCGACTCGAAATCGACTCGAAATCGACTCGAAATCGACCACAAAGAATCTGCGAATATTGCTGTTTGAATTGCTGTTTGAATTGCTGAGCTCAAGCACTTTGGAAAGGAAAGACAGCCTTTCTTCGTCATTCACCACTTCTTTGCTTCCTTGACACCCCATGGCCTCAAAGTGACAACCCAAGGTGCACAAGACATGGCAAGACGACTTTTTTTAGCAAATTTCATTAACCAATTTCATTAACCCGCTAACAAACCCAAAAGAGTCCAAAACTCTGTTTGATACTGTTTGATTCTGGTCTTTTTCCGCTCCATAAGTGCTTTGTTCTCATCCTCACCTATCTCACCTTTGGTTTTGTATGTTTTGTCTGGTCATGTCTGGTCGTCAGCATTTTGTAAGGCTTGCACTTCGCACAATTCAGGGCTGAGTCGCGGGGTTTGAACACTAGCAACTATCGAAGGCGAAGGTGAAGCAGCGAAGCAGAAACTAGTATCCTCATGTATCCTCTCAAGAAAAATGTCAAGAGTTTACTATGTTTACTTGCAAGGAAACTTCAATTGGAATACAACATGACCATGCCCCTTCACACACTCGACACTTTTCTTCCAGAATCTACCAAGCATGGCATGTAGCAAACGAATGCAAACGATTTTGAAAGTTGTTTGAAAAACGTGCCTGTTTGCTTCAGCCAGTTTCTGCAAACCTGAAGCCGGAGCAGTTTTCATAGAATCTCCCAATTCTTCGTGCAAACATGTGCAAACATGCTGAGAGATTGCAACAAATTGGAAAATCTGCGTGACGTGACCTGCGACCCACTCGTTGTGGCCAGGGATTGGCCGAAACCTGGTCACAGTCGATCACAGAACGACTAAGTCGGAAGTGTGCAGAGCTGTGCTTCCAGGCCTTGCTAAGCCCGGCTCGGTCCTGCGTGAAAACATGTGAAAACCCGTGGCGTTGCCACGGTTTTGGGGTTTTGCTTGGCACCGCTCCATACGGATTCCCATACGGATTCCATACATCTTCGGTCATCTTGCTGTCAATGGATGCGACAAACTCCCAACCAAAAACAAAAGAACAAAAGAACTACAATCCCAGAAAAATACTCAAATTTCATCAAATTTCTCCCAAATTGGTCAAGTGAAATTCTTTGAAGAATCCCTTGACATTTCGGGACATTTTCCAAACATCAACGGAGTGCTCCACTCGGCTCCTCAACGGCCCTTGCCGAAGGCCGGGAAGGCCAGGCAGAGGCTCCGCTTTTCCTTTACCTGGCGGAAAGAAGTGAGAAACTGAGAAGCTTTCACACAACAAACCTGCAATAAACCACTTAAACAGCTAGGAGCCATAACTTGAAACAATATAAATTATAAGTTACATTAATTATAAGTTACTATATCGCTTCAGGATGCTTAGCATTTTTTTTGATCCGTTGATACCTTGGATGCTTGGAAGATACACAAATCATGCAGCATCTCTACGGTATTTTCTCACCTCCTAGTCAACCATACTTCTGTACTGGAACAAACCTTTACTTACTGTAGTCTTCATGAAGTAGTTCTCATAATTTGTAATAAGATCATATAAGAATTATAAGATCTATATTTCAAAACAAAAAAATATATATAAATTGTTTGTGCTTCTACATCTTCTACATACTTCATGAGTTTCAGGATGTTTCAAGCGGTGTTTCTTGCAGGATTTCAGCCTGTGCGCGGCAGGCTTTTGGGATCTTGGGCTGGAGGCTGAAGCTCTCCATCCTGGGGAATACCAACATCCATCAACATCCATCAACATCCCCATCCAAAAGAGAAAAATCCTGGCATTTTTCGTGGCATATGAACATTGGTCAACATTAGGGTACCAACTCGACTAACTATCGCACCTTACTCAACGAGTTTGAGGGAATGGATAGGAGCACCAAACTCACCAAACTATGTTTACTTACAAAAGCAGAACAAATGATGCTTTTGGGCGTCTTGAACTTTCACAGGCCCCCTTTCCCATGTGAAGCCGAAGAAAATGGCAAAAAACACGTGACAGAGTGCCTCGCCTCCCCCATCTCCAGCAACTCAGCACCCACCACCTACTTGGATCGACCAATGAGAGCAAGTTCTTAAACACTTAAGTGATATTTCGTGTCTTTTTTCTGGCCTCTCGGTTCACATTGAAACCTGACATCGAATGACAGTGGTATTTCATGGACAAAGATGACATTTCGAAGCAGTGATTGCGGTGGCGTTTGCAATGGACATCATCCAATGTCACTGTCTCGACCTGTCTCCACAATCCAACCACCATGAGTCGTCTGTCACTGTCGAGTCGTTCCGTTGGGCCCCCAACTGAAATTCCAATGGCTAGGCTTGCGCGTTTCAGCGCTCCTGACCAGTCCAAGCTTGCAGTCTTCAAAAAAAACAAGCTGTCATCATTTCCGATTCTGAAACAATCTGGAACTGTGACGAACAAGTTCGGAACAAGTTCGGAACACGTCAATCAATTCGAGTGGATCAAGTCCTTGGCTTCTGCCGCGAGATGGTTTGAGCATCCTGGAGCACTTGACAATCTGGACAGGTGCACCGCAGTTACGCGTCAATCACATGACATTCCATGACATTCCATGACATGTTCTCACACGTCGTGAGTCGACTATGTCAGTGATGTCAGTGTCGTCCTCTCGCAGGGATTGGTTTTGGATGTTCTCGAAGGCCTCACCGACAGTTTTAACCACCGAAACATGGTTGAAACCACACCGAAACTCATGGATTGTCGCAGCTTGTTGCAGCTTGTTGAACAGTCTGTTGCAGCTTGTTGCTCCTCGCTGCGTCGGTGTGCCGCTGAAGAGGCCTGTGCCAAGCGGTGCCAACCCCAGCTGAATCATTCGGAGACAACGACAATATGACAAATCATGACCACTAAAAAAGAACAATATCTATTTCCAATATATTTCCAATATGTTCAATAAATATTGTATTCAGTTTAAAATCTTCAAAATCTTCGATGCTAACACATTGACAGCGTTTGAGGATGGGGCCTCTGAGAAGCGGGGGTCGTAGTAATACGGCCTTCGTGGATTTGTCTTCTCTGGTCGCGATTCCTGCAGTTCCTGCTAACAGCACCGTTGAAGAATGCACTGTGGAAGATGGGGGAAGAATCCCTCCCATAAGCCATAAATCATCGTATCTACTGTTGTATACAACCAAAAACAAGGAAAATAACCATTGGTTAACCGCTGGATTTTGGCATACCCAATGTTCCCAACGTTCAATATGTTCAAACAAACCATATGATTCATATGATTCACATGATTCATATGATTCCAATAAAATCAGCGATTTTTGTCTCTGATTTCCCATGATGTTCCCGTTTCGAATGTTTTCTCTGTGGCGCGTGGATCCCAGATCCCCATCAAGTTATAGCTACAGTATACGGGCTATACGGGCTATACATGGCTATACCCTATGGTAAATGAACATCGACCCTGAAAAATGGTCATTTTTAAGTTGAAACATGTAGTTTCACTAATCTTCCAATCCATCTGCCAGGGTGGCTATTTTGCCATGATTATCCCGCTATCCGCCGCACCTGTCGACTTCTGGACTTCGGAACGTTCGCCTCCGGCACGCAACTGGCATCCTGGTGACCCGAGACCGACCCGAGACCGCTGGAGACCCCTAACGTTGAAGAAAAGACAAGGTCAATACGACTTATATGGAATCATACTGATATATATGATATTGTACAAATGAATACAATTAAATGACATATCATAGATATCTCATGATATGTTATTTCACAGAATAATGATCTCTTATTTTAAAAAAACGAAAGAATACTGAAAGATGCGCAAAGTGAAAAGGTCGTACGATATTCACGTGCTATTCACGTGATATTCACGTGATATTCATCTGGTTCATTGACACCTCCTCATCCAGCTGAGCTAGTAGAGCATCCAGTGACAGCGCCGGCGGCACCTGAGGTCCCCTGTTGCGACTGGAAGTTCTGGAGATTTCTGGAGATTTCTTCCACAGTTTTCCACAGTTCCCCCATGTGTTGACCACCAAGCTGCTTGAGCGGCTGGATATGCATTCGACTGGCGAGAACGATGCGGCCTAGACACACGTGCTCGATGCAAACTGAGAAAGCTGAAAACTAAACAAACTAAACACATTGAGGGAAAAAAACCAGGGCAAACTCATTGTTTTGGCTGTTCTTGTCCATTTCAAAAGAAGCTGCTGAAAATACAAAACCCCAAAATTTCCATGTTATTTTAGGCAAGTCAGTTTATGTTTCAAGGTGTCTGATTCAATCTAGCTGCATCTGAGCCTCCAACAATGCACCTGGTGCTTCAGAGATGTTGATGCCTCATCTCAGTCTCATCATCTGGCTCTTTGGTTTTGTGCTTCAAATTTTACATTGTTTTTAATCTTTTCCAACACTGAAGAGCACTTTCTGTTTTCGATGCGTTTTCGATGCGCCGCCTTTTTCAAGGAGCAGCCGGGTGAAGCCTCGGACACAGAGCAACGTTTCGCCGCTGCGAAGCGTCTGCAGAACGTCTGCGAAAGCACTGAGCTCGTCACTGCTCATCGGTATTCATCGGTCATCGGTCTACATCACTTCGACGAAGTCAAAATGTCGATGTTTTTTTTTCATGTGGCTGTGGACTCTGACGTAGACTTCATAAAATGCAAATATGTTATAATTATATGTTTTGTTTTTTTCAAGCTTTGGAGTTGGAGTGAATGAGACATTACCTTTTTTATGATATTAAAGATACGTTGTTTAACACCAACACAAAGTACTGAACAGTTTGCCACAACCAAGTTGAGCCAAGTGTGATTTCGCCGGCTTGGTGGGAATTGTTTCATCCCCTGCGAACCCTGGTTTTTTTCCATATTTGTGCCATCTCTTACCTTTTCCCCCGAAGTTCTTTGAAGTTTCTCGCTTCCGGTATCAGTTTTTTTTCGTCTTGGTTCGTTTTTGTAGCAATATCCATTGGCAACACACAACACACAACACACAACGACAACGAAACGACAACGAAACGACAACGAGTTGCGTAACGAAGCACTGCAACTCTGACCTGGCGACGCTTGGGGCTGGCAGCGCTCTTCACAGCAGTGCGCTTGGGCCTGCCGATAAACCGATAGGCCGATCGTCCGGTCTTCATGTCATCTTCGGGCCATCTTCATCATCTTCATCATCTTCATCATCTTCACATATGTTCACATATGTTCACTGTGTTTCAAGCATTGGCCGAAAAACCACAAAAATCAACGGAAAAAAAAAATGAAAATGCTAGGATTGGTGCATTTGAACTGAACATTGAAGTGTCAAAATGCAACTGTTGTGGTGTCTTGGGCTACCCTGACCCTTTGAATTCCAAATTGCATGAAAAGTTGGAGAACAAAACTACGGAGTTCCTTATTGGTAAACTGTTTTTGTTTGGTTCTTCAGGGTGCTAGGCTCGACCCGTTTGCATCGTTTGATCCACACTTGTCCTGCTCTCCTAATAAATTGAGCCCAGCACCTCAAAGATGCCATAGACCTGCAAAGGCGAGGAAAGAACGTTGACAGTTTCACATATTTCACATGACCTACATCCAATGATCCAAGTGATCCAAAATTCACAAATTTCACAGGTTTCACAAGACATGTTTGGCCTTCAACGCAACGCATCACACGAAGAAGACGCAAAATTATGGGTTATCGTTTTGGTCATGCGTAGTCTTCTGTCAGAGTAGCAAGCAATTCACAAGTATGCACATGGTATTTTTCAAACAAACATGTTTCTGCAGGGAGTGGTTTGTCTGCACGAATTCATCCATGTTTATTTAAATCGGCGAGCCGATAACTGCAGCTGCAAATCAAATGATGCACAAACACGTCCCCATCACAAATCAAATTTGAATAGCGGGCAGTGTCTGTTTGCAGAACCGGATGCTGGACAAATGTTAAAGCACGGTTTCAATGTTTATGACGTAAACAAGTAAATACTATTCACCCTGTTTTGCACCCCAACAGCAATAAAGACTCCAAATTCAACTTGAGACAGCTCGCGAGTAGCGTCCATGTTTGGGCCACATTTCGACTTTCAGCGTAAAGAGAAAATGACACACAAAGTGGGAAACATAGTGGGAGACGAAGTCGGAGACAAGGTGGGAATCAAAGTGGGAAACAAAGTCAGAGACAAAGTGGGTGACATAGTGGGAGGCGAGGTGGGGGACAAAGTCGGGGACAATGTAGAACACGGAGAACCATTTCTATGGAGGTGCCACAATCTTATATGCGAAGCTGAACGGAAAACGCACAGCACTGTTTTGAGCCTCAGGGCCTGGATGATAGTGACATGTCAATGTGCTTTGACAAGCATGAAATGAGACATGAGTGCTACTCAAATTTCTTCGCACTCCTCCTAAAATTGTAGAGCTTTAGCTCCAAATTTTCAACCAGCACTCAGCGTTTTCTTGCTGAGCACTCATCGAAACTTTTCGTCCTCAAATTCCAGCAATCACCATACAGTGAAAAATTGCTCCATGCAAATCTTTGGGTTCACCTGTGACTCAACTGCTCCATGAACTCACCAATGTAAATTTCATACACATCGGCCATTGTCGATTGGGAATGTCCCACAGCTCTCTGGTGTCTGCTCTGCAATTCTGTAATCACATTCTCCCGCAACTGATTGAATCTCTCTAATCCAATTGGTCTGCCTGGTTCCAAATCCAGAACCTGCATGATCAGTTGTTGGATCACAGCACCATCACGGAATTCCTCTCTGGCCAATGCTTCATTGAGAAGCACACGCAGTCGGTTCACCAGGTGTTCTCGGGTATTTACATCTCTGATCTCATTGTCCACCTCCATTGGAGTTTCTGATTCACCTCCTTCTTCATTTTCATCTCCATCTCTTCCATCATCAGTGTTGTCTGTATGAGCATGAATACCTGTAGTCTGTTGACAAGCAAGACGCAAATAGCGTTCTCCTCCCATGACATTGAAGGAAACCATGTTGCCACGTTCTCTCTGATACATGGCTCTGTTTTGATCTGGGGTTAACTCGCCAAACCGGCGAAAGCCACCCATCTCTACCAAGCCATAGTGGATGCTTGAAGAGTAGTCCTGCACAAAGTCGAGGTCACGTGCAGTTTCTCCCAAGCCATGTTCAAGACGCGCAAGTCTCCTGTCATGGTCAGGCAACGTTCGACCAATGTCACTTTGAGAAGTTTGAATCTCACCAAAAGCTGTATCAAGCTCAGCCATTTGCACTGACAAATGGTAATGCTCTCGCTCAATGGTTGTAGCGCTGTTGATAAACCATCTGTAAGCTTTCCATGCTGCAGCTGCAAAAATCACCCATGAAATCACCAGTAGAAAAATGCAGAAACAAAGCAACCATGGAAAATCCTTTGTAGTTTCACTCTCAGCGCATTGTGGCGACATTGATGCCACACTGCAAGTTCCAGTACTTCCCCCATCAGGAAAAATACCTTGTCCAGCCGCACCAGATGGCCCAAGGCCCATAAGAGAAAGGATACGTGTGAGATTCTTTGCCAGTTTCATCATTTGTCGCTTTGATCCATGCCGCTCAGACTGTTGGTCATGCTCCTCCTGTCCAATCACAGTTAAACCTGCATCATCACAAACATTCAACTCATGAAGAAGAAGTTTGACTCGTTGCTGAGTGAGGGCTTTCGTACACAAATCTGACACATTCCAAACTGTAGGCAACTGTTGCAACTGAACATCTCCAGAAAGCACATGCTGTTGAATCCAGAGTATCTTTCCATCTAAGTGCCGCACTTTGCCTACTCCCTGCTTTGCTGCAAGCTGACGTGCTGAAGAGGAATCAGTCAGTAAATGATGTGTCACTTCAGCTCTGGTCAAAAAGGAGAGGCAACGCCTGATGAATATGCCATCAGCTAGCGTGCTCACCATTGCATGTAACTCTGCCTCACAGCTTGAAAGACTAACTGTTCGCTGCGTTCTTGAAGAACCAAAAGCATAGTTTCCATTGATCATGTGGATACCTGCAGAAGTGCTACGTCTGTGCTCCTTGTTCGAAGACCAGTCTGAATCACTGGAGCTCTCAAGGACATAAAATGCCTCTCCAGTGTTTACCCATTTTCCTTGGCCTCCCTCAGGTTCTTGAAGCACGACTGCATAGTCCATTGTGCCTTTCACATATCCCATGACCTTTCGCAAACGATGCAAAGCAGTGATTGAAGGATTGCTCATTTTGGATGCTAGTTCTTTCACACAAAACAGCAAATCTGGCCGATCACGGGCCAGGTAGAGCAAACCTCCAACTGTGGACCTGTATGCAAAAGCATCCTGTGCACGCAAACTTGAGGAAACGTCAGGAAGCTGAATTGAAGAATCACAAGCAACACGTTGAACACGAAGCGTTCCAAACTGCTTTTCAAAGTTCTCAACCAGCTTGGCTATGTTTGTACCTGGAACCAATGCAATGCCATCTTTCACACGTGTCAGTTTGCGTTTCAGAAAAGACACTGAGTCACCTTCATTCTCACCAAGCACTGCAGAACTGACAGTAAACTTCTCACGGAGTTTGGGAAGAAACTGGGTTTCCCAAAACTGTCTTGTTCCAGTAAACATCACATCATCCACATGAACCATAATTGCTGCTTGCTCACATCTTCCCATGCACGGCTGTTCATTGCACCACTCAAAACCCAACGTTTCAGTGAGAAAGGTTCGAAAGAACCAATACCAAGCTTTGGCTCCCAATCTCTGCCCGGGTAAGTTCTTTGCTATTATGAACTTCCTTCCAGCCAACTGCACTGCAAATGGGCGCTCTTGAGGTACGCAAAGAAAGGCATCCTTGATGTCCACAACACCCAAAACGTGTTCAGGGGATTGGTTTTCACATCCACGTCGCTGGTTGCACTTTTGAAGATAAACCAAAGGCAGCAAGTTGGTCACATGGCATGAGGTGGCTGGGCTGAAACAGTCATCCCGTCTCTCAAGGAATGCATATTCAGGTGCCACTAAACGGCTACGTCTCAACCATCTCTTCACCGTTTCACCAGATGGTAAGGTGAAGTCTTTGGCCCGCCAATCATGCACAAATTTTGTAGTAAGAGAATCTGTGACCTTCTCGGCATAGAGCTCCTCCTTGATAAGAACTCCCATTGAAGTCAGCCTGGAGATTTCGAGCTCATTTGCAAGGACATCCACCCATTCTGGTGGCTCTTCTGGCTGCTGCTCCATGTTGAAATTGCTCCATAGATCTTCTGGTGCATCATTGAATTGAAGATCATCTTCACCTGCCCATAGTTCCAGCGTTTCATCAGGTTTCTCCAAATCCAAATCATCATCGTAACTGTCCATGGTGTGGAACTTATCTCCACCAAATTGCACAGAGTTGATCCTGGCTGAGTACTCTGCTGCAACACGCTGGATGCGGGCACGCTTGGGATCTTCAGGTTTGAGCCGCTTGCTTTGATGTTCCTCAATGTCAACGTCATCCTCACCTTCATCATGCATACGTGTTGTAGGAGAAGCACGGGGAGTTGCAGGAGCAAAGGGATGTCCAGAAACATCATCTTCAACAAGGATTGGAGTAGTTGGCACATCATTTCCTCTGTTTGCATCTTCCTCAACCTCATCTCCAAGGGTGAGAAAACCATCTTCCTGTTCCATGCCTTCCACTCCAAATCCAATGCTAACTTCTGGAGGTGCATCGTCCTCCACTGCAGGAAACTCCCTACGCTCATCGTGCTCTCCCATTCCAATCCTCTCAGACTCTTCTCTGAGTTCTTCTCTTGCTTTCTCACGCACCGCTTCACCTTCAGCATCATGAAAAGAGCTTGGCTCAACCTCACCTTGAGGTAACTGAAAACCAACTGAGACAGCTTCTCTTTTGATCTTCGTTGGAACAACTCTTCCACCAAAACCTGATTTGTACTCCCAGCTGCTGCACCTGAAAGTTGCATAGAAGGCCAGATGGTTCTTCCAATCTGAGTCAATGCGCCTGATGCTTCGAGTCAAGACCAAATGGTGACCTGAATACAGGATGTAGCTATCCTGTCCATCCACCTTTCCCAGAAACAAAGCACGACGCCATTTTGCTGTACCCTTTGCACCAACCATGTAGTAACCAAAAACCGGCTCTGCAAATGGTGCAACTGCTCCAGAGTAAGGTTTCTTGTGCACCAACTCATAAGGTGTCACGCCTCGAATCACTCCAAACCTGTTCATCAGCCAAGCAGCATGTCTATGGGCCCAGCTCCACAAGGCATGATTTGTTGACATCTCAATACCTGTACGCTGTTTCACAGTGTGCATCAAGATGCATGCCAGTGGGCGTAGTCGTCCAATTGCATTCTCAACCAAAGAGTTTCCATGTGAATATGCAGGTGGAGTCACTGAACGTGTTGGAAGCCCCATACTGAGTCTTGTTGATACCACGTATTTCAACAATTGACGCATGGTGGGTTCATTGTCACACCTGTAAATCACTTCTGAGTACCCCAAACCTGCAGTGAAAGCAAGGATCTCCCTGGTCATGAGCTCCAACT